ACCAGAGTCCCCAACGCGGAGAGCTCGAAATTTAAAGAACTTATCCCTTAAATTACCTCCTCTTTCGTCGTCTCGACAGACTATTGCTACGGCCCCTATTAGAGATCATTCACATAATATCTCAGCCCCCTCTTCTCCCATACAACATAGCAGCAGAAATCTGCGACGGAAAGCTCCAAACCTTACCATACAAACGCCTTCCTTTGATCGATCATTTTCTTCTAATATTGCAGAGGTCGTCCCTCCTACCCCAAATACTCGACCAACCCTTCGACATATTGAATCCTCGCCTTCTCTTAACTCGATATTTTCTCCAACTGCACCGTCTAAACCTTCACTAGCTCTCCCAGGCTTGTTCTTCCAATCGTCGAAACGGCCTATGCCAGGTACGTGGGAGGATCGTATCTTTCCAGATCGACCCTCCTTTTCGACCCAGCCAAGTTTCCAAAGCAGAGAAGCCCTGCATGAACTTGTCGAGGAAGATGATCCGCCAATATCGCGCGAATCGTGTAAGGGTAGTGATAAAGGGTATCCTGACGGCCCTATTTTAATATATGACTCGGGTCTCTATCTTTACCTGGAACCTAGCTGTGAAGAAGCCATGAAATTCGATGTGGTTATTAATGTTGCAAAGGAGGTGGCTAACCCGTTCGAGAAAGCTGAGCCGAAACAGAACACAGTGGTATCTGTCTGGAAGGCCACATTGCCCGACGCCCAGCGGCGACAGTCCTCGGTCGTGGAACCGGATACAGCACTTTCGGAAATTTCTTTCAAGTCTGCTTTTGAGTTTCAACCGGTTGAAGTGGAGTCACCATCTACTCCCAAGCCCAGCTCTCCTGAGCAACCAGAATACATACATGTGCCCTGGGATCATAACTCGGAAATTCTTGATGACTTGTATCCGCTTTGCAAGCTAATTGACTCCAGGATTTCACAAGGAAAAAAGGTCTTGATTCATTGTCAGTTAGGGGTTAGTAGGTCTGCGTCGCTGGTCATTGCGTATGGGCTGTACAAGAATCCAGATAAGGATTTTAATGCTATGTATAGCATTGTGAAGAGTCGGAGTTGTTGGGTTGGCCCGAATATGAGTTTGATCTATCAACTTACCGATTTCCGGTTGCGGGTTCAGGAATGTAACGGCAGTGGAGGTGGAGGTGGAAGTGGGGGCTGGGTGTCTTTTAGGAGATCGCCACGAGAGGAGTGGTTTAACAATTCGTCATCATCTCGCAGCATAAAAATGACGGAACAACCAACACCAGAATTCTCCTCGTCGATATCCACAGCCCCAAAACTAGCACGACCGCCAATTCCCCTTTTTCACCAAACTGCAGGCGACCCTAAGCAAAACTCTCCAACCACACACTCTTTCACAAACCATTTCACCGGGTCAGCCAACACGCAATTAAAACCCCAACCCTCAAAACAGCGCCGCAACCCCTCCCCTTCCCCCCGTCCCCTCCCCCTCCGTGAGAAATACCAATCATTCCACTCCCTTAGTCGTCCCCGCTACGAATCCACCACCACTTCCACAACAACCACATCAACCAATGCCAACACTTCTACTGCGACCACCACCACCACAACAACAACAACCACCACCACCATCCCCTCCTGCCGTACAATCCCCCGCTCATCTACCGTTCAAATGGACCTGGTCATGCAAGACCACAACCACATCCCAACAACACCATTTCTCTTCTCTCCGCGTGCCGCTGAATTTTGGAGAACGCCGTTTGCCCGTACTGATGCGGGGGATCTTGCATTTCATGATTCATCTCTGTTATCTGGTACAGGCGCTGTATCATCGCCTCGTGTTTCCATGGAGCTGATGTCTCCCACATTTCCCCCACTGGGTTTTGTTCGGCCGGTTGTCGGGTCGCCACCTGTAGCTGGGATGGCGGATCCACGGTCACCACCACAGCAAAGGAGGGAGCCGGTTTTTATGCGGAATATTGATGAATTTCTCTGAGTATTTTTTTCGTTTTTTTCTTCGATATTTGTTTTTGGCTTTCTTTCCACCTTTTTTATTCCCTTCCCCCTCATGCATTTATACATGATTTAAAAATTTGCGTGGGATGAGGAAAGAGAGGTGTTGATTAACCATTTCTTAATTTTGCGGAGTATGGATGGAGTTTGGTTATATGGAATACGGGATTCGACACTCTAGATTCTGAATTCTATGTATGGGATAATATGCGGATACACTATATAATTTGGGGGTTTTGGTAATGTTTTTGGCAATTTGGATGGAATGACATGAAAATGAGATGGAAGGATCAAGACAGCATCTAAATGCAACACAGCAACACAGAAACCACAGTTAGTTATTATATTGAGGGGAAATTTTTGAAATCTTTTTCGGTCCTTTTTGTTTGTTTGTTTGATTTCACAAATCAAAGCGGGCTTTGTGTGTGTCATAATGTTTAAACCTTGATTGTTTTGATTGTTTGAGAACCGATTACATTATATCATTCTCATATGACTTGTATGGGAAATTTTATATGCTCCTTTAAACTTCAGTTCAGTAATTTCTATCAATCTTTCCTCTTTGGCAACTGTATTGGCATTGAGTGTTTAAAAGAAGTATTTATATAAGTTCAACTACCTGTTCTTCTCTAAATAATAAGAGAACGGGAGAAGAAGGTCCTACAATCAATAAAGTTGTTCTTTGTCTCTGAAGTGAGACTTCTGCGTGAAATATTCACACTTTATGTATGACATGGTTTGATTTTACCTTTCTTCCACTGTTTATTTTCCCTCCAGTCTTAGTTTGAAGGAAAAGGGAAAAAAGGAAGTTTTAAAAAGAAACTTCAAGATTCTGGAAAGAAGATTTGAAAAGAAAGGCCATTCTTGAAGAAACTCTAAATGCATTCATTATTGTTAAACAGTTTCAAGAGATAGAAGCTAACTAAGGAACCAAGGTTGATTAACCTCTTGGGCAGAAAGAATGCAAGAGTCTCTGAATATTTAATGTGATTATCACTTGACACACTCTCTGGTTTCTCTCCATTTAACGAGATGTGACGGTTAGCCAACGGCTGAAAATGACGGTTTTTCGCTGCCGTTCTGTAATCGCGAGAGTAAATCCCCACGGCCACGGCCCTTCCCTCCACGCACCGCCGCAACATTTTGAGTCCCAGCATCTTCTCACCTGCTCACCCCACGGGTGCAAGCCAGAATTGGCTGAGCGAAGTGTCAAAAATGGTTTCCCCCCCCCCCCCCCCCTCTACATCATCATGTTCTCTCCAGTTTCAGATTTCTGTCATGCTGGCTGTGTCCGCTCCTGGTCTCATTCTTCCTTCTACCAGTAGTTATCTTATTTAAGTTGTCTTCTGCAGAGTTAACGCATGTCCTATCATTAGCCATGAAAGCACTCTCCCTCTCAGTTCCTCACCCCAGGTTCTCTCCTCGCTGCTCCCTGGGCCATCTTGACTATGGTGCCTCACTAGTAGCCTGTCAGATCTGATGGGCCTGATGATAAAATGAGCTAGAGCAAGAGCAATGCCTGCCCCGCGCTGGGTGCCATTTTTTGGAGCAGTAGATATAAAAGTGGGCCCAATGACAAACCCAGTGAGGATGAGGATGAGGATAAGAATGAAAGAGGTGATTCTGATGATAATATTTTTGATGACAATGAGGGCCAGCTGTCTCTAGAACACTACCTAGTTCAAGCAGAGAGTCTAGATGTCTCTCAGCTTTGACAGAAGTAGTACAGTGATCTAACTCAGGAGAAATTTCATGAAACCTGCAGATACTGGGAGAGGAAGGCAACCCTCTTGATCCCTCAGACCATGTCAAATTCTTACCAGTGTGTTTCAGGTATTGTAAGCATATCCATGTTGAGGCGGTGCAGCAATGATACTGGATCTCAGAGTCAGATGAGATTATTCATTTTTTGTATGTATTTTTCAACTGGTGGTATGATATCTATTATGATAAGAATGATCAACACTTCTCTAGTATCCAATATAAGAGCTTACTTGGAACAATTTGAAAGTTATAGCATTTTGTTGTTAAGCAGGAGATGCAATTAGAGCTCAGCAAAGATGTGATTGTCAAGATAGAAGATGTAAGCAGCTAATTTTCTCTATGCTCTAACTAATAGGGAAGTAGCTATTAATCACTTGCAGGTCATTGCACTCATGGCTGAAGAGTAAGAACTGAAATTCATCCAGCAGCTGAAGAAAAATATATACATTGAAGATATCACTGAGTTCACTCACATTCTTCTAATATAATCACTGAGATGACATTTGAGTATGGCTGGCAGTGTATTCATATGCTTTTCTTTTGTCAACTCACAGCTATCACTGCCAGCTGTCCAGAAGCACTTCTACATCTTCACTATCAGAATATAAAACTAACTCTAATTTGAGACCCAGAAGGTGGGTATCCGCAACTGTTTATATTTTTAAGATCAGATTTTACAATGTTAGGCTCAGCGCCTGATTGAGCCTTGACCGAAGGGCCCGGGGCCGATTAGACTCGGCGCCCGATTAGGCCTAACCCTCATCACGTGACCACGCGGGTTGTTATAATCCAGGCAGGCCCCAGCACCTCCTTTCATCCCATCAAGCTTAGTATTTTGTTATATAGCAGTTAGCAACGCAGAGAGTTTCCTTCTTATGCAGCTCGCATTCGCACCCTAACATACAAACAGGTTCCTTGAAAAGAAAGCTCTGTAGATGTTCTTGATTGTCATGATGCTATGAGCAGATTGACTGACTGAATTGACCAGGAATGAGTTTAAGATCTCTGAAATTATCTTTGATTCAACCTTAGTTCTTAGTCTGCATGTCTGTTTAGAGATTATGCTCTTTCATATTAAGGCACTCAAGAGAATTTTGACAACTGGATCAGTGCTGGATTTCATGGTAAAAACTATACAGTCTTAAGATACTGAAGGGCAAGGGATAGCAGAAGTTGTCATTAAGAATGAATTACTGTATAAGTATGTGTTTTGTCAGATGGAGTGGACATTCACTGAATTTCAAATCAACATGGAGAAGAGACTTGATAGCATCCACCATGGGATCCCAGATGCGTTGAGGAGGTGAGATCACAGACATTGATCAGATTACTCATCTGTACAATTTTTGATATGCTGCAGCCAAGGCCTTCAACAGCAGTGGTGAGTGTCCCTCAGTCCTCTTTATTTCTCAGACCAGTCAGATAACTAATTCAGTGGACAGAAGAAGTCACAGATGCTCTTCAGAATGTCATGCTTCAGCACTCAGATATCTGCATCTTTGTCCAACATTATGAGGTGGATGTTGATGTGAATGCACAGAGCATCATCTGCAAAACAGATTTCCAAACATCATTAGTGTGATTTACTAGTTCAATGAGTGCATCTATTGACTCAAATCAACTGTATAGACTCTCCACAGAAGAATCTTGATCCCTCAATATCCTCTCAGTGGTTCTTGCACGGCAGGATACAGTCAACAAGTGCAAGCAGGAATGGGAAGATTGCAAAGCCAAGTTAGAACAACGATATCACCTGCTGGCCGGCCAATCTACAAGTATGAATCACCCATGGAGCTGCTCATGGTGCTTCACAATGCAATAAAGACACATGGATCTCTTTACCTGGATGAGAACATCCTTCATTGGGATATTTCCAAGATCAATATAATAATAACCAGTTCTAAAAAGGCAGATGGTCACATGGGCATGCTAATTGATCTGAATCTTGCTAAGGAAGTTGGCAGTGAGTGCAGCAGCGCACAGCACCAGACCAGCACAACGGAGTACATGGCGATCAAAGTGCTCCTTAATGTCAACCAGACCTATTGTCATAACCCTGAGTCATTCTTCTACGTGCTTATCTGGCAATGTGGCCATCGCAGTTGGGAAAAACTGGATAAGCTACAGAGACAGAGACAGGACCAGTGAAAAGACAGCATGCTCAGAGAATGGTATACTGAAACTTATAAGAAAATTGCAACTTATAAGTGAGACAACATGGAAGCTGGTGGATTTGAATACCTTCTGCAGAAGTTTCCACTGGGATTCAAGTGTGTCAAGCCTCTTTGCAGGACCATATGAGGTGTGAAGGACTTATTGTCAGAACACCGCAAGACCCAAAAAGACTGTATGATCCTATTATTAAAGCATATGATGATGATGTGATAGCTCTGATTGAAGCCAAATAGGTTTAATGATTGCGCTGTTATGGTGAATAAGTATCATTTATGTTAGTCAGCCTGCTCAATGCATACTGTGTGTAGGTGCGGTGGGAGAATCGGATTGTGAGATGCCAGAAATTCTGGAGCAGGGTCGGTCGGCCTTCTTATGGTTGCTTGTAGTATATCAAGACGTGTTGATGTGCGCTCACTTCACTGCTGTCCTCAAAGAGTTGACAAGGAGAGTTCCTTCATTCCTTGAACCTCGCGTGTGAGATTCTGACATATCCATCCCCATCAAAATTGTAACCCTGGGGACAGATACCTCAGTGCCCTGTGTCAATCTTGTTTGATCATTGCAACTTCCAAGGTTCACATGCCCCACCTGTGCTCCTTCATATGCCCCCGCCTGAGGCAGCTCCAAGGCACATCCTGCAGGGGAAGCGATGCGGTGATTTTGCCATTGGTTGGAGAACAAAAGTGAGAGCCTACAAGTCAGCCTTGGTGGGTCAGAGGTGGATGGGAGGATGTAACCCCCAACGCCCAAGCCCTGCTGACATGGTGGATTCAGGATACATGCAGCCCATGACGCTCAGCATGGAACCTCCATGGGTAGGGAATGCATCATGAACCAGAGCAGGAAAGCAGAGAGATCGTGAAAGAAAAAAAAAATGAAATGAAATGAAAAAAGAAACTGCAAGTGAAGGAAAAATGGAAACAAGCAAACAATGGTGAAAACCTGCCTGCTGCACAGGGTTGCCAATCAGACAATAATCTCAATGATCGTCAAGAGACATGGCTGCAAAAACTCCAGTTGCCTTAGTCCCAGAGCAAGCAAGGTAACCTCACAAGATAGGCGTGGGTGGCCTAGAAACTGGCGAAGCAACTCTCCGACCATCCAGGCCTAGCTAGGCCAGACCCAGCAGATGAGCATCCAGAGACTCCATGGGTGCAGGGTGAAAAAGGTGGTGAGTGCCGGATAACACGACATCATCCCTGCAAGGTGAGGGGAGCAGTGTAGCTGGGGGAGAAAGAGGACGAGGAAGTGCATTGTCGTTGTGAGGGAGTGAGGTCGGCTTTTTATAGATTGAGCGGCGTCGTCAGGGCGGCGTGAGATGTTGCAAAAGCGGCGAGCCGGATGCCATCCCCAAAGCGGCAACAGCACGGGCAATCGCGGGTCTTGGTACTTATCATCAATATATGAATTTGATGAATATTCCAATAACGGATTATTTAAATTAGATATTATATAGATAATTATTAAATAAAATAGAGTGCATAAAATTTGTAATTTTAGTATCAAATTAATAGGTAAATGATTTAAATATAAATTCCAACAGATCATCAGGTAATAGAAGAGTTGGGTTGGAGAGATTCTCAGAGAAGGTTGATCTTGATAAAGACCTTATTATCAAACTTATAATATATTTGCTAGTTAACTAGTTGTCAGATTTGAAAAATGATTTAAAGTCTTCATGATAGTCATTTTTAGTGGCAGTTTCAGCCTATATATTTATTCAGGAGTCCAATTAACATATCTGGTTTAACTAATTTAGCTGATAACTATTTCTTTTAAGCTTCTTGACAAACTGGTTACTCAGCTGTTGAGTTTTCTGTATTTTATGAACTTACTGAGCAGCAAGCCTATGAGTAGCAGCTTCGGCTTTTATTTACTCTCACTGCTTTAGAGCAGCTAGTTAAGCTTAACAATAAGCGGTTTTCTTTGCAGTAGCTATCAGTGTTTTCTTTTATCTAAAAATGTCATATAAGAGCTTAGCTGACTTTACTGAGCAAGCTTATTCATTTTCTCAATCTTAGCTACTTTTATTCACCTACACGCAGTATTTCCTTTAAGAAGAGCTACGGCGTAACTAGTTATCTAAATTATTCTTATTCATAAAACTAAAAGATTTGTCTGAATGAAAATGATGTAAAAAGGAAAATATCTGGCTCCTACCACTAAAATGGCCCACAGAAATTAGGGTTAGAGTTTCCTCTCACTGACACTGATGCGCCAAAACTTTCGAACCAGATAGTCAGATAACTAGCAAACCGCTCGAAAACCCTCTCTATTATCTCCAAGAATATCCCAACAGCCATTGCCATTTCACTGACGGCACAGGGTAGAACAAGGTCCATGAGGTATTCTCTCTTCCCTGCTGCAATGTTCACTCCAGCTCCGGTACAGGGTGAAGCTGATCATCCGCCGCATCTGGAACCAAGTCAACTGGGCACAAAAGAATAGTAAGTTAAGTGGGTTGGCAACCGTTTCCGTGTTGATATATTTTTACCCTCGTGGTCTTCATATGGCGATAGGGCATTACCAATGTCGTATTTTCTCACGCTTTGAAAATTTAATATGTACTAGATAGAGTGAGGGTAATTGACTTTATATATTTATTTTTTGTAAACTAGCTGGGAATCATTCTACGATGACTCTCTCTCTCACCTCTCGTCGACACGGCGGAGACGGACCAAGCATAAGGGTTGCAACACGGAGGAAGATATAGTCGGCGAGAGCAGTAAAGCGGAAACAGAAAACTACGATAGCGATGGAGATGGAGATGGCGATGATGGAGGCAGCAACCACGACGACGATGACCCCGGAACATCTTGGTTTACAGAGCATAACGCACCCGAAAAGGTCATGAAATTCCTCACGTCAGAATGCTTTCCGCTCGCCCCTTGTAATACGCAATCGCAACCAATCATTCTTGACCTCGGCACAGGGAATGGGAGTATGCTCGCCCTCCTACGTGATGAGGGTGGTTTTGAAGCGTCCCGCATGGTCGGAGTCGATTATTCGCCGAAAAGTATCGAGCTGGCCAGGAGATTACATGATGGCTCCACCACTACTGCGCAAAGTTCGGATTTATCCAGGATTCGCTTCGAAGTATGGGATGTATTCGATAACAGGCCCGTGCAGACACTGGACTGGTTCCCGGCTGCTGAAGGCGGGTTTGATATCGTCCTAGACAAGGGGACGTTCGATGCCATTTCACTTTCCGCAGAGGAGATTGCTGATATTCACACGGCAGGGAATGTGGCAGCGCAGAATGGCGATAATTCTATCAAGGGTTCCCGCGTCTTACAGAGGAGGATATGCGAACGTTATCCCGGCATTGTGAGGGAATTAGTCCGCAAGGATGGGTTTTTGGTTATTACGAGTTGCAATTGGACAGAGGAGGAGTTGATTAGGTGGTTTACAAGGGAAGAGGGAGAGGATAGGTTGGTTGTATGGGATAGGGTTGCGTACCAGAAGTTTCGGTTTGGAGGAAAGGAGGGCCAAGGGGTGTGTACAGTGTGTTTTAAGAAGTTAAGTGGGAGTTCGAAATGATGTATCTGAACATCTGATGTTAATAAGGTGGAAAAGAGGGATAAGGAGTCATTGATATCAATGGGAAAAAAATGGAAAAAAAATGAAAAAAAATGAAAAAAATGATGAAAAATACCTTATATAAAACCTAGGTATAAAACTACGTTAAATTGCTCTATTACCCTGATCCACAACTAAGTAATAGGGAAGTTCATTACCTCATGATATATTTGTCGTAGATTAGTTAGTCTATCCCCTTTCTCAAGAACGCGACCACGCACCACCTTGCCCTGTTCTCCGGTCCCTCCCTCGGCCTCACAGGCATCCACTCCCTGGTAACCTCCCCCTCCTCATTCCTGGCATTGACATCCCTCTCCCATATCCTCTCCACAACCAAACCATTCGACACTGCAGTCTCAAAGAATGATGCAACAACTTCTCTTCCGGTATGGAACCCCGCAACAACCCAAGCTACTCCTCCTTCCCTAGCTCCCTTTTCATTGATATACGGTGATGGAGGCGCAAGAAACCACAACAGACTCCGCACAAGGTTCTCATGCTGATTCCTCATCCACAGACAGTCCGCTGCTATAATTCTTGTAAAGGAGCCCTTATTGTCCAGGGCGAATTTAAAGGGGGACGTTATCTTTGGATGTAGGTGAAGTGCTGCGTTTTCTTTCGAATGAGAAGATACTTCATCTGGGTTTAATATGCCCCATTCATGGGGCTGTATGGATACTCTGCACCGGAGGTGTTCGGGGATATTGTTGGCGACGTTTGCTTGGATAGCACCGTAGAGGGCCGGAGAGGAAGGATGGTCTGTTATGGTAACTTCGGCGGCACCAGCTAGAGTGCTTATGAGTGAGGGTAGAGCCGCCCCTGGTTTTCCATATGGGATTGTTGGTTTTCAGCTGGGGCTTTGAAAGTCATGTTTTTTTTCTTTCTTCTGAATGTATTTGAAGGTGCGACACAAAGGGAGGAGGAGCATTGTGGATGGAAAGAAATAATGGATATAGACCAAGTCTATATTGTTGTCCAAAGACCGCTTTCCACTAGTTAACCAAGTGAGATAAGAAAGCGGTATATTAATGTATTTATATATAAGTTAAGTAATTATATATAAATCCAGAACTACTGAGAGCAGCACGGAAGAAAGTGAGGGATAAAAGGTCAATCAACGTACGTTGGAAAAAGGAAGTATATGAAAAACAATTTCCCATTTCTTCTTGATTTCATGGCAAAAGGTTCCTCCTGATTGAGAGGAAAGAAAAGAAAACCAACTTACCTGCGCCGAGTTCCAACACTCTTTCTCCGTTGACGCACCAAATGGTATCCTTTTCGCCTTGAGCAGCCGTCGCTTTTTCGATTCCTTCAGCGACAACCAACCCCCCACCCCACAAATAATGCGCAAAGAGCCGTCTCCCCTCCTCAACCCCTCCTCCTTTTCCAAGCCTGTCCTCCTCTTCCCCTCGTTTGGGGTAATCAGGAACTATAACGGTCACATCACCCCACAGACCTGACTCGTATGCTAGCGCTTGACCAGGCTCTCCGAGACATGATGGCGCTTCATCAGGAAAGAGATGTGGGAGAAAACTAGTTAAGAGATCTTCTGCATCATCATCAGAAGTGGTTGGGAGGGTGGGAGAAGAGTGAATCTGGTTTGCTGAATGATGTTCCGTTGACCTGATAGTATGTTGCGAAGGTGAGATGTCCTCCTGATGGCGTATAACTTTTAGGCGGGAGGGAAGCATCGCAAAATTTGCCAGTTTGTCCTTGTGTTTTGAGGAATTTCGCTGTGAGAAGCGCCAAAATATTTTAAGAACCTGGGTACACACATAACATGGCTATATGAGCGGCAACAAAAGAACGGACAAAGATAGAAAAAAAAAAGTTAATACTTAGTTAAGGAGACGGCATTGATTCTTAGCCTTAAATAACTGGTTAACTTATCTGATGCGATAACTAGTTAACTAAAGCTTATCTGATCTGATTGAACCCTCGTTCCAGCCATCGCAAAGACAACTTCACTATACCCAAATCAACTCAACTCCAGATAGAAACGATGACGAAGAAAGACAATGAGGGTTGGAAGATAATTTCTATTCTGTTGCCAATAGATATGCCTCCTTTTCGAGCTTTTACGTTAGTGGAAGCTGATGTAAATAAGCCCTTTCTGCCTCGGATAGGTCGTTTTTGTCTCGCAGGATCCGTACTAATCCAACACTCTAAAGAACAAAAGCTCAGTGTGACTGTGCCAAAAATGCCTCATGATATATAAAATCAATATATGAAATTTTGTGATGGGGAATTGCGCCGGGGATGGTGGTAGTGTGTGGTCCGTCCGAGGTAGCTGGTTAGAGCTTGGTTTGAGGGGTTCATGACGTTCTGTACCATGAGGATGTAGTTGGATTAACCAGCCCAAGCCTCCCCTTTATAACTAGCTTAGATGGGCGAAATGTTTTTGCATTCATGGGCGGCTCAAGTTGTCTGCAAATCAGCCGGCTTGCCTCACAACCAAACTCATCATGACTGATCTCACCATCGATGACGTTGCATTTTCCCGCCTTAGAGACAAGGTCATTATAATTACAGGTATTGCAGCAGAGAGATACCTAGAAGTTTGATGCGAAACAGCATGGATGTTTCTAACATTTTAGTTATTTGATTGTTAGGTGGCTCATCCGGGATTGGTTTGGCAACAGTTCAACTTCTCCTCGCAAGTGGATCAAAGGTGGTAATTGGTGATCGCAATCCACCTCCACCAGAGCTAGTGGATGATGCCAATCTGACATATTTGCAAATCGATGTTACCAACTGGAGAGACCTGGTCGCATTGTTCAAGAAAGCAAGGGAAATTTATGGGTCGATTGATCATGTCTTTGCGAATGCGGGTGAGTTTTGAAAACTGCTGGCTGACGAGGAAGGGAGGGAGAAATGATATTAGTTGATAAATAGGTTGTTGACGCAAGTGATTGCCTAAAGGAATTTCCAGCAAAACCAGCTTCTTCGACGACGAAACTGATGAGAATGGAGATCCTGTCGAACCCAAGTACCCTACTCTCGACGTAAACCTAACGAGCGTGGTTAACACGGTGAAGCTGGCGATCTTTTATTTGAAGCAGCAGAAGGGCGGAGGGAGTATTGTTCTGACTGCTTCCGCATCCAGTAAGCTTCCCTTAGATTTCATGGAGTCGTGACGAGATTAGAACGCGGAGTTTTGATACTAAAGGCAAATCCAATATAAATACAAAAGGCTTCCAAAGGTTCTCATCAGTAGACTACAGTAAGTTTTGAAAAGAGAAAAAAAAAAAAAAAAAAAAAAAAAAAAAAAAAAAGGAAAGAGAGAGAGAGAGAGAAGCGGAAACATATCCATGACCAAAAAAGCCTCAGAAGTTTGGCCTAACACTGTATTTTTGACAATGCTCAGCAACTGCAAAGCACGGCGTCCTTGGTGGGTATTTCACTATCTAAAGAGCGTTGGGAAGTTTTCATGTACACAGAAAACTGATCATTCTCTCTAGGTCTAATGCGCGGCCTCACCCCGCATCTATATCCCGAACTCCCCATCCGCATCAACGCCATTGCGCCTAGCTGGACAGATACCGGAATCGTTCCACGCGCCCTTCTCGAGCTGGTAGGTGTTACCGTACAGTCTGCGCATGTCGTCGCTCTCTCCGTGGCGCTTCTCATGTGTAGCGATGGCGGGAACAGCGTGGATAGCGTGGATAGAGTGGATAGCTCACGCCATGGACAGCTGATATACTCTGTTGCCGGATTATACAGGGAGATTGAAGAGGGGATGTTGGAAGCGGTGGCTGGGTTGTTGTCACCTTTGTCACCTGATGGGTTAAGTGAAAATGAGGCTCTTGAGAGAGTTTTGGTGGCTGTTAGGACGATGAAGTTGGAAAAGGATGGTGTGAGTAAGTAGGGAATTAAGGAACCGAGGTGGGATGTCTTGATTGCTGCGGATCGTGCTTAGTCTTCTGTGCATTTGTACGTATGTGAAAAGGCTCCAACACGCTGCTGTAAACCACAACTTTCCTGGGTTCAAGGTACACTATTACCGTATGCGCAAGCCCCTGCATGTTGGGTTTGAAGAGAATTTCAAGATTGCATTTTTTGGACAAGCACATCTCAGAACGTATCTGATAAGAATACTTTGGCGCACCCGAAGCATTGGTGCTCAATAAGCTTCTCCATTTCTTTCATCAGTTGAACGTCCACGAGTGAAATTATTCTCGAACAATACTTGAGCTTTCATGATAGTGATTCTAGCCTGCAGAGGAAGCTTGTTCCACACATCCTCTATTATTCCATGATAATTTATTCTGCACCAACAGGGTTACCAATGTGTGCACTCCAGGCATGGACTCGAGGAACAGGCATTTCTAGGACGCCACGAGTCTGCGCAACCATTAATTAACGCAACCGACAAATCGTCGAAGGCGAGTAACTTGCAAATTCCATCATCGCGACCTCTGATGCCGTGGGGTACTACTTAGGTCCAGCGATAGGATGGGATGCTCTGGCGATTGCAGCCAATCCGTTATCCATTGAAAGTCGAAATGTTGTGTTGTAGGTGCCCTCTGCTAACTTAGTGACACATTTGTTCACACCAACACTTCTAGCAGCAATATACTGGAGTTCCACCACATTGAAGGATGTGAATTGATCCCAGAGCTGCTATTCCTCAATCCAAAGCCAGCGTCCATTTGTGTACCGGGAGAAATTTTCATGGTGGTCGAGACTAAGATCCGACACTGGATGCGACTGAGTCTGGTGATCGGATGGGCACACCCCATGTGAGAATATCTTTGAAAAGCTGGGGAATGGACGAATATGACCATTCCTATAAAGCGATCGTGCGCCCTTTGTCTCTGTGACGAAGAAACTCAAGGTGCCCCGGGCATTCGTGTTTCTGAGCTTAAGGGGAACTAGTTATTTAGTTAACTAATCACCGAGGATAAGATTAGTCAGCAGTCAGCCTTGTTGTGATCCATGGAACTTAACGGTCCCATAAAATCGCTCGTGGAAGAACAGAAGATTCAGGATATTACTACGTGGAAGACTTGTTGACAACGATCCATTGTCCCTGCAAGGGAGAATCGGATTGAGATTCTTAACCTTTCTTCCTGCCCACACATTGATAGATAGATGCTGACTCCGGCGAAGAAGTGAAACTCATTACTAGTTACCGACCCGGTAAATTTCCCATTGCCTATTTAATTGGGATTTGCTCAACACGCAGTAGATATTGCAGCGTGTTACAGTCTTAAGTGCTGATGATGTCCTATATAACATCCACAATGATGACGAGTCTATACAGGCCTCGTCAGCATTCAAGGCTCGCATATCGATAAGTATGAGGGGTCCCGACAAGGGCTGGTCTAACTGCCATAATACACGGCTGGATGGTTCAGCCTCCTCCGCACCTTTATTTTGATGCAGTGATCTTTCGACAATGCTGCTGTCCCCAGTCTGCATGGCATTACGAACCGCATCAGTTACCAGTTTCCCTATACTGTACCGTTTAAATTTATTCGTGCAGACAAATAAGAAAATTTTCTCTGGTATTGACGGTGGTTGCGAAGACGAAATCTTCAATTATTTCTCTTCACAGAGTGAACCCTGGAATCCCTCCTTAAGTTAACTACCTTCACAGGTCAAGAGTAAAAATGGAGAATTATACCTAGTCAATACTGGCCATTAATTTCCTCGATCACTATAACAGCCCTAACTGCACGATGGTCGGCATGGCCCGTGGAACCCACCCTGCACAACCCGCCGCGTCACAACCAACCTGCTCTCCCAACCTTCGCAACCCACGATATATACCAAGTACGGTACCTCATAAATGGGAGGAATGCTTCCACCAGCAAGAATATGATAGCTTGCATTCATTCATACAGCTGATGTCTCCTAGAATTTAAACCGTCCTAAAGGTGCAAGCGAAAACCAAAGCCATTCAATTCGAATAACCAACTCCATATACACATATCAAATAACTACTTCTTCACAAGCACATCCAGAACATAAAAAAAATGGATCCCCTAACCACCAAATCTTTCACAACCTCCCGCCATGTCACATACATCTATTACGCCTCGCAGCCACCGACAGCTTCCCACACGGATCCAGCCCTCCTCTTCCTCCACGGCTTCCCCGATGGCCCTCTCCTCTGGCGCCCCCTGCTCCCCTATCTCCTCATGCTCCCAAACCGCCTCATAATCCCCTCCCTCCTCGGTTACAGCCCAACATCCACCCCGACCACACCCTCCACATATAACTCCCAGGATATGTCCGCAGATCTCGCCGAACTCCTCGCAGCCGAAAACATTGACAAAGTCGTCGCCATCGGCCACGACTGGGGCAGTTTCATGGCCACGCGCCTATACGTCTGGCAACCCACGCGAGTCTTGGGCCTGTGTCTATTGAACGTCGCGTATTGGCCGCCCAGCCCGGAGGCGCCGTTTGACCTGAATGAGACGAATGCAGCCGCAGAGAAGGCGTTTGGGTATCCTGGGTTCTCGTACTGGGAGCTATTTACGGCGGAGGATGGGGCGTCCGTACTGGAGGGGAATGCGGAGCGGTTTTGGGAGGCAATGCATGGCGATCGGGAGCAGCCGCGGTGGATGAGGGAGATGTTTTGTGCGAAGGGGGCGTTGAGAGGGTTTTTGGAAAAGGGGGATGCGAAGAGTGAGAGTGCGGGGGATGGTAGGCTTAGGGAATATGCGCGGGAGGGGAGTGTGTATAAGGAGGATTTCTTTCGGCGGCTGAAGGACAAAGAGAGTGGTGGCATTGCGCCCGCACTGTGTTGGTATAAAGCTTTCGCGTGGAATGAAAATTTTAAGGTTGAGAAGGCGCTGGATGGGGAGAGATTGGCGTTGCAGGTGCCGACGTTGTTTGTGGCTTGTCACGATGATGCGGTGTGTAGGCCGGAGTATAATGAGATGCCCCTGCACGCAGGTTTGTTGCCCGATTTGAAGGTTGTGGAGGTTGCGGGGTGTGGGCATTGGGGGATTATGTATGAGAGGGCGGAGGAGTTGGCGGGCATTATTCTCGGATTTTTGAAGGAAAAGTTTGCGTAGAGCTGGTCTTTCGCATTCACTCGATTTGAAAGGTGTCGGGAATTGCATCTCATTTCCCTGGGTTTGGATCAACACTGAGGTATGCAGAAACCTGTATTTTTCAATGCACAATGCTGACTCTGTTCAAGCAGAGCTGCAATCAACGCGAATATCGACAGGCTCAAGCTTGCATGGAGGGGATGGGAGGAGATGATGTTGTTAAAGCTGAAATCCAACATGCTTTGCATTTAGCGATATATAGATCATAACTTCGATGAAAAGTGCAACATCAGCAGGCAGGTTAACTTCAGTCTCTTCATCAACTCTGTTGAGGACCAGTACATGCACAGTTACCCTTCATTCCACCAGCTAAAGGATGCTGGGAAACCAGAAACCGGGACAGGGTCTATGAAAAGAAGCACAAAACTGCATGGACGCGAATCTAACCGCCAAAAAAAAAAAAAAAAAATTAAAAATTAAAAATTAAAAATAAAATAAAAAATAAAACGACGCAGTAATTATAACAAGCTGATCATAAAACATAGCTTGTATATCGGGGGTATCATACGAAATGGCAAAGAACTACACGTCAGAAAGATATGGATGGCAGCACTGAACGACGCCAAAAAAGAGGGAAAAGGAAAAGGAACGACAAGACTAAACTCCATCGCAATGCATCAAACACACACGTGTATATACTCAACCTCTTAATCTCCCCACCTCAAATCCGCCGATACCAGTTCGCCTGCCTCTTCCAACTCTTCGTCCGCCGCCTAGAAGCCAACTTTCTTCTCCTCTCAAACGCATCTTGTTCCCCACCCCGTCCCCTCTCCCCAGCAGCCCCCGATTCCTCATCTTCATCTTCTACCATTTCAACCGGAACCCCCTCAACCATCTTCACCCTTTTCCCTTCCCAAAACGTAATCCCTCCCGCAACCATGCCGGTCACAGAGCCCGCAGCAACGAGGAACCCCACCGCCCAACCAGGTCGCGTAAACCGGTTAAACCCCCACATTATGCCTGCCAGACAGGCTTGCAGAGCTGTGTTGATCACGTACATCCAGACGAGGAGGTCGAGGAGATAGGGTTTTGTCGGTGGTGCGCGGGCGCCCGTTAGAGGGGCTGGGGGGATGGAGGAGGGTGGGAGTGGGAGGGCGGGGTTGGATTGGAGTTCGGAGAGATTGTGTGCTGGGATATTGCTGTTGGTTGTAGATGACGGTGAGGAAGAGTAGACGGGGGGAGGGCCGATATCATCGGGCAGTTTATCGCTGTTGGCTAACCTGAACCAAGCTCTATGGATGCCTGCCAGCTTGCGGAGGGCGGTGTGAGAGTTCATCAGCCGCCATTGAAGGAGGTAGCAGAAGTCCCTGAAGCGCCAGGGAATGAGGCCGAAGCCCGTAACGCAGAAGAGGGCGTTGAGAATCTGGGAGTCGATTTCTATCCACATTTGTCTTGGAGAGTCAGGCGCCGTGCATGATGGGTTACACATTGCCGGCGCGGCATTGAGGAGGAGGAAGAATATCATTGCACCCCAGGCAACGATGTTGAGGCCGTAGATTGTAACGAAGAAACCGAAGGGGGTTATTATGAAGTTACCAAAAGCCTTCAGGCCGATTACTATGGCTTCTTTCCATGTGTGTTTCGGTGGGAAGCGATAACCGTTGGGGTATCTGCCAGCTACATCGGGGACGGGGGGAGCAGAGGAGGGAGTATCAGAAAGAGTGGGCTTTCCCATCTCCTGTGGGGATTCCTTTTTCGCCTCGATGGCATCAGCAGAGCCTCCTGCCTTTCCGAAACCAACTTGTTGTAGTTGTTGTGGTTGTTGGTTTGGTCCCATTTCCGATATTCTGCACAAGTCAGGGTTACGGACCGGATCGGTGGAGGCGCGCCGTAGTTGCGCTTCATGTTCCCTCAGGAAATCCAGCTGCGTGTTTTGGGGGCCGAGGACACTGTCACGGGCAGCAGAAGCAGAAAAAGCACATGCTGCCAGGGTATTAGCCCGGGACAATTTCCTTCTCTGGATATCATGGGGAGTGCTGCCTCTCCATTCCAACTGGCCTTCCTCCGTCCAGCCATCAGTGCTGAAGCAGCCAGTACGGATCTCATTAAGAGTGGGTGCACGAGAAATGATATCCCCTGTAGCCATCCACATGCCCGTGGGAGGGTTTGATACCAGGAACCTCAGGGAGGCACTTTGCAGGCGGCAAGTGGTGATTGAAGAGACGGTGTTGGAGCGTTGGGGTTCTCTATTTGAGACTGGAGGGTTAGCAGTACACGAGGGATAGCCATGTGCGTCTTCCACAGCAGGGAAGGGCTCCATTATCGCAGAATCCTTATTTTATATACACGCCAGATCCGGTACAACTGAGGAGAAGACCGCGAACGATAAAAGGGTGTGCATTCCAACATCAGGAAAGAACCGAGCGAGGGAGCTGGAAGTTTGAAAAGCAACATATAGCTCAGTTGAAGACAAGTGATGCAGAGAATGATAGCATCGTCTTATGTGTTATCTAAGAAGGTATTGGCAGTGGGATAACTCGTTTGTTGTATGAGGATAGAATAGGAACAAAGAAGAAACGCCGAATGACGCAGAGCTCTGTGATTGGCGGGAAGACGGTACAACCGCCGTAGCTTGCATTGCAATTGGTCTGCAGAGAAGCAAAACAAAACAAAACAAAATAAAAAACTAAATATGGTGAGTATTCTCTTCGACAGCAAGTAAGAAGTTATTCTATCATATCTTGTTCTGCCCCTGTGCCCATGAGAAATGAAATAATGATGGCAATGCAGTTTTGCAGGTTTGTGGGGGTACAGAGTATGTTCGAATGGCCTTCTCAGAAGCTCCGCAATTAGAGGGGGGTCCGTCGGCCGGGCGCATTTTTACACATAGAAATACTCTGACAGAGATGAAAATAGTGAAAGATCAGAAAAGTAAGAGATAAATTTTTCTCTACTTTTATTCCTTTTATGCATTTTCTCCTTCTCTTTTCCTTTTTAACTTTTCCTTTTTCTCCTTTTCTTTTTATCTTTTTACTTTTTTTTTTAATTTTATTTATTTTATTTATTTTTATTTGAATTATCATTGCCGCAATTCTCTGCAAGTTAAATCGAGAGCGGGCATTGAGTGGTACCCGATGGCGACATGGAAAGTGGCAAATGTTGGCAGTGGGGCTGAGGTATCGCGTAAGTTACCTTCTATTTCTGCTACAACCAACTTCTGCATATCCTGTGTTGGGCGCATCCAGAATGCAAGAATGCAGAACAACCCAAGAGTAGCCAGAGAATAATTAGGCGGACAAAAAAAAAAAAGTTCTACGGAGATGGACTGGTTGGTTATTGGTTGCAGAAAAAAAAAGATTTTCCCTAGTTCATATGACCTTTTTGATTCAATTGGAAGAAATACCCTTTTGATAGTTGTTAAAGAGTCTGATAAGATATTTGAAAACAGATGATAATAGCCAATTTTATTTTATTTTACTTTCTTTTTCTCCCCCTTCTTTTTCCCCTCTCCGGTTCTGCTCTTCGCTGGGTCCGCTTTGCTGCCAACACAAAATCCCTGTTTGGTGGCTCTAGTCAGGAACATAGCAGCAAAAAAACCTTCCCTCTGGCTGGGTGGAAAGAGCAAAAAATAAAACAAAAACAATGTATTCGTCAATCCGCCAGAATTAAATGGAGGAAAGTTTCAGTCGTCAATCGAACTGAGAAATAAATAAGTAAATTTCACATTCTGAACCGCTGCAATTGGTAAAAACAGGGCACTGAGAAGTAAAGAAAGTATGCTGAGAATTTAATGATGGGAGGGGGGGGGGGGGGGGGATATAAAAATAGACCCAAAGAGTCAGAGCCCGGACCCGCAATCTTCTCCAAACCCAAACCGAAAGAAATAGTTATTGGGAGCTGGGAAGTTAAATAATATCAAAAAACAGAGCATGAGAGAGCAAGCAGATGGAGTGTGAGTTCTCCCTCCCTTGCTATTGTTTCCAAATAACTGTTCTTGTTAGTCTCTGCCCCAGGTCACTAGTTGGCATTGACTGTTGTAGTTCTATGTGCCTAGGGAGCTAGCTGTTGACCATACGAACGAGGGGGCGGGGATTCTTCTACGGTGTCCCTTTGGGCCTGGGCAGGTTGTTTGCTGGATAGATAACTTATTAATAAAGATTGAGATAAGTTGGTGAACTAGTCATCGAAAGAAGAGGAGTAAAAGCCATAGCTGCTTGGAGCCAGGGCGCAGGGTAGATCCAGTTAGAAAGAATAATTAATTTCGTAGCTCATCCAGAATATGTCATGTGGATAGTAGATATTTTTCATGCGCTCGCTCGTTCACTGCACCTTTTTTGACCATTTTCTCAGCTCACCCTTGATTTTTATTTTTTATTTATTTATTTATTTATTTATTTAATTTTTTTTTTTTTACTCCCAATATTTTTTATTTCATTTTATTTTTATTTCTCACCTCCCAGCTTTCTGTTAGACTTCGAAAACCGGGGACTTCTTTGGGGCCTTGTTTTTCATATTTCTGAATTGTATTTTAAAAACTATCTATTCTCTTTTTTTTTTTCCCCTTTCTCTAGTTAAAACACTCTCTCCAACATTTTTCTCCTCCTCAATCTTCATCGAGACCCTCTCGCATCCTCACTCTCTTCTTTTTCTTCTTACACTCTCTTCGGTTATTCTATGTCTCTCTTCCACCCGTTCAACGTATGTTCCCACTTCCCTTTCCTATCAGTATCCATCCAGCCTGATCGTTCAATGCTCCACTGTCTCTTGAACCGCCGGCCGATCCTCCATAACCAATTATTGTTTGGTGCTAGTATATTTAGTAAAATAAATAATCAGCTCATTGCCGCGGATTCAAATTTTTTTTTTCTTTTTCCCTCTCACCTAATTCTATTCCTCTTCCTCTTCCTCACTTCCTTCTCCCCCTACTGATTCCCCCCCGCCCTGCTCTTTCACGACAAGCTCTCTCCCTCTGAGACTTGCTGTGGAAGAGTCCGTTCGTATAAAATGGCTTCGTTCAAAGTTAGTAGTTCTGGCCTCTGTTCCTCATCTTCAATCCAAATGGGATCTACCGCCGGATGAGCCATCCTTTCAAAATTCTAGTTCTGACCAACGCCCAACAAATTTCCCCTTCTTTCTCTACAGGAACCTTCCTCCACCCTCTCGCGGCCCGTTAGCCATATCACCCCCCCCCTCAGTCAATCCAATGGCCGTCACCACTCCCATTCCGTCTCCCTCGGTGCCGTCAACATCAACCACCGCATCACCCGCCGGAAAAGCATGTCCTCCACCGCCGCCAATGCTGCTGTTGCCGCTGTGGCCGCAGCCCTAGGCGAATCCCCAAGTGCCGCTCCCCTCTCCACCTCCCTTCACCGTCGAGGACTGAGTTCGCGAAGAGCCATCGAATCCACGTCCGTGGGAGCCTCGTCCGGATTTAGTTCTTATCTCTCACGAAATGGTGCTCAAGATGCCGGCACTGGCCTGGTACGCAAGAATTCACCTAATTCCATTGATGAGAATACGGCGGTGGAAGATGTTTCCCCCCCTATGACGGAAGCAGGCGCCGTCGGTGTCAGTAGTAGTAGTAGTGGTGGTGGTGGTGGTAGTTTGAGCGGGAGTGGTGGTAAACCCATAAGCACGAAGCAGCGGAGTCGTAGAGCCAGTGAAGGTTCCCACTTGGTCAGAGCTGACGGGAAACGTGTTATGAATGAGTTGAGATGTGATCGGTGTGGAAAAGGGTATAAGCATAGCAGCTGCTTGACAAAACATATGTGCGTGTGTCCTCCATCCATTGCCCTCACTTTCCTTCGACAATATGCCACTTCTGTTTTACAATGCCTTCAGGCTGTTGTATGCAGCGTTGCATGCCGTTGCTGTCATCATAGAGGAATTGATTTGCTCCCTGCAATTCTGATATGAATATTATTTACTTGGTTTTCTCTCCCGCATTTCATTAAACTTCAAATACTTTAATGTTTATCATTGTTTTGGAGAATTATTTATTAACAAACTGTTGACAGGTGGGAACACGACCCAGCATGGGCCTACACATCCAAACTCCTTATCTCAAAACACCAGCAAGTCCAGCTCCTTGAAGCTGCAACTGTCCTGGTCAACATGAACCCGGAAAACCCAGGATCATCAGACCACCAACCCCGCAATGGAGAATCGGATCGCTCCTCCTCCTCCCCAACGGCCTCCGGCATCTCCGAACTACGGGACGGCGGGAGCTCCACGGAAACCACACCACCCCCAACTGGCGAAGAGGGAAGCTTCTCAGCGAAACTCAGGGACGCACACCATCAGCACCAGCACCAGAGCTGCACTCCTAATCGCCAGCACCACTTCAGCACCAGTAGCTTCTCCCGCTCTTTTCAATCTATCCGTTCAAGCTCCTTCACCGGCAGCGCCCCCACCTTCTCCCCCTCCCGCTCCCACTTCCGCCAATCGAGCACAGACACTAGGCCCTCCACAGCAGACCCCAGCGGGCTGCTGGATGATGACGAAGCCGGCCTCGCCGCCGCCATTAAGCTGTGTCATTTCGGCACACCTCGCACTGGTCCCGTGCCTATGTCCCCGGATATCCCTCCCGTGCCGCCATTGCCGGCTCGCTTCCTGGATAGCCAGAGCATGGGAGTGGGCGCTGGCAACAACATGGCTGCTGGTATCACCAATGACAAAAACAACAATACCGCTACCAGTATTTCCGTCAACACGCATAGCTTCGACATGCTTGTCAAAGCGGCTAAACAGGAAGCCTCGTCCCCCACGCCTACCGTATATAACCCGATCACTATGCATCAGACGCTGTCGTATCGTGTTTCTGATGTGCGGGATGTGAAGATGGATGATGCGTTGCTGGGTTCTCGTAATTCTACTGGCAGCAGTGGTATTGGTGGTAAGAAAAAAGCCAAGTCTATATCCATGTCCATGTCCAACGCGGAGATGGATGATGATGACTTTGCGCAGGACCAGGGTTCTGTTGTGCCGATGGATGATGATGACGATGGGGTTTTTGGGAGGATGGAGGAGTGATTTTGAGTGACTGTACAACTTGTTGTACCAAGATGAGAAATGTGTTTCTTTGTTCTCTTATCATGATATTATGGCCAGCTACAAATGCCCCATTTTCCCTCACCCCGTTACTTTTCTTTGTCACATTTATTGATATGTTCTCTTTTGTTATTATCGTCGTTCAATTGATAAATAACAACGTACTGTGCCATACTGTACCTATTTCAGTTATTTTCATTGTCGAGAGTAATCTGTCGGTCAAATGATCGGTTTTTCCAGGAGTTATCCCAACCACGTGACTGGAAGCACGCACTTTGGCAGATTACATTCGCTCTCCATTGCTGAAGATGCTCTTGGTAGTAAATGGTTTAAACCAGATTTCGAAAAATTTCTTCACTTTCCATTGGACGGTTCAGCGTGATTTGCATTGGCCTGCCTGACAGTTTCACTAGGCTCGGATTCACATCAGGGGTAAACATAAGGAGGTCATCGCGGGGAGGATGATCCCTGTGAGGCGTTAAGGGAGAAACAGCGAATGAATATTCCAGCATGTGTATAATATCCTATAAACATATGAGAGACACGTGTTTAGAAAAGATATCAGTCGTGAAGGTCATTATAACCTGTAATAGAATCTCTAAAATCCACAGGACGCGATGCGAAAATTGTAACATCATTGAAAGCCCTCCTTTATATTGCATTTTGACGTAGCGGAAACATTAAGAATACAGGAACCCCAACGCCGAAATAATACCCGCCGTAACATGAAAGGCCAGGAAAAGAAATCCAAATCGAAGCCAAAAAAACACACAATGCAATAAAGGTCTTCTCCTTCAGTCGATTTCCATCTCGTCCTGCGTTCCACCATCCACCAAGAGCCTTGTCTTCTTCTTCGTCCGTAGCCTTTCCGTACCCATAACTTGTCCGATATTCTTGTTTGCCTGGGCTCCCAACGGCAAATCCTGTTCCTCTCGTTCCCTGAGCTCCTTGCGAATAAGATGTTCTCCCTGGGCCACCACCCTCCTGTCTTCCGCCCTCTTCTTCTCCCGCGCCAACTTGCCGGCCAGTCTTCTCTTGGTAAACACACGCTCCCGCCTTTGTCTGATTTCCTCCACCCTTTCCATGGCCTTGAGAGTTGCTGCCACCAAATTGCGGTCGTACTTGACGGGGACGTTTCGTCTCTTGGCAAATTGGGAGAGGAGGAGTGATGAATCGACGATCATTTCCTTGCCGTGGAGGGCGCGGTGAGTCTTAGTCCACTTCAGTTTTCGGGGTTGTCGCTTCATCTTGAAGTTCTTGTGGCATTTTGAGCGGCAGAAGCGGAATGTACGGGCGTCATTGCGCACAAATGTTATGCCCTTGCCTGGATAGCATGGCTGGGAGCAGAAATGGCAGGTTTCGACCCTGTGGTTTGTTTCATTTTAAGCTTTAATGAATTTCTCAGAATAAAACGGCATAAGAAATAAAAAGAACGCATACCTCATGGCTGCTTATATATAGGTGTCTTTGTAACGAGTCTCGACTTGAACAAAATTGAGGTTACTTTCTATACATTTCCCTCGATCTTGGCCGTTTGACGTTGTTTCGACTTTTATTTCTTTTATTTTATTTTAATTTTTTTGTGGTGGAGATCTGGTCATGTGATATATCTATGCGCTAGGCCTAATATAGACTAGTGCATTTGACTTCTCTATTTCCTTCTGCGAAACTTCATCGCAGGCAAAATTCAGTATTTGCGACCTCATCGTTCGCTTTATTACATTTTCAGTCCTACCCTTGATACCCTGTCGCACTCTCACATATCTACTCATTTTGGTTGCGTTGACCGTTGATCGACCATTTAACTTCTTTCATCTTCAAATATGACGTCTGTTCTGGCTGTCGGCCTTGGAGTCGCAACTGCAGCATTCTTGGTTCGTTTCTCCCTTCCATCCGTTTCCTTGAAAAGCAATAGAGACTGATAGTTGTTTAAATCTAGGGCCGTGCCGGACTTGTTGCTTTTCGCCGATATAGAGATGGCGTGAGCAGCATAGGAAAAGCCTTTTACAAGGGAGGATTTGAACCTCGTATGACCAGGCGCGAGGCATCACTTATATTGGAACTTTCGTACGTGATATTGCCAACACCGATATTGATATCCCTTGCATTGATTTTGATTTCCTGGTGTAGATGTCAGTGTCTTTTTTGCTAACATAGAGGCTCTTGATGTAGTGAACGGAACTTGAACAAAGACAAAATCCGAACGCACCATCGCAAACTTATGCTACTCAACCATCCTGATCGGGGAGGAAGCCCGTACCTTGCCTCAAAGATTAATGAAGCGAAGGAAGTATTAGAAAAAAGCTAGTTATTGGAAAAATGGGTTTCGGGAAACTCTGTCCTAGATATCTAAACTAGGGTGAATTCCAACCAGCGACGTGGCTGGAATGATTTTCTCCGGACCGCGCCCAGTTTAAGATATTCTTTTGCCGTGTTTCTTTTTTTTTTTTTTTTCCTTTTTTTTTTTTTTGTGTTTTATATTTTGTCCGGGTTTCCTCTTCCCACGAGGGATGCATAGCGAGGCGTTTGGTTGTTTTAGTACATAGACATTTTCTATCTTTTGTTGCATTTAGCCACCCGCACGTGCAGTGCTGCAAATCCCTCCTCTTCCTTTGCCATGTACGGAACCGCGTTGTATATTACTGACACGAATACAAAACATTTCCTGCTGTCATTTTATAATTTTTTATTCTTTATCTTCCCCATGTTCCCATCGACCGGAATTTTCTCCTAACGAGTTTTGAAAGGCCATTCTGTTGAAGAAATTGGGTTTCACTTCTATCGCTATTTTTATGACATACTTGCAGGCGTTCATTTACCAGAATCACTATTTATCTGCTTAGTGAATCATCCGTTTAGATTCGATGGACGTTCCATCATTCAAAGGACCTCCTCTTTCGGTTTGGCTTGGTCGATAGTCTTAGAGCTGAGGTTGTTTCAATAAAAGTGAGTACATGAATTTCCTTCATAGGGAACTGTTGATTGCTGTGTCTTTAAGCCGGCGCTCTATACTCTGTACGCGCATAGTTTTCAGCCATGCACTGGATCAAGACAAGCTGCTAGACAGTTATTGAACACAGGATGGTTATGCTATGCCGTGATCAACTATTCCACTGCTCCAAGCCTTAATTTTGGCTGTTTGACGAATAGATGTAAAACTCTGGCTGCCTGGGAATGTCGGTCTGACATCAATTACTCGACTCGAAGGATGTTCATCCAGTCGCAATTCCTCAACTTCGAGTTCTGAAGGCTTTTCAGAAACAAGTAATTCCACCCCTCGGCATGGAGCAAGTGAAAAATTTATTGAAATTGGGATTTAAGGGCGCGGATAGTTGTCCTAGCTCCACACGAAAAGAGCGGGGTTCTATCAACGCAAGGAATCATCATCAAACTACTCATCTTCCAGTTGACCTGATCACTTTCCAGCTGAAAAACATCTTGTTGGCAAAAGCCGGAGCCTCTCTTCGATGCCTCTCTGCCACTGGCCAGATAAGCCAGGATTGTTGGAGCGAAATTTTTCACCTGGTGTGCGAGCGTAGATCTCTCCATCGACGGGCATCGTCGGCAAAGAATAATGAACAAAAATGAACATGTGTTCGAGTTAATAGCATTCTTCATACTCTTCTAATGTGATTGATCAAATACTTCCTCTCATTTATATATATATGTCCAAAAATAGGATATTCTCACCTGGAAGGTCGAAGAAGTACGCTGATATAAGCAGAACTCCGGAGGTTCTTTCGCAAGTTGACTGGCCAATTGTAATTCGGGATTGTGCCAATCGGCGGACCTTAACTAATGCGGATCCCCGCGACTTGGAGGGGCTGAAGGGCTGAAGGACGCCCCGCCGGAGAGAGTGAGAGAGTGAGATAGCAACACTCTGTCCGGCAACTTTGGGAGAATGCGGATTGCCGTATAACCAATCCGGTTTCCCAATTTCCGAGTCTGGTAGTTAAATAGTTCCACTTACATATTTCAATTCAGCATTGCCTTGCCTTCCGTGGAATAGATATCCACGGACCTGTCATCGGTATCAATTATTTATAAGTCCATTTGGCAACTATCAAGAATGCCTTTGGGTGCGGCCGACGTCTTTTCGGCTCCAGAGCCTAAGTTTTCTGCGTTCCCGAGTAGGCGAAGTGTCGTCCATAGTACTAAGGGTATTGTTGCGTGTACCCAGCCATTAGCTGCTGCTGCGGGACAAAGGATCCTAAGAAATGGAGGCAATGCTGCGGTAAGAGAAATTGACTTCTCTCCATTCTTCGATTCTTGGTGACCCCTTTAAGTTTTTTGTAATTGGATTGCCGATGTTGTGAAATTTAGCTAATAATGGATCATTGCAGGATGCCGCTGTCGCCGTTGGTATGTAGTTACTGCTACTCGTACGAAAAGTACACTGTCACTCAACTAAATAGCTAATAATGTATTTGGAAAATAATTAGCTGCGGCGCTTAACGTCACAGAGCCATCCTCAACTGGCATTGGTGGTGACATGTTCTGTCTATTTTACAATGCAAAGACCAAAGAGGTGCACGCCCTGAACGGTTCTGGTCGTGCAGCGGGATATATTTCTCTTGACCTTGTCCGCAAGGAGTTGGGACTTGCTCCTGGCGAAGAAGGCAAAATTCCCATGACCAGTGTACACTCTGTGACGACGCCAGGTGCTGCTGCTGGGTGGGTAGACACAGTGGAACGTTTTGGAAGCGGAAAATTGTCCTTGGAGCAGATCTTGCTACCTGCCATCGAGCTGGGAGAGGAGGGATTTCCTGTCTCTGAACTTGCCGCCAAATTTGTGCGTATTTCCCCCCCCCCCTCCTTACCACCTCCTTTTATTTGTCTACTGCTACGGAACTAATCAACACATTAGTGGGAGGAGGGCGAAGACGGTATTCGCAAAGCATCGCCAAACTTTAGAGAAATGCTGAAAGTAGACCCTGATGGGGAGGATGGTGTGAGATCTCCGAAAGCAGGAGAAATATTCTGGAATCCCACTCTTGCACAAACATTTCGAACACTAGCCAAGGAAGGGAAGAAGGGATTTTATCAGGGCCGCATTGGAGAAGCAATTGTAAAAGTTGTGCAAGACCTGGGCGGTTACCTCACATTGGATGATTTGAAATACCACGCGGAAGTTGGCAGCCAAGCAGTCGACGCCATTTCACTAAAACTCAATCCGACCAACATTGGTGGGACCAAGCGTGAAGGAAAGGGAGAGATAGAAATATGGGAGCACCCCCCTAACGGCCAGGGTATCGTCGCCCTCATGGCACTGGGGATTCTGGACGAATTGTCCCGTACCGGCAAAATACCCCACTTCACATCAGCACAGCATAACTCAAGCGTCTATCTCCACGCCATCATCGAAAGTCTACGAATCGCCTTCGCCGACGCAAGCTGGTGGGTGACAGACTCAGACGTTGAAAAAGTACCCACAAAGCAACTGATTTCCCGCTCCTATCTCGCTGAGCGTGCGAAACTCTTCAATCCAGACAAGGCCGTTAACATCCTCGACCGCGGCAGCCCCGCCCACAACCACTGCGATACCGTTTACTTCGCCGTAACAGACCATGAGGGCAACGGCATCTCCTTCATCAACAGCAACTACGGCGGTTTCGGTACCGGCATTATCCCGCAGGGCTGTGGCTTTACGCTGCAGAACCGTGGTGCTAACTTTTCGCTGACGGCCGGCCATCCCAACGTCATTGCACCCCGCAAACGACCCTATCACACCATCATCCCCGCTATGATCACCAACCCGTTCGATAACTCCCTGCACTCTGTTTACGGGGTCATGGGCGGCTTCATGCAGCCGCAGGGCCACGTGCAGGTACTGATGAACATGCTTGCATTCAACCAAACACCGCAGGAGGCGCTGGATGCCCCGCGCATTTGCATTGGCGCGGGAATGCCGGAGCGTGGAAAGCCGCTGGACCGTACTGTGTATTTGGAGGAGGGGATTGAGGAGTCGGTGGTGGAGGGTCTGAGAGAGCTAGGGCACAATGTTATGGTTTTAAAGGGATTCCAGAGAGGAATGTTTGGACGGGGCCAGGTTATTCGGTGCCATTTCGATGAGGGGAAGTTGATCTATAGCGCTGGAAGTGATATGAGGGGCGATGGAGCTGCGTTTCCGGTCTAGGGATTAGTTACACTGATGATGCCTGTAGATATAGAGTATAGTATGTGTTATGCGATGCAATAGATGTATATACACTTCAGATATTACTATCATGAGCACAATCCACGATGGGGTTTTATGGTCATGAGTGCGGTATATTACCCCGACCTTATGTCAAACTAGCGGTTCCGAGTTACCATAGATGCGCATTAGAGTCATCAGAAACCACCAGTTAGTTAAATATTACATCCATGGGATGCTAAAGACTAGTTATTCATGTGATGAATTTTGCGAATCAGTTCCAGCAATCAAGAACCTCCCATCGACTGTCTGGTAAACTACGGAGAAACCTCGACACAGAAACATAGGAACAACCACCCACCAATCAAAACATTCGTAATTCTATAGTTATATATATATATATATATATATATATATATATTAACTGGGCGACGTACTCCCTCGTCTCGCTGTTTTATCCTGTTCTGCGTAGAGTTTTTGCCACACGCAAGGTTTTCTTCCTCTGGGACCACAGAACGAACGGCGCATCAGTAAACAACTATGAACGGATGGTTGTGTGGGAAGGCCGTAGGGTTTTTCTTGCCGTGTGTCTGTGTGTGTGTGTGTGTGTGTGTGTGTGTGTGTAACTATTCGCGGAATTAAGGGTTTTGTTAAGCGCCGGGGATTTACAGGTACCTATTTAACCCTCCAAGAAAAGGTGGACTCCTGATTCTGGTTTGAAAGCGAACAGACCGATAAGGGCTTGGAGGTGGGGGGGCTGACATTGAGTTACGGTGCTTAGTTAACAAACAAAAATCACCATCCCTCTGAATGCCTGAAAAGTTTACAAAAAAAAAAAAAAAACAATTATTAGCAGTATATCGGCCAGTCAACAACTGCAGCCCACTACTGCAGTCGTAATAATTGTGCCCTCTGTGCAACGACCACAGCCAGCAGCTGGTCAGGGACCAATGGGAGGGGGGGGGAATCGGGAAGATTTCTTGGGTCTTTTTCTCGAAATTTTTCTAGGGGGACTGCAGAAAGTGGAGGCTCAAACTGTCTCGTCCCCTTCAATTGATGTTTGAACTCAAAAAATGTTGTGATTACGCCTGGCTGCAAGGACAAGAAAAAGGGTTTTTTTTTATTTGCCGGGTTAAAAACCGGGAAGAGAGAAAGTGGGAAATGCTGTTCAAAATGTAAGGGACTCCAGTGAGTGTAGGGTCTGTCTTGATATGCGATAATTACTGTGCTTTAAAAGATAATTCGATGGGCATAGGCATTTCGATGCATGCGTAGTTAATACATAACTCCATCCGCAACCCCTAACTATCTATCATCAACCCTCTTCCCTGGTGTTGAGAGGCGGGTTGGAAGGGGGGAGCTGGAGGTTTCACGTTGTTTGAACACTTGTCGTCTCTCCCGCAGTTAACTAACTACACAACTCTCTCTCTTTCAGCGGCTCGCCCTTCAACCAAGCGCCCCGCCTGTTGTTGGAAACCTCAACTAATTTGTTAGGTCAGCATCGGCCCAAACCTTGGATCAGCCTTCCTTCCTGCAGCAACAACCTGGGCCAGTTGCACGCCTGCTGAGTCCCCCCCCCCCCCTGCTGGCCCCTGCCCACACCTGTCAAATGTCAAATGTCCCCCGTTATTATCCCTCAGCTGCCCCTCTCCCAAGCCTTGTCTTTTTCTTCTTCTTCTTCTTCTTCTTCTTCTTCTTCTTCTTCTTCCTCCTCCTCCCCCTCCTCCCCCTCCTCCTCCTATCTTTCTCCACTTCAATTAACTCTCTATTCTCCCTCTTTCTTTTCTTTTACCGCTTCTCTGAGTTTCTCTCTCTTGGATCCTTTCCTCCCATTCCTAAGCAGAGCTTGCCTCTTGGTTGTGTCGTTCGTTCTTTGGTTGAATGACCCAGTCGGCGCCAGCCCAGCAAAACTACCCCTCTTTTAGGCATCAAGGCCTATCCCTCCACCACAAAACCTCACACTGGATTATATATATTGAACGCTGGGAGAAAAATCCGATAGACATCTGTCAAATCTCTATTTAACAATCCCTTCCATCAACTCGAGATTCCACTCGCTCTCGCTGCCAACAATTCGTCCGTGGCTCCCACCCGCCCTCTTCTCCGCTGCAACCCCTCTTGCCAACAACCAACCCATCGTCCACCTTGGAGGCTTCCTCTTTCGCTTCAATATACCCGAATAACCCATCTACGATTTATCAATCGATATATATTTAATTGCTGGCCATTGCAGTTGTGTCATATTTAGAAGTGAAACATAGGTTAAACTGCGGGGAAGAGACAAATAATACCCCTGGAAAGCTATTTAAAACGGGAGTGCATTTCCATCTCCTTGGTCAATTCGCCTTGAACAAATCGATCCATCATGACGGACTTACCAGGACGCAAGGTATTTAAGGTGTTCAACCAAGAATTTGTGGTTGATGAGCGATACAACGTGACAAAGGAGTTGGGACAGGGCGCGTATGGTATTGTCTGGTGAGTTTTTATTTTTTTTTATATTTTATATTTATATTTTATATTTTTTCTTTGGTTTTCATCTGATGTTTGCCAGACATGGCAATAATCATGTCTATTTCCCGCTTTATATTTCTCATCATATCGATGCTGATCCGCTTCATAACAGTGCCGCCACGAACATCCAAACCGGGGAAGGTGTTGCAATCAAGAAAGTGACAAACGTGTTCAGTAAGAAAATCTTGGCGAAGCGCGCACTGCGTGAGATTAAGCTGCTCCAGCATTTCCGTGGTCATCGCAATGTATGTACAGCTGTCTCCGACTCCCACTACAACCCCATCGCTCTCACAGGCTGGTTAGGCTGACGGAAAATATAGATCACGTGTTTGTATGATATGGATATACCCAGACCAGAGAATTTCAACGAGACCTACCTGTACGAAGGCAAGTACTTTTTGGTTGCCCGTTGCAGTTGTGATTAAATGCTAATTGGTATGCACAACAGAGTTGATGGAGTGCGATCTGGCTGCAATCATCCGGTCGGGACAGCCCTTAACAGACGCTCACTTCCAGTCCTTCATTTACCAAATACTTTGTGGATTAAAATACATCCATTCCGCCAATGTCTTGCATCGAGATCTAAAGCCGGGTAATTTGCTAGTCAATGCTGACTGCGAGCTGAAGATTTGCGACTTTGGCTTGGCTCGTGGCTTCTCCATCGATCCGGATGAGAATGCTGGCTATATGACTGAATACGTTGCCACGCGATGGTACCGTGCCCCTGAAATCATGTTAAGCTTTCCAAGCTACACCAAAGCTAGTAAGTTTTGCAATTGACGCTGATATCACATATCACTCAAATTCACAACAGCTAATATATTGCGACAGTTGATGTATGGTCTGTTGGTTGTATTCTGGCTGAACTCCTAGGTGGCCGGCCTTTCTTCAAAGGCCGTGATTACGTTGACCAACTTAATCAAATCCTCCACTACCTTGGAACACCCAATGAAGAAACCCTCTCCCGCATTGGCTCCCCACGAGCGCAAGAATACGTCAGGAATCTCCCATTCATGCACAAAATCCCTTTCCAGCGCCTCTTCCCGAGTGCGAACCCAGACGCTCTGGACCTCCTAGATCGAATGCTGGCCTTTGATCCGTCTTCCCGTATCTCTGTCGAAGAGGCTCTTGAGCACCGCTACCTGCATATCTGGCACGATGCGACTGATGAGCCATCATGCCCCACGACCTTCGACTTCCACTTTGAGGTTGTTGATGATGTACCAGAGATGAGGAGGATGATTTTGGATGAAGTCGTCCGATTCCGCCAGCAAGTGAGACAGAGTTCTCAGACGCAGGGTAGTGCGGCTGGGCAACAGGCGGCTCAGCAGGCTCAACAAAATGTTCCAATCCCGGAGGATCATTCTGGAGTCTGGAAGCAGGAAGATCCCCGGCCACAGGAGGCTGTACTTGATAGCTCTAGAAACCCGAATGACCTTGAAGCATCACTCCAGAGAGGAATGGACGTTGTTAGATGAAGCTGCAAAAGAAAAAGAAAAAGAAAGAAAGAGAGAAAATAGAATATTCTGTCGACCGACGAGAGTCTTGATGGAGCATGCTCCTAAAACTTCCACTCACTACTGGTTTTCTTTTTTGTTATTTTTTTCTTCTTCTCTCATTTCCCCTTTAGTACTTAATCCATGGAATTGTGTATGACTTGACTTTTACTTGGATGTTGATTATTGTTTTATATTATAATCTGCTTGGGCGCGAATTTCCTTCTTTTCTTATTATTTCCTTTCCAACCGCAAAGTTTTTTGAATGATTTGCTTTTATTTTTATTTTTTTATCTACTTATTTTTTTTTTGTTTTTTTTTAAAAAAAAGGATGATTTATTTCGTTTTCGTTTTCTATATTCTTAATTTCACGCCTCGTCAAGTAAAAGAGAATGTTAGCTAGTACTACCAAAGATATTAGCCTAGATGGATGATTGAATATGCCTTGTTTATCTCTTGACGGTTTAAGCAATCAAACCATACGTACTTAACCTTCGTTGTTCCGAGTTAACTTCTACATCTTGCAAGATCTCTGCTCGAATTGACTTTGACCAATGCTCGACCTGCTTTCCTGAGCTCTGTTGGCTTCGATTTTGGTGGAGTGAAAACAAATACCAATTGGAACTAGCGGCTATAATCACTTCGTACTAGAGAGCAAACACATCGCCATATTTCTCGTCGAGTTTCTTGCTATTGCCCCAGTAGGCTACAAGTGGAACTCAAGTGACGTATTGTTGCCCGGGGTACCTAGTTAAGTATGAGACCAGGGAACTAACTAGTTATCAATATCACGTGAAGGCGGGCAACGTCCTTAGACTTCCGGGTTCCAACTTCATTGTTCGATCTTCCAAGTGTACTAAAGGCCAGGGTCCTTACGGGGTCAAACTCGCTCTCACAATGCTCATATTTCTTAATCCTTCCTAGAGATTTCCTTTATCTCTCTCTCTCTCTCTCTCTCTCTCTCTCCCTCTCTCCTCTTTGGGATTTCATGCGTCCTTCTTCCCATCAGCCAGACCACCGACAGACTCAGAGACCTATGGCAACATGGTTGTGTTCGTCAACCATGAGCGGGATGCTCCTGTTATGACCCCAGGTCTTCACTATCATCATCTGTTACCTGGCGTGCACTCAAATGTCATACTACCAAAGCATTCCATGAACCCAGCACTCATGAGGCTTCCACCACACCTTCCACAATCTGATGGCTGTGGCATGTCAATCTATGAGGGTCGTGAACACTACCGGGGTGACAGGGACGACGATAAGGATGATATTGATCGCGATAAGGGCGGGGATAAGTGGAGCGTGATAAAGGGTCAATCGAGACCCGTAAACAGGAATGACAATAATGCTGGACCGGCAAATCCAAACGTCAATGGATTTTCAGCCGCGCTCAGCTGCTATCCGTATGCAAATATGACATGTTCAACATAATCCTCCTTCTTCCCTTTAAATTTGCCCGAAAGAAATAACATATTCCCCTCGGTGATGTTGATGCTAAATATAAAATTTCACGTTTTCCTCTACCTATAGTGTGGTAGTTCAGATTGCCCGGTCCGTCGATTTGAATACACTGGATTCCCTATCCATGACTTGTCGTCAGTTCCGTGCGAACCTGCTACCCTTCCGCTCACAGCTAATTCGAGAGACTTTACGCTGCCGGAATGAATCTCTCGATGATTCCCCATCCGAGAGCAACAATAGCGATTCTCCGCGGAATGTTAGAGCGGATAATTTCCAGGTCTTCTTCCAGCCTGCTAATGCAACTTCTCCTTCTGCAGGTAGTGGGTATCGGAGCACGTCCGCCGGGAGAGTGGGATGTTGTGCTCGGGATATGGTTGCGGAGTGCCAGAGATGCGCCGCCACTGTCTGTAGGGTAAGTAGAAAACCACCGTAATTCCGGACCTGCTTTGTTATTGTTTCTTTTATACGATGAAAATTCAGGCTGACAGCTCACTTTTCAATTGACTTCGCATTTTTGCGTTTTAGAATTGCGCCGTGAAACCAGCGGGAATTTCGATGACTAGAAACCGGTTTCGTCGTCTCTGTTCAACGTGCATAGCTGCGCCCCTATCAGTCCACATCCTACCTCACGTCCTTTCAATCTATGACCACCATGACCACAACCGTCCGGCATCACCGCTACAAACACAAACACAATCTCAGCCATTATTCACGCAGGGCTCATTCAACCACAACTCCTGCCATTGTGAAGAGTCATTCTGGCTCTGTCGGCCATGCGGCCAGGCCCTCCGATCAGAAGACACCACGTACAAACGCGTTTGGTCATGGAGGACCCGCTATAGCGCTTATCTAGGCGGTGGCCTGGGCACCAGGATTGGAGATGGCTGCCAGGGTGTAAAGTGCGGACGCGGTGTGAGATGTCTTGCTGCGGAGGAGTTTGAGGTGGAGGTTGACTGTGAGGTGGATGGCTGGATGTCTGAGGATCCGGATCACCATAGCCTCAACACTCTCCATCATAATCACCATGGTGGCAGTGGCAACGGCAACGGCGGTGGCGGCAGCCACTCTGATATACTTCAGCATGTCGCTGACGGGCATGGGGATGAGGAACCCGGTTACCTGAGGCAAGAGATCATGGGTGTGGGAGGGCAGGTGAAGCAGAAGGTTAAGAAGAGGGTGAAGGTGGGTGCGTGTGTGGAGGAACACGAAGATGAGAGGGAGACGGATTCTTATTTGAAGAGGGAGTGTTTGGGGGACGTGAGGAGCTGGTGTGGATGGTGTTGTAAGGTTGTGCCAAGCCGGAAGGAGAGGGAGGGTTGAAGTAATGCTCATTCAAACTCCCCCTTTCCCCCCTTCTACCCCAGCTGGGAGACACTTGTTGGGTATAGATGAAGTGTTCTACGTTCAGTAGTTGATTGGCTTAGCGGCTTCTTGGGTTGGGTGAATTCCATTTCTCCCGAGCCTTGATCGAGATTACATTTTTACTGTTATTGATGGTGGCATTACACTGTTGTTTATATATCATGACGATATTCCCAGATGATTGGAACAGAGGCAAGCCTATTTATCTCTAGACCGCACATCCACATCTGTTTTGGAAGGTTGGTGGGGTGTATCTCCAACTCTTGGAGCAAGAGGATGTTAATTATTACATTACATACAGTTCGAAGTAATAGCTCTAATATAGGTTTTTATGACTGGCCGAAGTGCGGCTAAAGTACTATTCTCTTCCGCCTGCATATCTGGCAAGCATTCCACGGCGCCGAAATGAATGGGGGTATTAGATGCGGTAAGTAATCTGTTAGATATCCTTTTTTTAAGACCCAGCAATTTTCTTTCTCACTAGGTGTTCCTCTCTTAAGCATCTGTTTCTGATGAGTTGTGCTCAGATCGATTTCGCTTTAAATTCCGTACAGCTCATAGCCCCCATACTTGCGGTGATATTTCCATTGTGCTGCTGAATTGGTAATTTTGGCAGCTAAAAGGAAGATGGAGAAAGGAGGAGAGGAAAGGGAGAAAGGGAGAAGGGATATTGTGTTCCCTCATTCTCCTTCAGTGTGGCGTTGTCGGAAGGGATCTGAGACCGAATTGTGTCTGTTGAGTAGATGGGTAACTCTCTTGATCCCTCGGGAAACTTGTGATATTCGGAAAACTTACTAAAACTGACACTCCAACTAGAAAAATTGGTCGCGGTGTGCGAAGTATGAATGCGTAGGAAAGGATATCGCTAGAATGGCATTGAGCAGCGTTATGATAGTGTTTCTCATACTTCTCTTGTCACACCTTTTGAGGCAGCACCGTTCTCCTCTTATCGACTATTTTTAAGGGAATCCTACGGCTTTGGGCCGATGTTTCAAAGATCAAAAGGAGAAGCAAATGCAACAGATCTTCTAACTTATTAGAAGAAAAATGGTCCTTGCAAGGTGTTAAGTCAACAAAAGATAAAGGATGGAAAAAAGGGGCAAGGGGAGGGATAAAAAGCCAGCATGATGTCATAGGCTCACTGGCTCACAGCAGGTATTAACTGGCGTAGCATGGTGAACATAATTTGAAACCCGCCCGGTTAGGTTATTGGGACCATTATGCAAGGAGACATATTTCTTGCAGCATGCGTGTCAAGGCTGAGGAGAGAATTTAGTTCGTCTGGGGACAGAGTAGGCGTTTTCTCTAAGAAATCACCTCGGTATCTTTATCGGGATTTTCCTTCTAGTATGACATGGGGGCGGCAATGGGCAAGGCTGCACGAAGGAATAAGGATGTTGACTGCTTTAACCAATTGCGTAATTCAGATTCTGGTTTCAGAAAAAAAAAGTACAGGGCTGCTAGAGTACTTTTTCCAACCAGGAGTGAAAGAGAAGAAAGCCAAGTAAAAAAGAAAAGAAAAAGAAAGCAAGTAAAAAAACGATAGGGATGAAAACAGAAAAAAAGGGCTTGGTTGGATTTGCGCATGGCTTTGCCGTCGAAAAAAGAAGGATTCCCTTAGCACCATCTCGTAGTTAGTCGCCGGCATATCGGACAGCGGGTATGTGTCCAAAGGTCTCCGCGCTTGGCCATTTTCTTCGCCCTAGGCAAGTGGAATTCCTAACATCCCCAGGAGTTCATCAATCTGAGCCCATCAGAGCCTCAGTCGTAGTTAAATGGTTCCAAGATGGATGTGGATGTGGGTTTTGGTCCGGGATTTGAGCCGGCATATTGACAGACAGGAATACAGCGGTATCCACGGATGGTGTTTTGAACATGAATTCCAAATTGCGGAAGGTCTGTAGTTCCATTCTCAAGAGAAAAAGATCCCTACCTCGGATGGTTGGTAGTGTGACTAGCATCCGACCTGGGAGGAAATGAATGAAACTCCTGTGACGCTTGAATGTCATGTTCTATTTTTGGAGCATGCCAAAGTTAGTTGCTAGCCGTGTAGTGTAAGTATATAAACCACGTGATATAGTTAGAGGGCCTTTGCCCAAGAATTGACTCTGCTGCTCTATCATGGTCTTCTTCTTCTTCTTCTTCTTCTTCTTCTTCTTCTAAAAATATGGACTCCAAACATTGCTTGCGCCCAATCACTATAATTGTTGCTGAGTCTTGTGTGTGTCGCTGCCCATTCCCGGGATGATACTACGTCTGCTGGCATCTAATATCATAATCTGACTGTTTTCTCCTCTACCACATTCTCTCGTCAATTGTCCCACATCGACATTGATGTGGAACTGCCATTTCCCCAGTGTTCAACGGTCACATTTCAAGTTTAATTTTGTCTGGTGGCAACGGGGCCATTAGCAAATACGACCCACCTGCTCTCCAACTGGCTGCAAATCTGGAACGCAACCCTGGATGCAGCACGGAGGGCTTGATTTCATAGAGCTCCCAGCGCGAGAGAAAGTTGATTGTTGACATCTCGCATTAAGGGTGATATAGCCGAAAACAGCCTCCCTTCCCTAGAACGTAGGAACTAAGTTAAGATAGTTTATTGTATTACAAATCCCTACTCTCCCCGCTATCTTCAACCCGGTCGGCTAGGATTGTCGGATTGGTAACAACAAGATCATGAGGGGACCTTATGACATAATCGTGGATTTGAACAAGCATCTGATAGCCTGTAGTTCGATTCTAGATGCTTGCTGATAGGTCTGTGATTTTAGATTTGCATTCCACGGTTGTACTTGTGCCTTTCTTCGCACACGCGGATCTAAACCAAGAAAGGCATTCATTCACGATGGCAGAGAAACCTAGAAAGGGGGTTTCCGGAGTTTCTACTCCTCTCCAGAAACAGACCATTTATTGTGGTCACTAATATATTTGGATAACAAAACATAATCTCCAAAATTAGCTTTTACATTCCCTCAAGCGTGGTGACGCTTGAGGAAGCTTAAGTGCATCATCAACTTGGAGAGCACTCCACTGCTATAGCCAGTTGATTGATATAAATTTTTGCTAAGCCCCACAGGGCCGAAAGTGGGGGGGGGGGGGGGGGTTGGGTTTATGCTCTGGTAGAGGACATATTCCGGTTCTCTACTAACTATGAACACCTTTGGATGGAACTAGAGAAATCCGCCGCTAGGAATGTGCTGCCAACTATGGATATGAACAGTTCGGTTTCTTGTATCAACCACGAATGTTTCTGGACGGTGGGGAACATGCAACTATCGCTTTGTTTTTCAGTCCTTACTCTCTCCTTTTTTGCTTGCGAGAGAAGTCCTTATGTCAGTATGAAGTTAGTTGAATAACATTCCACAGGACATGAGGTAACTACCATGGTTAATAACTGAGAGATCCTGGCTTCGCGACCCTGGTGATATTCAAGCTCCTAGCTGCGGGACTTTAGTCAATAGAGAGAACCGACTGGATGCACCCGCATGTTCGGGTTCAGCATTCATGATTTTCTGTGTTAGCAGGCATTTCAAATCCAGCGGGCATAGATCAATCCAAGTATATTTAAATAGCTTTAAGCCTCAGTGATCGGACCTGTTGGTTGCATTGGGCGATTGTATGGGATGGGCGACGCAATGGTACCCCAGTACATTGCTGGAGGATTGAGCTGGAGGGTACCAAACTTGCGTACAGCGCTCACAAGACTCAAGAAGTCTCCGATGTTATATACACCACATTATCGACCATTGGAACGTGGGAAATCTTAATATTTTGGACAGTTGGATCTTGTTGAAAAGTTTAAAAAGGGGGTCAACATACCCCGTCCATGAAATCCCGGTGATTCAAGCACTTGTCCCGTATGAGCACCCTGGATGCTCTGCAAGATATGGCGATTCTGAACAAGCGTGTATTTTAGCCCAACTCAAATAGTAGGGTTATAACCTGACAGCATTAGGACAATCTCATTCAAAGGCTAATTATGGCACATCACACACGAGCTGACGTACTTGTCAAAGATTAGCCGAGGGACTCGAATTGGCACCCAGGACTTGCCTGTTGATCGGTGTCCCAGCAGATTGTTTGTATAGCTAGCTACGGTGGAATTCAATGAAGAGGTCACCAGATTGTATACTTCTTCAATATACACAATATGTGACTGCACTTTCTTGATTAATATAACTGTTCTCACAGAGATGAGTGCTCATTGATGCCGGAGTTTATGCACAAAAAATATACTTTGTCCGTCGTTTCGGCTTTCCAAGTTTTATCTCACATGCTTTTTTCCCTCCCCCGCTTTCACCGGAGTGGCCAGGAAAGAACAGATGGTAAAGGTGTTTGAGAATGTTGGTTGATTTGTAGGGTGAGAGAGAGTTTTTGTGATTAGTGAACTAATTTCTAAAAATGTTTAGCTCCTCAAGATTCACTTTTTCCTCACTTGAAATGTGGAATCTGGCCTACGTTTTAGCTATGCGCAGTGAGTAGCCTTTTTTTGGACAATAATTAGCTATTCCATATTCTCCACTAAGTTGACAAATAAACTATCTGCAACAACTCAACAAACAATCTGGAAATGGAGGCTAACCAGAGCTGGCCCAACTCTACGCCCGCAGCATGTTGGTAATATACACATGCACTTCTCCTTTTCCATGTATGACACGAAGTAACCCCCCAATCAAATATCAAATGCAGATGACGAATTCCGAATATGGAGAGCAAAGTTACAAGAAGTTTAGCTCGATTGACCGAAGCCGTTTTTAGAACCTTGGGAACAAATCATGGGAGTGACCAAAATAGGACCAGGGAGATCTATTTTTAGAGATCCAGATTCTGACGACGGAAAATGGCACGTTCTAGTGGATTGGCATCGAGCCAATGGAAAATCTTCATCCACATTAAGGTGCGGCTTAATCGGAAAGGCCCCGCTCATCCATCATTGTTCCGGATTTAGCACATCGAACCATTCCAAAATAGATCAAGTGATTCCTATGGTCTTGCGCTTGAACAAAATCGACTTAACAGCAAGAATGATATTGATTTCAACTTGGTACGCCCCAGAAACACTGTTCACGGTACATATTCTCTTAATCGCAGAGGAGGACGGGACACATAATAGAGGTGGAACTTTTGCAAGTTCGTGCGTAGGGAGGAATTTGGTTGGGGGGGGGGGGGGGGGGAAATCCAAATCTCGTAGAGAAGCAGTCCGATCTCGGGGATCACGCGTGTTTCAAAAATCTTGATATACCTGGTCATATCTTCCCCGAACGACCTCCTCATGGCTCCAAATATGCAGTAACCTGTGTCTCAGGAAACGGCCCAATGTCCCAGGGGTTTGAATGCATGTAAGGAGCAACAAGAAGAAGTATATAGACGGCGGATGCGCCCTTGCAAGGGAATCCGCTGTGGGATTTTCCAGAGCAGCAACTAAATCTGGAAACATCCAATAATACGGAAGGACTGATCTAGAGCGGACCGCTGAGCTATACCTGATAAAGCCGAACTGGGGTGATGATGATGATGATGATGATAATAATAATAATAATAATAATAATAATAGTAACTGAGATAGGTCATAAAGGGCATAGCATCATGCACCCTATTGTTGTTTTTAGTTTTAAAGTTATCACGCCATTAAATCGAGTATGCCGGGCGACGTGTTTAAGTGGCTGCAACCCAAAAAAACTATGGGGTTAATTCCGAGGGAAAACCACGCCAATCGTCGACATCCCTCCCTGGTTTGTTTCAACTCCCTTGCTCCAACAGCTGCCCTTCACACTCTTGTCGGGCCCGCGCAATCTTCTGACCGGCCATTGGCCCAGGAACCGAGACCTGGCAACCTTCTGCCCCAAAGAGGTTAGCTCCCCGGCGCCTCAGCCGTAAGCGTGAACTTTTTTTTTTACCGCACAGATCGGCTTAGTTTCCATTTCAGGCGGCGGTTAGTTTGGCCCTTTGGAAGCTAGCGGGCTTTTGGCGCTGGCACACACCAACTACGCCCTATACGTTTTAGTGCCTCCTATGCCACAATCGGTTCCTGGGCAACCGGGATTCCCGCTATATATCCCGCCCACTTTTCGCTTGCTTCTGAAGATTTCCCTCTTCTTCTGGCTGAGCAAGTGCCATTTGGTCCAATCCCTGACGCTAAGTTTGTTTCTATTTTTATTGAATTTCCCTATTTGTGTTTTCCTTTTTCTTTTTTTTTTTTTTCTTTTCTTTTTCTTTTCTTTTTAATTCCAGCTCCTGAACTTTTTTAATACTCCCAAAACCAAGTTGTCACCCCTGGTGCAGCCTGTGACCCCGACTCTATGAGCTGTGCAGAAGTTGTTGTTCTCAGATATTCCTGTTTCAGACCTGAAACATCTGCAAGACTCTTCCCTCATTTCTCCTCCGGGTCCAGTGAGCGCCCGCAGGTGACGGGAAAAATGGCAACGGAGTCCACTTTGGGGCGCCAAGCTTCTGGGGATCTGCTGTCAGCCGTGCCAAGGATCTCGCCTCCCCGGACCCAAAGCTTTAATTCTGCCGCCACACTCACACGCATAAGTAGCGAGTCTTTGCCGGACATCGTTCATATCCAAAGTTCTCCCGGATCGCCGAATTCTCTAGCATCGCAATATATATCGACTGCAGCAGCAGCAGCAGCCACTATGTTCAACCCAAGACACCAACGATCTGTCTCCGATTATGGTCCTGTCACATACACTCCAAGGACACACAAAGTGAGTAAGGCAAAGAAAGGGAAACTAGTCCATCGATGTGAATATCCAGGGTGCAATAAGGTATGACATTGATGTATATGATGGTCCATATGCACACCATTTGTGCCTGGCACACTTGCTAACTTCTTCGCTATTAAAAGCTCTTCTCAAGAGCCGAACACGTACGGTAAGCTTTTTACCCTACATCAGAGGCCGTTTTGAATCAGGATTGCCAACACTCCTCTCTTCAGGCGCCATGCGTCGAAACATGATCCAGCCGCCGTTATTCGATGCGAGGTAGAAGGGTGTGGCAAGACATTCACTCGCAAAGATTTGCGTGTGCGGCATATGGAAAACAAACAGTATGTATATATATCGTCGTCCATCAGGATTTTTGGCGAAGCTAAAGTTATGGCTTCAGCAGCGATATACTGGGTTCTCGGACAGCCAGCCTTCGTAGTGATCGTCACTTGACATCGAGCCCAGCCACCACGGCTTCAGAGCCCCATGGTCTCATGTCACCTGTGCCATTTCATCACCGGCATGCGTCTGTTCCAGCAGTGTCCCATGAGGCGAATTCAATGTCGATTGGTTCCCTGGTGCAACCGGGGACACAGCCCGATTTTGGGAATGAGTACTCGGTGTCGGTGTGGAGCGAGAATGAGAGCGACTTGGCTAGGGGGGGAATATTTTCAGCTTTGCCTCATGTCAATTCTGATGATGCCATATACTCTTCGCCTGATAGTTGCCAGTCTCCGTCACCTGATGTACACCCTTTTCGGTTCCCGCAGCATACCCCAATCATGGACCAGTCTTTCTCGGAATCATTTTATCACCCACAATTGGCCGGGCCGTCTCTCACGTTGGCCTCTACAGTTTCCGACTGGACTCCCCTGGAGGCAGGGGCCACCACATCACAGATGTTGCCTCTCTCCGTTGAAGGTGATATCCTTCAAACGGTATGTGAAACCCGCCCATTATTACCGTCACTGGGTGCCTCTGTAACTGATTTCCACTCAGCCATACCAGTTCCAATACTCTTCTCCGGACTGCTGGACGGAGATGAGTGGTATGCCATGCGACGCACACGTACTTCCACCCCCAGTCTCATTGCAGGAAATGGTATCCTGGAAGTGATCAACACCGTTAAGTAGCAGGATTGCTTCGACTACTATTGGGAGAATTTTCACCCTCTCTTTCCCTATCGTCCATTGCCCTACCTTCTTCGCGGCAGAGCCTAACCCCTTGATGTCCTGCGCCATGATAGCGATTGGGCTGTAGTACGATTCGCGGCCTAACGCAAAAGAGAACTCTCTAACCCTGTTAGAGGCATGTCTTAATCTTCTCTCACAGGTAAATTGCACACATGAAGAAACATTCGACAGGCCATTCTAATGTTTTCACGACAGAGAAAACCAATAACAATACGCTCTCCAATATCTGATATATTCACGCTGTATTTCTACTTGAATACCTCTCGAAATATCGATCCAGGAGAGCTGATGTTACGATATCTCCTCGTTTTTAAGAGTTTATATGGCGCTGTAAGTTATTGATTGCGTGTTATCAACCATACGTGGCATCCGCTGATATCTGGAAACAGTTTATTCAAAATCGCCATTTGGCATCAAAGAACCCACTTGCTGTCTTCAATACCCTTTCCGACGACGAAATGCCAGACGGCCTGACGAAAGCGTATCACTTTTGGGCAGAAAATGAAACAAGAAGAAGAGTATTACAAGCCTGCTTTCTTCTTGACGTGCAACAGTCGACCCTTTTTCAGCAGCCACTAGCTTTTCTCCAACTAAATATCGGGCCACTCATGTCACACTCTCGAAATGCAGAAAAACTTGACTTGCCTTTTCCATGCCAAGCAGAATTATGGAAATGTAGAGGGATCGAAGAATGGACACGGCGCGCCAGGGAATTTGAGCAATTAAACTTTGTCTCATGCTATGGAGCACGTTATTTGCCAAAGTGACAGCGCTTTGGCTCTTGATCCATTCCGGTCGAATCTCATTCTCTCCTATGTCTTGCTTACCAATATGCGATCGACGGATTTGGAGCTGTCGCTAGAGCCGTTTATCGAGAGGTTGCGACAAGGAAAGACCGAAAAGCATCACATGGAACGGACCGAACCTCCTGGTTCTTCAAGGAAATTAAACCATACACTTCTTGCATACCACACTCTCCTCGCCGCATATCGTACTCCATTGAAAGCTCTTCTGATAGTTAGCGGCGAATCTTGGTTATTTAATCGAAAGATTGCGCAGGAAGCAGAATTCCAGAATGCCAAGGAAAAAATGCCGCAGGTGGGTGTCCGACACTGGTGAGCTGAAAAAGGCAGTTTGGCACGCAGTGCGGGTCCTGGAACACGCAATCGACGATCCAGAATTGGGATGTAACCAAGATTCAAATATTCCTAATTCTGGTCTTTGCAATTGTTTCGCTTGTCTCAACGCCAGAGAGGATTGTTCTGTTCCAGTGATGCCAGAGGGCCATTGTCCCCATGTCCCATTTCCAGCACCAGTATATCCAGAAGCCACCGCAACCCTCACAACAGCTAATGGAGCCAAGGCAATCACCTCATTGCATGCCAACTGGGTTTTGTACATATGTGGGCTCATATGTTGGGCCTATGTCATGGATAATATAACGCCAGCGACAGATGACTCTGCGCTTCCTCCAGTTTTCCTGAAATCCTATATTTCTATATTTACGCTCCTTGCGCCATCGTGGTCCCAAATATCACGCAGCTCCATACCTGATCACACTCGGCGCAATACCAGCGGGCTACTTGAATACATACGCACTAGATGGCTACAGGCCTCAGGCGGGCTCCTGAACGAAGGAGAGATGGTCGTACGCCGACTCACCGAGCAGCGGAAATCCAAATAGAGACAGCGAAAAGCGAATGTGGAAATTTTGATTTTAAATCTCCGTTTGTAATGAATATTACTAAGATATTGGCCTCGATTACATTTATGTTCTGATTCTACTACAGATAGATACCCTTACCTTAAACATGGTTGCTAGCTGTTGTTTTAACTCATAGTTATTTTATATACCTTTGTTGAACTCCTCTACAGTTCTTGTAGTCTTCCTTCTATTTATCCTAATTCTTGGCTGCACATTTATTATATATACATTATTCCGTTATGTGTGTATGAGGTTATGATTTTCTCTCTTAACAGATCATAGTTGAGATATTTCTTCTGATATTTCTTCGGTCAGTTTCTCTAATATTTTATCTGATACTGCTTTCATTGTCTTAGTATTAATGATTATTTTCCAGAACTTTACTCAAATCTCATTCCGCACTTAATATTTTCCCCTACATTTACTCTTCGTATCATTGAAGAACTCGAATGCCTTCAGCATTCAGCCTGAAACGGCTCTGTACTCCCGTACTATGTATTATTATGTATGACATTACTCTACTTTCCTCTTCTAATGTCATAACATCCATTGTAGAGATTGAACGGGATAATTTATGGTTAATTTTAAGAGTCAGAAAGATTGTCTAAGAAAAAGCGTCTCAGCAATTGATAGAACCCTCACAACATCAACTATCATATCTCATTCCCTTGTATGCGAATAGAGTACATTTGACTTCCCTTATTCCTGTTAACTTTTTACTCCATGTAAGATGGCCATGTTTGTTTGTGGCTCTAATTTCCGGTTGAAATAAATTTGAACTTACTACACGTGAGAGTGCAGAACAAGCTTCTCAAACCCCAAAATTTTCACCATCGCAATGAGAATTGGTAACAAAATACTATGTTGTTTTTAGATTATTTTATAGCAATTTCTTGCCAAAACCATAGAATTCGATCTTCAGGAAGGATCTAAGCCACAAGCGCTAAATCTAAATATAAAGTTTGTGGGGTAGTTAATGGGCTAAAATTAGGAACCTAAACCTAAATTTAGCACAAATTCTAATTAACAAGTGTGGGAAACACATGCAAGATTCTCCATTTTTGTTCGCCTTGTTCCTTATTGCTTCCACCTTTTCCCCCAAGTCAAGGTTAGTTTATCCGTCAGCATGTCTCTACAGAGTTTCAGGCTCTGTCATATTATCCAGAAATGCACTCAATGGGAGGGAGACCTGATGGTCGTTGTAGCTTGTGACCTAAATGTATCAGATTCACATTTAGTACTTACTTTAGCTATTACCAGTGCTTGATGAATTTAAGCTATCCCAAAGGACAAAGGACAGGATAGCAGAGCTAGCTTCCTGAGCGAATTTTGGCCTATTACTTCCAACTTTCACAGCTAAAACATTGTTCTGAAAATAATGATGGATTATTTTATATTTAGGAGTCTATATGAGAAGGTGCACGTGCCTGTCCATAAATGTGTACGCTACAAGGACATTGAAAGCTTTCAGGAACCCAATTTGCTTTTCTCTCAAGATCAAAGCGTGGCATGTTACTAGTGTCGATATTTCACGCTGGCATATCTTGAATCGTCCTCTATAGAAGTTGCTGTCCCTGCCCAAAATATGAAGAAGTCATCATCATTGCAGGAGAGTAATTGCAAGAGCCCCATGAGTTCAATGAATGGCCCGAGGGTGGGGGAAAGATCCACAGCTCTTTCAGGACCACCGGGACCAATGGTTGGTTTTACGTGCTTCATTTCTTGTATCATACCCCCTACAGCTCAACGGTACGACAGTTGAAAATGGTAGTTTCATGTCTCCACATGAGCTTCCAATTAGTTACGTTAACTCTCTTCCGCTCTAACTATGATGCCCCATTTTCTAGATATTCCTAATTTTGGGAACCTTGACTGTAAACCGCTCTTATTATTTCAGACACGAAAGAGCATGTCTGCGCCTGTTCCGTTGACGGTGTTGAGAGCTTCTCAAAGGAATATGAGACACAAACGACAGCTAACGACAAAAAAGGATCGCATGAGCATGTAGGATTTTTTTTTTTTTTCGAATCAGGTTCTATACGCTCTACATCAAGACGTATGATTTCTCGGGTGATTTCAGAACGGCTCGTCTACCCCACATCTCAGTTCAAAACTCTGAAATGAAAATTTAGTGACGTATGCCTACCTGCGTCATAAACTTCATTTCCATTGAACCCTTCACCTGAACGCAAGTTTTTGTTGCTTTGAAGTTATGGCAAGTGTCTGGTAGTTAATTAACTGTGGGTACCTTTGATAATAAGCGACAATGTGACAGAAAAGAAGTGGAGAAAAACGAAGCAAAACTGTGCAAATGCGAATCGACAAAGGCATCTGGAACAGCAAATCGATTCGATTCGATGATGCAGTGCACAGTATATACACGCCTAGGTAGGTATATAGCGAGTACAGGAAAATGATTTTTAAGAAACTCTCCACTCATCCTAGCATGTTTTTTCAGTGCCAACAAAGCTGCATTAGCTGCTAAAAATACAAACAACAAAAAATTTAAGTCCCAAAATTTTATATACATTACAGAAGAAAACTACAGGAAATACAGTCGAGGAAACAATGGTTACCTCATCTATTTGAATTGATCTTCGGTGACGCCTTTGCCCATGGCGCTGGTGCTGCTGATACCGCCACTGACCATCTTCAACAGCTCGTCAACATAGTTGGCACCACTCCATTTCTGGTGGGTAACGACATCAATTCCATTTTCCATCTCGGGCTCCTGGACTAGTTCGCCATAGGCGCGCATGCCATTTGTGGAGTAGGCCTTGGCAAACTGGTCAGAGATAAGGGCAGTGGTGTGGAGACCGGCAAGGGTGATGAATTGCCAGGCATAACCCAGCTCGCCCAGACGGCGGATGTAGGTCTCCTGCTCGCCACGTGGCATGGCGGCCTTCCAGTTGAAGGATGGGGAAAGGTTGTAAGCGAGCCTGTTGGGAGGAAATGTGAGCAACAGTGAATAAGTTTTAACCAGTTTATGAAATGGGCAATCGGGAGGGAAAGGTGCAGCAGTGGACATACTTCTGTTCAGGCCACACAGCGTGGACCCCTTCAGCAAACTCCTTTGCCTGGGCATAGTCGGGCAATTTACTCTCCATCCAGATAAGATCGGCAAATGGGGCGTAGGCAATGGCACGGTTGACGGCACACTGGGTACCGCCACGGTAGCGGTAGAAGCCCTCCCGAGTTCTAGCAGCATCCCAGTCAAAATAGGTATCTGAAGCGGTGATCTTCTTGGCGATGGCACGGGCTTCAGTATTGCTCTTGCCCTTGACGCTGCGGAGGAATCCATCGATAACAGCCTGCTTGTTGGGAATAGAAGATGCCTTGATTTGGTCAACAACTGCCTCGGAGAAAAGCTTTAGGCCCGCCTCAGCATTCCACTTGTCCTCAATTGCCTGGAGATCCGCTCCGTTCTTGCCTGCTTGCTCAGCAACAATCATCAGATCATTGAGGGGTTTGATATTAGGATTTGTTGAGCCAATAATGAAAGCATGGTCCCGGGGATCAATAGTCGATGTGATCAGGGTTGCCGCTTCGGAATCAGTCCGAGCAACAGCCAGGAGGTCGGTTCCTGCAAAAAGAGAAAGAAAAGAAAAGAAAAGAAAAGAAAAAAGTCAATACACTGCATCTAGTTTCCAAATGAAAAAAAAAATTTGAATACGGATCTCTGGATATGGCTCACCCATAATATCAGCCTGGGCTCGGATGGCAACAAGTCTGTTGATATGCTCGCTGATAGGGACTAAGACCTTGCCAGCCATATGGCCGCACTTCTTGGTTCCAGGGGCCTGATCCTCAATATGAATGCCAGCAGCTCCCCGCTCGATGAACAATTTGGTCAGCTTCATGACAGCGGTCAATCCACCATGACCAGTATCCGCATCGGCAATAATTGGCCTCAAGTAATCGATGTTGGGAAGCGAGGCGCGTTGGGACTTAGGAGCCCTCAATCTTTCCTCGCGCTGTTTACGGTCATGGAAGAGCTGTGCCATCCATAGCTGGTTGACCTTGTTGGGGACAGTGTTCTATAGCAATCAGCATGCAGTATGATATAATCTTTAGAGCTAGGTTAAAAGGATGACTCACCATTGGGTAATCTGCAAGGTCTGGAGAGGGCTCGTCAGTTGACGATGCTGTAGAAGAGCTCTGCCAGCCAGAGACGTAGACCGTATCGAGATATTTGACCATCTGGGTGAGCATTGTGGGTTCGAGACAGCCATAAGTGAAGCTGGCAGTTTTGTTCTGTGAAAAAAAAAAAAAAATTAAAAATTAAAAATTAAAACCAATAATGAGCATTCGTCGCGATAGCGATATTGTGATATCTGCAACCCAGATCCCAGCATACCTTGAAACGCTCTTCCAGAATCCCCCAAAGCTTTTTGCTCTGGACATTTGATGGATATTCAATCTTCAAGTTTCCCCGCTTCGCAACGATCTGCTCTGCGGTGAACGGGCGCTTGGTATACCGCCATCTTGAGTCCTGCCACCATTCTTTGACGGCCTGGACTTCAGCCCAGTATTTCTGATCTTCTTGCTCGATAGAATTCATTGCAAACGTTTATTTACGAGCTTGGCTTGGTAATTCGAAAATCGCAGTTAGAAGAACCTCCTAAAAGTCTTCAATACAGGGAACGAAGTGTATTTAATATCAACTTTTAACCGACGTCACTGGCAAAGATGTGACCAATGGGAGACTCGGAGGGAAAATCACTTGTCTCGGCAAATCGTGACTGGGATTAAATCCAGATGTATCAAACCTGAAAACAGTTTTTTCAACGAAATCTAGTGCAAGGGAAAGGGAATTTAGGATAGGGCAAGGGAAAAAAGAAAAGCAGAAAATATATGACCAGCACGCAACAACGACAATTGCCATTAATTAGTCAGCTTTTGAAGCAAAACTTTTCCCGAGGCAAAAGGCGACGAAGGAATCATCCCAGTGGCTTGTTGTTGGAATACGGCAAAGCGTTCCGAGATAAATATAAAGATTTTCGTACTGGCGTCGGCGAACCCACCCGGCGGCGCCGAAGTCAATCTTCAAGAGAGCCTGATTGGAACTCGAGTTTCAATAAGGGGAGTTTGTAGGAGGGTTTTGATATAGCAGGATTTTCATCCTCGGCCCAATGGAACGGGACAGGAAAACACGCGCCATGGCGGAACCCCGTTCAAAGAAGAAAAAAATCAACATAATTCGGGCATATGCCCGGCCTTCTGCTGTGCTTGACATGCAAATGGCCTGCCTCGTAGCCATGGATTTTTTGATGAGAGGCTTTGAGTTTGCCATCCACGGTTGATGTGAAGGTGAGGCTGCAAAAGGGTTGACCAAGCTCGTAAGTTTACGGTATTTTACTCCTCTGCAAAGCCCAATCTGCCTGGCAACAGTAGCCATAACATTACCATTACATAAAATACCTTCCTAGCGGATAACTACGACTTTTTGCTTATGTCTTTGCTGTGTTTCTCTGGCAAATGCGCCTGTCAACAACCAGCAGCTCATTCATTCACCAACAACTTTGTATTCTCCCATCCGGATCGGCCACAGGATATCCATTGCGGTGTGAACAGAACAGTGGCACAGCGGGCCCCTCTAGGCAGAGTATGATTGATGTCTTGCACTGTTAGTATCGACATCCAAAACACAAGCCAAGGCATCCCCATTCCCTGGACCCCATTTAGCACTCTTTGAAGACCACCATTTTCAAGAAATGTGCTACGTGTAGCTCATCCACACGAGAACAAATCGGGAGCCGGCCCGGGATTGACTCGGTTCGCTTCGGTGACATCCCTATTCGCGCAGTCTCGCATAGGCTTCAGGTTTGAACGCCCAATCGGTTCTATGCGTTTAGGAAATGACGGATATGGTGAAATCCCTGGACTTTGAGAGTGCATATGAAAAATCTTGGAAGCGTCGAAATTGATCAAGACGTTCTTTTCAGATGCATTATTTTGCCCGGAAGCTTGGCCCAGCTTCAGCTAACTAACCAAAACGGACCAAGTGGAAGATGCTTCTGCCTTTCAGGTGCCTCGACCAGCGGTTTCAATCGATTTCTCGAAAATGTTTCGAATATCTACGTAGAAATGAATCCTGGGCATCAATTGGAGCTACACGAAGCTTTGTATTTATTCTTGGGAGCAATATATTTTTTTTAAGCAAAAACAGGCCCACTTACGACCATGTGTATGTAATTTTGGTAATGATGTAACTAGGCTTTTACTTTGATCTAAATCTGCTGTTGACCACTTGACTCTGTAGTCTTGAGCAGATACTTCCTCAGTGTGCAGTCATTGCCATTATGTTGTTATATAGTTGGAAGATTTGTTTTAATTCACTTAGCACAGAGTTGACATATCTTTCTTCTGTGGTATTGCTGTGTTATAGAAAATAAATTAAATTTACATCAGTAAGTAAAAATTTAAACTCTCTACGAAAATTGAGATTTGTAAAATTCTGTCATTTAACAAGTGATTGGGGCATTGGAAAGTTCATGCATTAGTCGGATGATCCCAACTGGGGGTTGCCCATTGGACTGTGGCTCTGCTGAAGGTCTCATATGGAGTGCATGCACCCAGGGCACGTCTCATATGAGCGTTAAGGAATTCCAGACCATAGACGAAACTTGCATTAACCCAGCCGAATCTGATGGGGAAAAAAAATAGCTTGTTAGCACGATATTAATCTGAACATAAAAGAAAATGGCCAACAAGGGGGTTATATAGCGGTGGTCACTCACCCTTCCCGAGAAACGCCCTTAAAATCTCCTCCTTGATTCCCATACTCAGCTTCCACTTTATGGGGATCGATAGGACGGGTAATATCGTACTTTTCTACCACAGCGCCGTTAAAATCTACAAATGCTTTTATAATCATGTACAGCCACTTATAGGCCAGTCTCTCTGCGTCTTCCTGGTATCCATAACGGATAAGTCCTGACCACGCCAGCATCTGCTGCGGCGCCCACCCGTATGGATAGTCCCACTGTCTGTTGGGCCTATCGATGCCAACAACGCCCCTAGACTTTTCAGTTCCTGATACCAGTCCTCCATATACTTCGAATTTGGGAAGCGCCTCACTGACAAGTCTTGACGCTTGGCGGGGGCTTGCAACTCCAGCCCACATCGTCCAAAAGGTTGTGGCGCTCTCGTAGTCTGTTATCTCTTGCTTAACGGTGTTGTAGTCGAAATACATCCCTTTTCCTTCATCCCATAAATATTTATCCATCGCTAGCTTTCTGCGTTTCGCCCGGCGATCCCACACCGCTGATGATTCGAACCCCTTTTCAGCGTTTTGGGTTGTCCTATACTCGGGAGGAATGGCAAGTTTATCATCGAAAAAGTGACGGAGGGTTCGGGCAATGTCGACTTCGTATTTATAGAGCAAAGAATTTAGATCAACTGTAGCAAGATTGGCACAAACATTCTCAAGGCGATAGCTGGTGTCATGTCCGGACTCCCTCACAGCGCGATCGTGAAGGAAATACTCATCCAGCTCGGGATCCTTAATTTCCCCATTGTTGTAACCCTTGACAAATTCTTCAAAAGTTATGCCCAATTTCTCTGCATGAGGGAGTAATAGATGGTAGAAATGCGAGGGCTCTGTCTCGGGAGGAACTCCAAGGCCGGTTGGTCGGTACCGGGACAACCCCGTAATGGGATCGTATCTTGGCTCCGCCATCCATACCGAATAGTATTCCTTGATAGCAGACAACATCGCCGTTCGAAGGAAATCCTTTGCATCGGGCTCCGCTTTAATGCGATCAAACACCCGAAGAGCCATGTCGGTGAGGAATGGAGGCTGGGATCGGCACAGGTAGTAGGAGCGGTTGGCGTTGAGGATCTTCCCATAATGCTTAATGCAAAAGCAAAAATTTACAACCATACTCTTCGCTAGATCCACACGATCATTTACCATGAGTCCCAGTGATTCCATGTAGCTGTCCCATCCATAGAACTCGTTGAATCTACCTCCAGGCACAACGAAAGGGACACCCTTCAAGTCTTTCATCCCCGAGTTCGGGTTTGTATATTCCTCCACAGCCAACGCAAGGAGACCAGGTTTATCATTTAAGTTCTTAACGTACTCAGCGGTAGGCTCTCCTTCTGGGAGATATTGAACATCCAAGCGTAAATCTGGCTCGGATTCGGCAATTCGCCTGTAGTATTCGTACTGTTCAGGAGCTCCAGGGGGCACATAGATCCGGGGAACGGGGTCAGGAGTCCAGTCCTTCGGATCTTTTGCAACAGCTGCAATATTGGAACCGTCAATCCGGCGTGTAAGTGCATTCCAGAACGACTTTTCCACGAAACGCGATAGTCTTGCAACAGGGTTCTCATTCAGGCGCATCTCGTCAAGTACGATGTGCTTTCGCCCGTAGTCCTTTGCGAGAGTGAGTTCCTGAAGAAGGTTCGAAATCATATATGTACCCCGCAAATCAAATCGATTGTAACCAGATGATGCCGCGGTGCCCACGGAAAATACCTAAAAAAAAAATAAAATAAAAAAAAAACTTGTGAGCAACAATCCCTCCTGAAACTGTATCCGCTGTTCAGCTTGCCTTAGGACCCTGATCTTCTATCGTTATTTGCGCATTGTTATCTGTATCTTCACGCTCCAGCAACGTCTCCAATGTGACATCGACATCGATAAGGAATTTGCGAGAATGTGACCGTTCGTCTATGGTCCGCCATTAGCATCGGAAGCGTAGAAGCGACAAAAAAAGCAGCAAACAATTATTTACCATGACTCGTGCGTCTTGGTGGAGTTTTCCCGATAAAATCATGCAGATCGGAGAAGTCAAATCGTTTCAGGCTCTGTGACTGAAGTTAGGATCCCTCGCACACAAAGTGGTATTCGATTGAAAGGAGAATGAATTGTCTGGAATATGGATATCCAAATTGACACTAACAGATGACAGTGTCCTTCGATGAGCCTGAGCTTGTCTCCTTAGATGTTCCTCCTCGCCATAATATACGTCAGGTTCGGAAAATGGGTCTGCACTGGAAGAGTGCGAACCACGGCGCAGATGTGAAGAATGGACCTCTGCTGGCAAGGTCATTATCCAATGTATAACTCAAAGGGAGTGTGAGGCGGGGGCCGCTGAGGAATTTCGACTCCGTTGGAAGGTCCGTATCTTAACAGGAGCACCGTGTAGAAGAAACTGGCGTTGAGAACTTGGAGGCGAGAGTTAAGAATAGTTATCTATATGAAACTTTAATGGCAGAGTGGCGCCGTTAAAACATAACTCAATTCTGTATAAGTCGAACAGAAAAACCCTAAGATGATTGTTGATGGCATTTCGAACTCAGGTGCAACAATGTTAAAGCTCTAGTTAACTAGTTAACTAATTGGTTAAAACAACATTTACGAATTTCCCAACTGACTCGCTACCAGATTGAAACATGGAACAAAATTCACCAACCTACCTGCTTAGGCGTCACAATGAAATTAAAGAAACTCTATAAGAAATGAGGGAAAGATTGAAATGTCCAATTACTGTTTTAAGGTTTGAAAAATAAAGGAATTACCTCTATTCATGAAGCAGCAAGACTATATGATATTCCACACTTCACTCTTATTGATTGATATGACTGTTCTTCACATACAAGCTTACAGGCAAATTCACATTGATTGATTAAAGCTGAAGAGAAAATACTTGTTCAATAGTGCTGAGTCTGGTCAAACTAGAATTTCCTCTTATTGTGAAGAATATGTGGGATGGTTGGTCTTGAGGACTGGCCAGCAAACTGATATACGCGAACATCACGTGAGGTGGTGCGGCTACCGGGCGGTATGCCCGACACCCCCGCACACACCAACGGGCGAGATGTCTCCGCGTATTCAAAGCTAGCTATCCTATCCTAGAATCTAGCTAAAACATGCTATATACAAATTGTTTAAACACTGCTGTGCGTAAAGGCCGTTCCTGTCCGCCGCCATTTTTTCTGTGGGAATCCAGTTGGTTTGTTAAATTGAACACTAGATTCATTGACTGTCGCCATCGCGTCTCCATAATCATGGAATTGGGTGATATGATTGACCACTTTGGACGCATGGTGGACATCATTTTTCAAATCTTGTTCAACAATCTTATAGATGGAGTTTTGTGGTGTACGAATTGCATTAAATATGGCACCTTTTGGAGCATGAATGATGAAATATGATGGGGTGGATGAGGAAAGTTCAAATCTGAAGCCTTGATCTTTTAGCTTCACAAATGACAACAGGTTGACAGTGAGATTCAGGATCCAATGCACATCACAGACCATGACATCTCCAACTTCTGATTCTAGGAGGATATCCCCTATCTTCTTAACCTGTCTCTGACCTCCATCAGCCATGCTCACTTTAAGGTTCCCCTTGAATGACTTTGGACGTGTCATCAAATGCCTTTCACCACTCATATGAAAACTGGCACCAGTGTAAAGATACCGTTGGGGCTTTGATGATATTTCAGATGACATAGATAGAGCAACTGCTGAGTTGGCACAAGGTTGAGAAGCAAGAAGATCATCATTGTGTCATCAGCTTTGTCTTCTGTATCTCTATTTTTGCCTCTGTCCTTATCCTTCTTTCCACTATCATCAGTGTTTTTGATAATCTTTTTCTATTCATCTCCCTCCATTGATTGGATGCCAGCTCTGGGTGCAGATGCCAACAAGTTTTGGTTGTATGGCCTGTGTGCTTGCAGATTTCACACTTCATGAATGTGGATGCACCTGGCTGATGATTCCTGTCATTGGTGGCTGTGTTGGCCAGTAGAGTCTTACATTCAGAGTGTTTGATCTTGCTTGTATGATTGGTGAGTTGTTTCATTAGATCATCAATGTCCATATTGGTGATTGAATCTTGGCCTGCTGCATAGAAGTCATCCAGGTGAGTCTTCACAAAGGCTCTCTGATGATCTTGTAGGCCATTGAGGAAGAGATCATGGTAAAAGTCATCAGTTTTGATGGTTAATTCCTTATGGCGTGTGACAAGATAGTGAAACCTTCTCTGGTAGGCAAGATAATCATTATCTTTGACAAACGAGATTGAGAGCTCTTTCATAACATTCATACACTTCTCTGCCAATGAGACAGCATATTCAATGCTAAATCTTCTGCCATAGAGCAGCTGCATTGTCTGATTGCAACACTTCAATTGTTGTTCATACAGAGCCTAGTAGAGACTGCAACATTTGACAGTACAGAGCATTCATGTGCACTATTCAATGTTCCTTCTCTAACGTATCAGTGTGCTGAGGTGGTTCATGTTGATTCTTTGTAAGAATGTCAGTGCCATCAATGACCTCTGTGTCTGCAAGGATTCCTATCCTTCAGTCTTGATAGTTGGTCCCATTAAATGTGGTCACAGCTTTCATATCCATCACAGCCTGCACTTCTTTTTGATATTCGCGTATCTCCTGTTTTAGAGTATATGCAGGGGCATTCTCATTGATTTGAGTGTTCTGTTGTATAGCCATCATCTGCTGGCAAAATGCAAACAAATCAGCTGCAGTCATGGTGATCATGCCACTTGCATTAGAGGTGGGTGTAGGGATAGTGGTAGACATGGGAGATGGAGTCTCATCATCCAATTCATGACGTGCAGGTCTTTTTCTCAGATCACAGCTGGAACTAGCTTCCTCAATTGCTTCCTCTGCCAATGCATATTCAGTTTCTCCTTCATCTGCTGAGCTAGGCTCTGGCACCTGGTCATGCTCTTCTTCATACACCGGGGGAAATGAGCCTTGGGGCGTTGATTGAGAACGTAAGGATCTTTTTCATTCTGATTTGGGGGTAGGAGGTAATCTGCTCATTTGATCATAATGCAAATGCTGATTCTTCAAAGAACATGATCACTTCTTGCAACCAGACAATGTTCATGTGGAATCTTCTGATTTTGTTGCAAAAAGAGCCTTCTTTTATAGAATTGATGTCGAACTCAACTAATAGTAAAGTGGTGTTTTGTTTTGATTCTAGAACGCAATCACTTATTGCAACCAGACAATAATCCTATGGAATCTTCTGATTTTGTTGCAAAAAGAGCCTTCTGTGGAATTGAAGTCAAACTCATCCAATAGCTATCAACGCAATGAAATTTTGAATAAAAAACTCATTTTTATCTCAAAAACGTGCAAACCGGGCTATATCCTGTGGGATGGGTGGTGCCAGCTAACTGATATACACGAACATCACGTGAGGTGGTGCGGCCACCGGGCGGTTTTGTTTTGAGAAACATACTATATCTTTTTATACTTTTATTCAATATATTATATGTAGCTTTTGAATATGAGTATTTTTATTATACTAAAGCAATTATATAAAATCTTAATTAAGTAACAAATATAACTTATAGAAATTGATGTCAATTTATTTAATTCTATTCAGATTAAACTATTTAAAAGTTTAATATTTAACTTTATATATTAATTTTCTTGGAGATCTAATTTAGCAACTTGCAGTTAATCTTAAATTCTTAAAACTTTTAGGTAGAAGATTATCATCACTACAATTATGAATAAGTAATACCAAAATATACTTGCTTTATATGAGAAAAGGAAAAATTATACAAGATTCAGAAGACTAATACAACATAAGATTTTCAATCATATGAATTTGAATCTTTTGTCTTCCAATGATGTTTGGAGGCTCTATAGAGATGTAGTGACTGTGAAACCATTGAACATATAAGAAGATATCCTAATCCTAATAGTTTAAATTTTAATGGAATTTCTTTGAATGTTGTTGTTAATTGCATTTTATTAAACACTTAATGCATGGTTTTGGTGGCCGGCTCGGTTGAAAGTGACCGGGTTCAGTTGGGAATTATGTCTAGTTAACTAGTTATGACCCCTTCTCCGTAGTTACGTGGCGAGGGGCGTCAGCAATGCCCCACTTTCGTCTTCATTATCCAACTTCTACCAGGGCATTGTAGATCAAAACTACTATTGCTGCGCAATGACGATTAGCTTCTAAAAAAGATTAAAATATGATAGATTCTGTGATTTAATCGAGAGTGACCTTGCTTTGCAGCGATGTCCCATCAAGTAACTAAAGAAGCAGTATGCGCGGCCGAATTGCTATGGATGCAAATTCTATGGTTGGAAATCTGTGGAATCGTACATGCAGCTCTATGTAAAATTAAAAAAAAAAATTAAAAAAAAAAAATTAAAAAAAAGGCTGACTTACAATCCCTTTATCAACGTCCGTGCTGAAATCCACACTACATCTTAGCAGCGATGACACTACCCCCGTCGAGCGATATCGTTGCGCCATTAACATAGGACCCAGCCTTACTGCTAAGGAAAAGACAAGCTCCGGCGACATCTTCTGGGGTTCCAATGCGACCCAACGGGATTCCCGATTCGATTACGTCTTTGAACTTCTTCAACGTTGCGGCCATCATCTTACTTTCAAATGGCCCACATGCTAGCGTGTTGGAACTACTTGCGAAAGTTAGCAAGCCAAAATGGTCCTGGGAAGCTGGGCTTTTCAGAAAGGGTCGCACGTTATATTCCGTCTTCCAAGATGGTGGGCTAGAACACGGCTGAGATGGTGTAGGCCAGCTTTGCTGGCGCTGTATGCATAGGTCTCGAGAGACGGGACTCTCAATCCATCGATGCTGCCAATGTTTATGATTCTTGCTGGGTCACCTTTAGAGGCTCCTTTCTCGAGAAGGGAAGTGAACAGTTGTGTCACTTCGAATACCCGTTGCAAATTGAGTGTCAAGACTCTTGTCCAGGCCGAGGATGGGTACTCATCATATGGCTAAAAATATGTTTTGTTCAGTATATAGTGCGATAATCCGAGCTCACATCTTAGGAACAACGATCTGCGGAGAGAAGGAGAAGATAAAACAAGGTATCCTTACCGCCCCCCAATTAGATCCTGCATTATTGATCAAGCAATTTAATTCTATAAATTTTAACAATCAGCAATTCGGAAACTGAAGGTCGAAGGCCAAATTGTCTTGAACATGGCCGCGGCAGAAATTTTAAAAGGGCGTCCAATTTAGTCAAGCATCTAAAAGAACAACGTACTGCTTTCTCTTTTCGAAAATTCTTCAAGGAGCATCTTGCACTCCTCCTCTTTGTATAGATTTGCTGGTATCCCAACAGCTTTTCCCTTTCCTAAGGCATTCAGCTCCTTCACTGCCTTGTCGCAAGCAGCAGCATCTCGACCGGTGATGTAAACAATAGCTCCATTGGTAACGAATCCCTCAGATATCATACGTCCAATGCCTTTGGCACCACCAGTAACTAAGACTACTTTACCCTTAAATTTAAATCCTGTTAGCAGATGTCAAAAGACTCCGGATCGAATGATTTGTATCCTTGCCTTAACATCGAAGAGGCTTGAGGAGTCCATTGTCAGCAGGTTCTCGGAAAGTACCAATTTTCAAACAACTTTCAAACAACAAGCTCTCAGCGTCCAGTGAAAATGTGGAAATACAAGGCAAAGTTGTTTAGGAATACTGAAAATATCCCAACAAGGTGAAAAGATGATAGAGCAGAAATTGTGTTCGTTACAAAGACAACACCTGGCTCCCTGGGCCGAGGTTGTCGGATATCGCAAAAACCTTAAATCCGTTATTTGTTTGAAACTAACCTTTAAATGCCACAACTTACACAGAGGGATTGAACCTATCAACATCTACAAGCATTCCCGGCAATAATATAGGGTCTGCACCAGGTCCTACGCTGTTGCCAGGCTCTTCAATAAAGATGGAGGAATTGCAAGCTAGACACAGAAAAGAGTTGAGGGATCTGCAAGGGCGCATCACGCAGATAAAAAAGTCCGCAACGAAAAAGACGCGCAAGGGTGTTAATGACCAGTGCGATCGCCTCTATCATGAATTACTTGAAAAGCAACGTGCTGAAATATCTGCTCTCCATGGCGATATGGAACCGCCTACAAGTGATCTTGACCGCCTCAACCTAGTTAACGGTGCGGGGGACTCAGAATACCCCTCCGAAAATGACAAAGAGAATTCGAACTCCCAAACAGCTCCCATTTCTACACCTGATACCCGGCTTGGCACCTCAGCACCTCCCAAAGAGACGACGCCCCAAAAGAAGCCAAATCGCCAGAAGGCACGCCTAGCCCGCCGTGCTGCAGAGCAGGAAGCCGAAGCTGCCAGAGCCGCAGAGGAAGCAGCCAGTCAGATGGACCACAGGGGCAACGAGAAGAAGAACATGGACGCAGCTTTCTCCCGTCTTGGATTAAAGGAGAAGGAAATTCGTCCCAACGGGCACTGCCTCTATGCCGCTGTTGCCACTCAGCTCGTTGACAACGGCATTCCGCTCAGGGAATCCATATCTGCGACTGAGTCCGGGGTCGGTGCTGTCGGATATCAAGCTGTGAGGGATGTAACGGCTAATTTTATTACAAATCACGCGGACGATTTCGCGCCATTTATCGAAGAATCACTGTCCCGGTATGTCCGCAAAATAAGAGACACTGCAGAGTGGGGCGGGCAACTGGAGCTACAGGCTATTTCGCAAGCATACGGCGTTCATATTAATGTGGTTCAAGGAGATGGACGAATAGAGAAGTTTGAGCCCCCAAATAGCAACGCCGGAGAAGAAAAGACAATATGGCTTGCCTACTATCGGCATTCTTATGGTTTGGGAGAACACTACAACGCTTTAGAAAAAGAGTCTTGAGAACCCGGCTTGTGCGATTTTAAGACTGTATTAAGTGGAGATTTTCAACGATGTTGTTAACATGTAACGGCATCTTTTGGAGCATCTTCAAATTAATATTAATTTCGGCGGCGCCAAATTGCTACCCAGTCCTGGACATTTCCAGCTTCGTCCTTACCGACCGCATGCGTCCTCTCTGGTTGCCAATGAGCAACACGCTCCAGTCCATTAGGACTCGCTCCTCTGAGCGGATCGCTTTTGACATAACCGTTCTCGTAGACAACATCTTCTCCCGGATGACTGAGATGTTCCATATATGCTGCTGGTTGGGACGCGAATGGAGGGCCCATGGCTGCTGGGTCCTTTGCGGTAGGGAACTCGAGACAGATGAGGTTTCCGTGTGGCGATGGCGCCAGCAATTGTGACATGCGGAGTGCCCATCGTGGGCGAAGAACCGGATTCAATGCACAGAAAAACTACATTTGGGTTAAGAAACAACGAGTGTGTTTCGGGTATGTTAGACAACACTTCATTATCAAATCAATCAGGCTCGATCTGGGGACACGTATAGCCCAAATTTAAACTCGTGTGCACTGTCAAGGTAATTGTAAAGGTAAGACAATGCAAGCTTACCGTGTAGTCATATATGAGGTCAAACCCTCCCCAACCAACCCCAATCTTCTCCAACCAGTCATTTTGAAAAAAGTCTCCTTGGATAAACGTAACCTTCCCCTTTCCTATCTGCTCATCTCGTACTGGAAGGTTATCACCAACTTTCGCTGCCTCTTCACGACAAATCCCCACTGCCGTATCACTATACTCCAACCCGTACGCATCATATCCAAACCCTGCCAGTAGGAAAACATCAAAGCCCCGTCCACAACCGGGAACAAGCGCCTTTTTCCTTTTCTTGCCGTTACTCTCTTCCCCTGAACCTAGCACTTCCTTGTCACTTCGAAGGGCATTTCCAAGATATCCTTGCCGTTGGAGCAGAGCATCTTCAAGGGCAGGGTTATACTCCCCACGGTCCCAGGGTGTTGTTTCCTTCTTCCACAGCTCGTCCCAGGCGTCTGCTTGGTTATCCGGTTGAAATTTTGAGAAGTGCTCGCTCAGTTTTGGTTGGTTAAGTGATGGCTGCGACATGGCTGAAGGTGTCGAGTGGGAGAGGCAAATGGCGGGGCACTGGGTCCGGGTCTGGTAATAATTGCGAAAATCACAACGTCCTAATGGGATTGACAAAGGCTTATCGAGAATGTTGTTATATAGGTAGGATATAATGCCTCCTGTTTCGGTTCCAACCGGAGGTATGTGATTGAATTTGCGTTTGATTTTTTGGTGGGGATGTATGTATGCATGTACTGGTGGATACCATCCGTATTCCGAGAGCAATATCGGGACCCAATTGCTATGAGAAATTCTTTGATTCGTTAGTTTTGTAACATTGAGAAGATATATATATCATCAGCCTTTGTCATGAATGCATATTCTAGCAGGTAAGAGAACATTGTGCTTCGATATTGTACAGGATAATGCGACATAAAAGGATATGTATGACTTGGGAATGTCGGGGATGGGCCAGATATATGAAATCACTGATTTTGAAAAATGCCACATTGATCCTTGCTTAGGATACATGCGTAGCTCGTGGTTTGATAATGTCCTAGGTATCGTCATATCACCTTCACCACATATCATCCAAGTGGCTTTTCTTGAACTTTCAAGTGCACTTGAGTATAACCAATTAGTTACCTTTGATGCAGTTGCGTAAGGTGCATACGTATAGCAGTTAATCGATGCCATGAACAATTGATCGTCAGCCAACGTTCCATACATAGGTCGAACATGCCTGGTTGCACGCCCGCCTGTTGACACAACTATCAGCTTGCTGTGAATGGCAAATTGTGCGACAGCAGGCCGTTGAAAGTTGAGCACTACAATGATAGAAATCCAAAATGCAGGTTGTTCAGCCTAACAAAAAGGTCTCTCCCTTCACACAGCAACTTACAACTTGGAACAACCCAGCTTGAGAGACCGCGGTTTGCCGGCTATTAGGGACTTGCCCAGTGGCTGTGTAGCCGAAGCGCTGCGATTCGCGGCTTCTATTGGTCGGGATTTCCACGGCAAGATTCCCGCCGCAGATTTGCACCAAGAGCACGTGGTTCGGGAAAACTGCCGCTCCGACGAACGACGACGATTGACTAACTTGATAGTACTTAATAACTAGTTAACGGACGACGACGACCTGGTTTCGGGAACGCCTGAACATCTCACCAATCCACGACAACAAATAGGAAGATGCAATGAACTATGCGGGGTGTGGGCACCTATTTCACACAATTTCTTTTTCCAGGTGGGTTTCTGGGGAGTCTTGCCGTCTGGGGAGTCGAACGGCGGATCCATAATTATGGGCAAATCGAACCCTCAATTCACGGCAATCGGCACCGCCCAAGTCTCGAACAATTTCTATGGAGACAAAAGCTAAACTTAGCCCCGCGCTAGCTATCACTTGATCTTGCTAGCAAAATGGTTTTCCATTACAATTTGTCGGAATATCGCCGACGTCAATCGCTAAGCCGGAGATTTCACTTTCAACCAGCGATAGGTGTCTTGAAATTGCCGGATTACCGATCCAGGAAAAGAAAGGCAATCATCAAATGAGGGGAATTAGAGTAATGCTTGATCTGACTCTCGGGTGCTTGTTGCCGACCTGGGGAGGAGTCAAGAAATCGCATACAAGACAAATTTGAATAAATGGAACAGTCCTAACCGTCATCAAGGCTAGGACACTACTAATAATGGCTGAGTGGAGAATTCAGCAGCCGAATCTCATATTCGTCCTAGGCATATCTCCTAACATGAGGAGTGCGAAGTTTTTCAACTTCATCTTTCCTCTTGAGTCCATGTTCCTGTCAGATACTACTAATCATCTACCTGTGCTCCTGTTCATCTTGTCATTCTCTTATTCTGCCGTACGATACGAGCATGGATTGATGTCACAACCGTTTATACCAGATTTCTTTATCCTTCTTCCGCCGCATCTCTTGTCCTTGCAGGCTATTGCATGGATGTATCATCACACAATTCTCAAACGATAATTAATTTTATGTGAGAGATTGCTGTCCGGATAAGGCTTTGGTGTAAAGTTCTGCCTTAGATACTGTATGTATTGATGTATCTCGGTCAATATCAATTTGGTTTATTATTTTGGGATAACCCCATCTCATTGCCTCCACTCTGTTCCTATCCTGTGTTGTCCAGCCGTCGGGGTCACAACTCCCGGCGCATGACATTTTGAAACGCATCAATGGCTTCGTCCGAGCCAGAGCTGGAGGTGACTCGCTTGCCAGCCTTGGGATGTGAAGCGGCAGCAGCAACAGCAAAAGAAGAAGAGAAAAAGCCTGAAGGAATTGACAGAATTGACCAGAGGAACGGAGTAGCCGAGCTGGAGACGCCAGCGGAAGAGGATATGGCAGTGGATGGTAAATCAATGAGGGCAACTTCGCTTTGTGAAGAGGAAAGGGGAAGTGTCTGCTGTGCAGCGAGGCAGCGTATCAGTTTATACTCCACTGCTGTGAAAGTTCCTATCAATAAACGTCGAGGCTTCTTAGGACATCTCACGCTGCTGCCAGAGGTTGAGGACCCAAAAAAATATCCTCGTAAAACGAAATGGCTGATCACAATGATTATCGCTCTTGCAGCCGCGGGGGCGCCTATCAGCAGTGCTATATTTTTCCGTTAGTTTTCTCCTCCCCCAAAACCGATTGCAGAGCGTATTTTGACGCCCGTTTCGTTTCCAGCTTCCCTTGGCGAAATTGCGTCTTCACTCCACACAACCCCCACTGTCGCCAACCTTTCTGTTGCGCTATTCATGCTGAGCATGGCCATATTCCCTTTGTGGTGGTCCTCGTTCAGTGAAACCTTCGGTCGTCGCTCAATATACATCATTTCATTCATTCTATTCGCCGTATTCAACATCCTATCCGCCATAGCGACCAATATAGAAATGCTTATTGTCATGAGGCTATTGAGTGGCGGAGCCGCAGCTTCAGTTCAGGCAATTGGGGCGGGGACAATTTCAGACATTTGGGAATCACGAGAGAGAGGTCAAGCAATGGGTATTTTCTACCTGGGACCGCTCTGCGGACCTTTATTCGCCCCAATCATTGGTGGAATAATGTCGCAGGCCTGGGGTTGGAGGAGCACACAGTGGTTTGTGACGATTTACGGAGGAGCTGCGCTAGTCATGATCCTTTTTGGTCTCCCAGAGACCCTAGTTGTGCGAAGGAACCTAACGGCTGAGGTAGAACCGGAGGTTGAGTTGATTCGTCCTCTCAGCCGGGTGTCTACACGACAAGTTGTTCAAAGCACTGCCAGATGGCTAAAGATCAGCAAAATCGCCATCATTGATCCACTTAAGATCTTGCTTTTCCTACGCTTTCCGGCCGTTCTTTTGACCGTGCTCTATGCCAGCATCACATTTGCGTCATTATATGTGCTGAACATCAGTATTCAATCTACTTTCAGCAAGGCGCCGTACAACTTCTCGACATTGATTGTTGGATTACTGTATATTTCGCATTCAGTTGGTTATGTAATTTCCAGTGTGGTCGGCGGTATGTGGATGGATTCTATAATGCAACGTGAGGCCAAAAAAGCGAATAGGGTGGATGAGAACGGAATGCTCATCTACCGCCCAGAGGATAGGATGCGAGAGAATGCTTGGCTTGCTGCTTTCATCTATCCAGCAGGTATTCTCTGGTATGGCTGGTCCGCAGAAAAAACGTTATTTTGGGTTATACCAGTACTCGCTCCCTAAGTCCTCCCCTTCCTTTGTACCTCTTCCCATAATCGGTACCAACGAGTATGCAAAACTGATATCCTTTCCCTGGACCTTTAGATATTAGCCAATTTTTTCTTCGGTCTCGGCTCCATGATGATATTCAGCATGGTAACAACAATGCTGACAGAATTTATGCCCAATCGATCGGCCTCAAGCGTTGCTGTGAATAATTTCGTGCGCAATGCCTTCGCATGTATTGGAGGCATCATTGCCGCTCCGGCCCTTGAGGCTCTCGGGAATGGCGTGCTATTCACAATCATCGCCTGTGCGGCATTTTGTGGGGCATCGGTAATTTGGGCAATGAAGCGGTTCGGTCCGCGATGGCGGATTGCCATGGAGGCAAGTATGAATTAACGAGATGGGGCATGCCATGTGTGATTTTGTTCCTACACATATGCTCGGTGATCATGATCCATATGGTAAGAAAACCAAGCTTTCTCTATATTTTCTCGATTTTATTGCCTTTGCTTATCCTAGCAGCACCCCAAGATTGCTCATTTATATGACGTACATAGAATTTTTTCGATTCTCATGTGAATTCGACACATTCGCAGGATACTTCAACATCTATTTGGTGCATCGTCCGGCGGGTGTTTTTCCACCTTTAATAGATTTAAAGCGGTTTTTGTTCCCTTTCTCCTCTCCATATTATCTACTTCTTGTTTATCACCGAGATTTCATTGTTTACTTCTTGATGTTTGATCAGCGTTTGCATAGTATGGAGCGGTAGCATACAAATGGGGAAGAATTATACATAGAGGATTCAGTACATCGCAGAAAAATAGAAGTTTCTTTGCTTTTTCCTTTGCAGTAATCGTAGATATGTATCTTTTGCCTATTCTATGGTGTTTATCCTAATTAATACATATATTGCTAAGTATAGGGCTATCATAAATCAATGATCCCTAATTCGACATCTTCGATATCCTATTACTATCGTGGTTTTGTGACTAAATATTTACGTTGGATGACCTCTGTAAATTTTGCTGATTGAGTCGGCTAGGATGTGCTCTTCAATTCGATTGATCTACGGGAATTATGATTCCTTTAATTTGGGCCGGGGATGTGTGAATTTGATTTAAGGTGGGCAGCCATCTTGTGTATCAGAACAAGATCTTATCAGCGATATCCTTCAATGCCAGCTGATGGTTGATAACTCCGTTGTCACAGCTGTGAGAATACAGACCTCTGGATTCATTTTCTGATAAACCATGTACAAGTTATCCAATGATAGAAGTTTTTAAGAATGATCTTATTTCCATTTTTATCTACACGCATACTTTTCTACCTATATACGTATATACGTATATTTGTATGAATCCATCCGGTTTAACGCAGGAAGCGACATAAGGTCAAGGACTTCCTCCGCTGGAGTTGGGTGACGTCACATAGTTACGTCCTCTTGTAAGATATTTGCTTTTCCCTTCAACAGGCGGGGTCGAAAATGTGTAACATTTCAATAATTTCCGATGTTGAACATCAGCATGAACAGCATTATCTTGCGGGAAGGCCGGCAGCCGGGTTATAATGAATGGAATATAATCTTCCACCCGGTCTCGGAAGGGCCAAGAGCTAGTTAACGACCATATCAATGACAGATTAAATGCTAGAAGTGCATAACCCGCGAATCGATGACTTTAGAAACGCGGTTTCTTTTTCTTTGCATATAGCTAGGGTTCAGAAACATTGCACATAGCCGCAGAATACTGCATGTCCAAGGGATATAGATCAACTGAAGTTGAGGCATTCAGCAGCTGAGAGGTTGGAATTGGTTGAAAGTGGGCCAGGGGTTGTCATCGCGGGATAAATATTAAGTAACTAATCCGTGCCACTTGATGTTTAACTAACCAACTTCCCAGGGCTAGTTGCTCCTCGACCATCTTTCATCGAATGGGAATTACCACCTAAGAAGAATGGTAGGCAAGAGAAAAAGCGTTGAAAGCGGGTGGCGCGTCGCAACCGTTGGGGGGTCAGCATCCCGCAGGGAGAGAGTATCACGAAATCAACAGGTAGCTTTCATTAGCCACGCTGACTTCAGCGTCCGTGATTGTGCAACAGGGAGGAGGAGAAACTTTGGTGTCCCTCGGGATAGTTATCTGTACGCGGCCTAACTGGGAAATCATTCCCTTCTTCCAAGGGCCTGAGGGAGTTTTGTTCTACTGAGTTATCGATTAATTTATTTTGTCCCTCCCACAAGACGGGGAAACAGGTCCTTGGCCGTTAATTTTTATGTCGTGGTCTTTTTGTGAAGGAGTGCTTAGGTGGTGATGGGGTTGATACAGTGCATGTGCGGGAATGCTTTCTCGTGTCCTAGTTTCCTATATATGTCCCAAAATGATGAAAGTTCTTTTCTAGGACTTGATATACGAGGAGATATGGGAAGATTGAGACTGGCCATTATTTCAGAATGAATGTCTGAGATATTTATGAAATGGCATCAGCGACATAATTTCCCTTCTGCCTCCGCAGGCTTGAGGATTGCTGCAAGAAGAGTTGACTCTAAATGACCACCAAGTCAGCACTTCCGCGTATGCCCCTTGCCCCCAATCGGATTGGCCAGTGATTTTGGGTTAACTTCGTGTTTGTTGTTCTCAGGAAGCTTTTTTGGGTTTGTAAAAGGATAAACGTGATGTGATCTGATATGTGTGTTGAAGGGTGCATATCTACAGCAATGTAGTTACTGTATAGGTGCCCTTTTTGGCGCGGAGGTGGAGTATATGATTGGCTCAACCGATTCTTTCCAATCAAGCACGAAGTACGAAGAGACTCCAGATATTTATTCATGCATCTGCACAGATGGGTTGGGAGCACCGCTCTCGGGTCACAGAGGTGCGTCCATCATTGAGGCCATGATTGATGCCACTTGGTGGAAGGAGGCATGAATGTCTTCTGAATTCCACGACGTTTCAAATTGACCTAGTTTCGATGGAACAACGTCTACGATGTCTACACAGATCAGCTGTAGGTCACCTTGACTGTGGAAATCAGCTACTGGTGGGTGACTATGCCTGACCGTCAGGTCCCCAACGCAGGAGATATTTATGGACTAGCGAAAGGGAAATTTTGATTTCTCCTGAGTTCAGCTTTCAACAGCTGGGTGGACATAACAAAGGGTGCAGTAGAACCGCAGACCCAATAACTCTTCAGTGAGAGATGGTAGAGATGGCAGTTTACCACGTCAACTTCCTCTCTCTATACAGAAAATTATTGAGGTAAAGATCGAACCTTTTCCGAGGCTGCAAGTGGGAGGCTTCGAGCCAAAATTACTCCGTACTTGATTGGAAACAACTAGCGACGTATTTAATGCGATCAGGAGGCATTGGTCTGAAGTTTATCAGCGTCCCAAACCCCCGGGCGGACTGTTACAATACGTAAATCCAGATCCCCTCGCTGATATCAGGCCGCAATCTGCATGCGTGAGGCATCCAATCGGAGTGGCTGCCAAGCGTTGATGGCCAATGAGGTCGGCTCAGGTCACTGGGTCCAGTGTTTTGATCTCACCCTCACTCTGCTGCCTCAACGTCAATCACCCGTTAATCTTCTGTTTCGCTTCTCTGATTCTAAAACTCCACATTTGCTTGACTGCATCTTTACGTTTATTTCCCTTGGTCCGGTACGTCAACCACTGACCGTAAAGGTTGAGGCCTCTTGATTTGGTGCCGCAACCTCCAACTCTATGCAACTGGCTTCCTTCTGATGATCGAGACGTTCCGGAATGGGCATTCTACGGGCATTCTATGCCTGGTTGTGTGCTGCTTAATCCTCAAGCATACTATTCTTTATTCTTTATGGAGCATTATCATGGCTGGTCCCGTAGAGCTCCACTCTCTGGCGCCATCCATACTGCCCTGCTATATCCATGCGGATAGCCGTTCTGTGAATGGTACCAGTCTCCATCGTGCCTCACCTATCATTATGTGTGATCAGTCCCAGCCACCCCGCGTACAATGTAATCTTGCGGCTGGATTACTGAAGAATGACTGAAGCCAAGCCAGTAATAACCCGGCGGAGAACTGCAATCGTTCCGCCGTACCCCAACCGGAACCAATTGCCGAAGACGTTGGGCAGAAACCTAAAGATGTCATTTCCAAGGGCAAAAATCAACATGCCACCTGTCTCGCATGTTATCGTAAGGCATTGCCCTACCTGATGTTTCTGGCCCGTTTCTTTGTTTAGTTATGGAGTTCTTTCTTCCTCAAGCTGTGGGTCAACTGAAAACTAGGCGGAGTACTGCCGTTTTTATTTCAATTGATTGAACCACCTGATTGGAAAGATATTAATACTGCTTATTTTCTAATGGTTTTCTACGTTGCGTGGTTTGCTTTGACTTCTTTTATTTCCTTTTTTTAATTTTTCTAGTATTCATCTATTTCCTCCTGATTTTGATTTTATCATTCCAAGCCCCTCATGCTTACAGCATCGTGCATGCCTTCGGCTCTAGGACTTGCAAGCATCATCAACTCACTCTAGTGCCGTTGGTACATATCTGTGAAATTGGAGAGAATCCGGTCTTGTCGTGAGACGTGGCCCAATAACATATGATGCCTCCACGAATTGGACGATGAAATTGTCTGGCCCCTAGCAGATCGCGGATTCGTCTTGACAAGGCCTCCACCACGCCCCCAGTGGAAGATATCTTCTGCTTCATGTGCTAGGGCAGTCAGACATGAGCTCTGTTGCATTTTCGTTCCCTATTACATTGCCTCCTTTGCTATTCTTCGCCAGCTCCCTCCTCTCATATCTTACACTTCTTCCACCTGGTCATTTCATGTGTCACTCTCTTTGACGACTCATCTAATTTATTCACCCCTCACCTTACGACACTTTTAAGCCGGCGAATCCCCATGCCAGCGCCCAGTGCTTTCCTTTACTCTCATATATCATTCGCTAGTTAAAAATGGGGGGAAGAAAAAAGAAGTTAAAGAAACAAAACAACAATCACCCTCCCAACTTCACAAATCTTTCCAACACTGACAACGATATCAATCCCAATTCATTTCCAGATGGTGCTGGCCTAGTGGCCGCACCCCCTCAAGATGTCAAAGCCTCAGTTCGAGTATGCAAAACTCCCTCAATTTACATATCAAACGTTCGACCTTAAGACTCTCAAGTTCTCGAACGTCCCGGTCATTCCTCTCTTTGATAAAGGAAGAACAGTCGACAATGATAAAGTCAATGCTGACGTTGAGTCGAACAAGGATGAGGGTCAGGATGAACCATCAGAGACTGACCCAACTGAACCTTCTTCACCCCTTGAAAGTGCCTCACTTCCCGAGCCCCCTAATGGTACGTGATTAATTTTCTTCATCATGTCTCTCATCCCTTTCAACTTTTCGTTACTTCTAGACGTGTTTTACATGTATCACCCTTAATTTATTTCGTGTGGTGCGTTATGATATATTCTAATCAGGGGATTCCGAATTGATGGTTGATATGCGAAGATACAAATATAGACGAGATACCTTTATCTGAAATGATACCCACGGATATTTCTACTGACTCTTTTTCAGGTACATCTGAGCAGGAAGCTGAGCAAAAACCAGAAGCGGAACTGAGTGAGGAGAAGCCTGCTGAAGAGGCGCGGGAAGTTGTTGAAGAGCTTGAGGAGGTTGCAGAGGAGGTAGCAAAAGCAGTCGGAGAGGCAGCAGAGCAGGTAATGGAGGAAAATAATGAAGAACTGCAAGATGAGGATTGCAGTGCAGACACCACAGATGAGTTGGGGGTGGACGAGGGAAATCGAAATGAAGTGGCTCAAAACAAGGATGCTGACCCTCCCGTGGATGGTAAAAGTCCGGAATATACTGGGCTCGAGGATTATGGGATCGTAGATAGCACTGGGAACTTTGATAATGACGGTAATATAAATCTCTACTATTTAGAGGGTACGACACTGACAAGCACAAAATATCCAGAATTTCCAGATGTGGACCCCGAAGCTGAGGTAGATCAGGTTGAGGCGGAGAAGGAGGCGGAAGCAGAGGCTATTTATAATAATGATGATGATGACGACGACACCTTAACTCTGGAGTATTGCGATGAGGACACAGAAGAAGCTATGGATGAGGCCAAAGAGAACGAAGTACTCACAGATGAACGCCATATGCTCAAAATCGACGAACAAAATTCTGAAACTACCGAACCAGGAAATCCCGTTGAAAGTGGATCCCTTGAGCCAGAAAAGCAAGACGAACATGAAGGACCTCATGAGGAACCAGCGGAATGCTCTTTGGAGTACACAGACCCCCCCGAAGAGTCAGAGGAAACACCATCCGACGAAGCTCCGGCTGAAGACCCACCAACTGAACTAGATTGCCCAGCTGAAGAACCAACCGTAACAAATCCCATGGAAGATTCAGACCCAGTGGAGGAACCCGCTGCCGAGAACCCTCCCGATGAAGAGCCGAATCCTCTAGAAAAGTCGGCTGTTGAAGACCCATCAGATGAAGAAATATCTTTGCCAGAAGAGGTTTCAAATGATGAGCCACCGTCGGAAGTCACACCTGAAGAAGAGCCTCCCACCGAAATCCAACAGACGTATGATGATTCACCAGCGGATAGTGCTTCGTACGAAGTTGCCGTCGAAGAACTGATTCAGGAAGAACTCGCAGCTGAAGAGTCTCTCGCTGAAGATGCCTTTCCAGTAGAAGAAACTACCACCGGTGACTCACAAGCTGATGATCCGCCTGTCGAAGATAACCCAGTGGGAGCTTCTCCGGTCGAAGATTTGTCTGATGAATATCTTCCTGCTGAGTACTCGCCTGCTGAGGACCCGCCTACTGAAGACCCGCCTGCTGAAGACCCTCCCGCTGAAGGCCCTCCCGCTGAAGGCCCGCCCGCTGAAGACCCGCCTGCTGAAGACCCGCCCGCTGAAGACCCGCCCGCTGAAAACCCTCCCGCTGAAGGCCCGCCCGCTGAAGACCCTCCCGCTGAAGGCCCGACTGCTAAAGACCCGCCCGCTGAAGACCCCACTGCTGAAGACCTGCCTGCGACAGAATCGTCTCCCACAGAAGATCATTCTGCTGAAGAATCAGTCGCAGAAGAAGCCACTGCAGAGGAGCCAGTTGCAGAAGAATCGATGCAATCTGAAAATGCACCAGGCGAAGACGCCTCTCCAGAAGATCACTCCCCGGAGGAACTCGTTGAAGAGCCGTCTTCTGTGCCTTTTGCACTAGGCAAATCGCTAACAGAGGCAATTTCTGTTGAATTTCCCGCAGAACGGCCTCCTGCTGACGAAACAAGTGGCGAAATAACTCTTGAAATCACCAATGCAGAAGTCTTAATCGATGCTCCATTAGGGGAGTCTGCAGATGTTGTTGCATCCTCCAAGACAAGGCGGAGAAAGCGGCGGCATCGATCGCAGTGGGAACGTGAAAGGCGGGGATCCAAGGGCTCTTCTGATAGTCATGCTCTTTGTCGCCGAAAGAGTGAGCGGGGGCTTTTCTCTAACCCATTCTCTGAAGCTGTTGAAGAAGCAAAGAAACAAAGATTGTCAAGGCCCATCTCCGATGAAGAGAGGACTGAACAGAGAAGGAGAATGGACAGTCGCAGAGAGAGTGAATTACGAACTAGAAGACAGAGCACGGCAAATGATTTACTTGATACAAGCCGCCATTCTGGTGCTGCTGAGAGCAGACGGAATTCGACCTCTCATACATTTTCAGCTCTAGCAGCCAAACCAGTCGCGTTGCTTAGGCTTATTGCTAATGGAGAATCTGAAACCAATGGACCCCTACTGATACTTAACGTATCTAATCAATACGAGAGAAGAAGATTATCTGCCTCTCGCCCATCGGACTCGTCAAGTGATTCGAGGCCCCATTCCAACTCTCACTCGCATTCCCACTCACATCACAGGCATCGACATCATAGTGATAAAGAATCAAGACCTCGCGAGGATGGGTCGCCAAGAGACTCAATTGACGATGGTGAGAGGCGTCGAAGAGAACATCGAAGATCGAGAAGGCCTGAAGAGCAACTGGAAGATCTACCAAGGAGGAGGGGAAGCCACAACGAGGAAAGCCACCAGGAGAGAAGGAATTCTGAGAAATATATTAACAACGGTCCTTTAGACAAATTGAAGGATCGGTTCATGGGAAACCTGAAGGCTGTCCTAGCGGTCGCGTGAAAAGATCGTTTTATTCTCGTATGTTTATGTTCCTTCTGTCCTTTCCATATTTTGCTCACCAAGCCGCCGATAACCCTTCCCCATTGGGCATTTCCTTTTAATGCTTGTTTTTATCGTCTTTTATTTTTATCTTCTCATCTTAAATCTTATATACCCATTTTCATAATATGGTTTCTTTTTCTTGTCTTGGTGTATCGAATGAAAAGGGTGATGAGCATATCTGGTACTGTCCAGAAACAAGAATGGTACCTTTTTCATTTGAACTGTACGGTTATGCTTATACTGGCACTTTCCACGTTTTAATCTCAACCATTTGCTTCTATGTTTTCTTTCTCGAATCAGTCATCATCAATGCTTCACACCTGTGAGAATTACAACATTTACAATCCTCTTACTCCCACTGTCCGTCTTATCTCAACCACACAAATGCTCCTCTCTATGCCACATGCCGGTTTGACATATGTATATATACGTTCGGTTCTTTCCCCCTTCATCTACTCCTCTTCTTGTGTATGTCCGCACTTGATGTAACAAATATTTATGATACCTCTTTTTCTCAGTCAGTTCAATTCTATTCACAAAACCAAAAGTTTGGATGCAGCAACGTCAATCCCGCTGGAAGTTATGTTAGCTATTCATATTTTATCCTGAGTTAAATGATTATTTTTAACTTGTTTCAACACTTGAGATTTATGCATCCACATAGTTCAGCTGCCGCCACGTACTAATCCATCGAGTAGTTTCTCACTGTTCCGTGTGCAGGCACGGTGGGCAAAACCATCACTCTCTAGTCTGCCACTATGTGAAATACCTCATTTGTATTGTAAACAGATGCCCAGAGTTTGTTTAAGAAATCCAGTTATTCGTTAGATAAGGTATTGGCATGCTTTGTTAAGCTTGAAGGCCGAACACACCCAGCAGTCACTGACCGCAGCACCTAAAGCTTAACATTACATCTGTTCTTCATCCACCCTGTCATAGTTGCCTTTCACTGCCACCAGGAAAAAGAGTGGGATGGCCGAAAAATACTGATGACAAGTAATATTTAAGCGTGAAGTCAACGCTTCGTTCAAGCAAAATAGGCTTTCTATTGCTGCGAATACTCGTAAAGAAAGTGTAGAAGATGTTCACCACCATATGGATGATCTTCTGATACGAAAGAATATCTAATCTCTAGGATATCCATTTCAGTTCTATGACTGATGATTAAATATATTCTAGAATAGGTTAGGACAAAGTTGGTTTCATCTTTCAGTCCAATGGTTCCATGAATGAAAGCTGGCTCACCTGGAGCTTGAAATCCCAAGTTCGTTGAGATCTCAATAGGAGGTTTGCAGCAGGTTCATTCCTGATAAATTGCCATCGATGTAAATTTGGTGTACAAAAAATATAAAAATTGTGTTCGAACTGTAGATGTTGATCCATCTTATTACTGAGGTTGATTTCTATTATTTGGATCAGATGATCCCTATGGGATTGTCATCGTCCTTTGTCCTTAGAGTGCTGGCGTTAGGTCTTTTGCCAGGTTAGTCTAACAATTTCTTCGCTGTCCATCCGTATGGAAAATAAGTTTCAACTAACCGATTAACTCTAATTTTAAAGTTTTCAGTAACTTTAAGCATAACAATTAAGCATATTTTAGCTTCCATTCTATTTTCAGGGGTTTTCCGCTTGGAAACGGGAGCTAGAGTCACGGGAAACGAATCAAAAAAAATGCAGAATGCGTTTCAAATAACAAGGTTAAAACATATACACAGTGATAGGGTGATTTGCCAGCTTATACCTTCGATCACCAACCACTAGTTACGCTAAAAGAGAGTTGTTGTACCTGAATAATTCGCCATTTTCTCCCGTCTAGCCAATAGTTATCACACTCAGCCGGCGAACCGGAAATAAGTCGGCCGCTTAAGAGAGAACCGTACTATTTATAACCACTTCATATATGTTCCATCAATGGCAACATCCTATCTTAAATACGAAGCAGGAATGGCAACTAAATGCTACCAGAAGAGGTTTAACGCGAGCTATTTTAGCTCCTAATATGACATCCAGTGCGGTGACACTTGGGCTTATCAGGATCAAAGATGATTCGTGGATTGCCAAATTGCCTGTACTCAGCAGGATGCTCACAGCCCAAATACCGTGACCTCAATGATGTTGGAATGCTGATGCACCGCCATGTAGTTAGTGTCCATAAGCTATCATAGATTGATTGTAAAAATGCTTTGTCCTTCCCGTCGAAACTCCCTTATATTACCTCTTTTCCAGTTTATTTCTTTTCTAGCTTCCGCGGCCCCCCCAACCGACATGAACGCACGGCCACTACAAGACAGTCTCATTTTCACTCGTTAATTGAAAGAACTCACTATCAAGGAGGCTACACCTGCAAGAAATGCATGTCTAGACGGATTTTTATCCCTGGGACTGTGGTATGCCAGGATACACTGTTGGGATTGTCTCCAGAGACAGCCAAATCCATTCCAATGAGCAAACATTTCGTCAAGTATTCATAAAGCCGGCATATGGCCGTAGAGGGGGCTGCCCTGAAATGTTCTTCTTCCTGACACATGTCTCTGTGCAGGTACCATAGAGGAATAGTTTTAGGTCTCTTTTATACTATCTATGTCTTATAGAGAAAGGGAAGAAAGGCGGAAATAGTCCAGACAAGCGTGTTCATTCGATTTCGCTAAAGTGGTGGAGGATAAGCGGCGAATCGTCTTGTTTTAGTCTCTCAGGGTGCGACAAAGCGAATCGTGAAAACACCTTAAGAATCCTGTTAAGTAATACTAACAGTAAAAAGAAAAGAAAAAAAAGAAAAAAAAAAGGATAGACAACCATGAACTAAAAATACCACTTTAACTGTCGCATCTTTTGAAGGGCTATCATTCTCCCAGGTTTCAATGACGGTTACCGGCATATTAAGTTAATGAGGTTGATTGGGGAATTATAGATTATATTAGTAAGTTCAACGACTATATACGTTCCCAAAAGGGGCGGGACGGAGCACAAAACGAGGCCCAGCGAAAAACCACAAATAAATGTAGAGGAGGCAAGGGGAACCTTTCCATGATGAAAAAAAATGAACACTCTTCCCCCAATTCTAGCATCATAGGACTCCGCCAATGACATGCCCTGAATTATGTAAATTAAAGAGGGATGTTGAAACCGCCAAAGGGTGACATGGGAATAGGTTATTTTCCTGGACGCAACTGAAGACAAAGTCCTCTGGGTTTGTCTTCAAAAAATTACTGTTTCGTCAATCCATCATAGTGTCACATCACAAGCCCAAGCATAGTTGACAACCCAAAAACTGCAATTATGGCATCCCATTTCTGGAAGCTCAAATCCATAACCGACGAGGCAATGCCGGGAGATGGGGAACTTGACGGAGCTCCAGAAGTCGGTGTTCCGCCAGAATTTCTACCTGACTTCCCATCATCTTGTGACTTCCCAGTGGGTGGCTGGGTGATAGGGGAAGAACCTTCTCCTCGTCCTGCAAGGCTTGCTAGAATAATTTGAAGGGTGGCCAGTTGCTCTCCAACAGTTTTGTTATTGCCATTGCTCTCGTCACGGTCGTGGTCAGTGTCATTGTTCTTACGTAGCCAATGGAACCTGCACCGTTGAATGCCATTTTCATTGACACATTTTTCCACTGCAGCTCTAGAGGATGCGGTGATTTTTGGCAAGACGATGTCCTTTGCGAAATGCGCAAGCTTCACGGTTGTTCCAAGAGCCCGTGACAAAAACCCCTTGAAGGATTTTTGGTCAAACATGCATCTGTTGTTGGCTTCACAGGCAGGTTCGATCATAACATTGTTGCTGAAAAATATGTCCGAACCCTTCAACAGGCCTTCGATGCGAGTTTTCCAGGTTGGATCATTCGTCTTAACACATGGTGTCAGCTATGCGAAAACAATAATGGGGGCCAAGGGGGCAAATTGGAAGATGAATTTCCTACCGTATTGTATAAATTAGCGGCACCAGACAAAAGGATGCCAACATTAATGCTCCATTGGAAGTGGTTAAGCTGCTTGCAATCCCCTTCAGCATCGGCACCATCAAATACTTTAAAGTCTTCCGTTAAAAAACCAACTTGAGACATCCAATCCCATGTTTTTGTTGCCCAGTCTAAATAGGTTCCGTTTTTCGTGTATCGAGCCAATCTCGAACTTAGCTCAAAGAATGCGCCATTGGCCATACTAGTCTTGTAACTAGCAGCCGAATTATTATTACGATTCACTTGCCAATTGAGCCCTCCACCGCATTTTGAGTTGTCCCAACGCCTAACTTGTGCTTCGAAAGTGTTTTTGGCCAGATCCACCCACTGCAGTTGATCAGATCCGGGAGCGTCGAACGAGAATTCTGCAGCCGATAAAGCTGCCAAAGCCCACATGGCCTGGTCGTCGTTCCCCAAAATCCCTAACTGGCTGGCGGGTTGGAAATCATTCTGCTGGCCTTTTTGTGACAACAACCCCTCCTTGGTCAGGTTGTTGTAGGTTGAGTCTCCCGTATAGTGCCAGTAGTCTACCAGCGTTCCTAACATTGCACCCGATTGCCACCAAAAATACGGCTCGGGGAGAATGCCAACAGTTTGGCCGGGTTGGTCCCCCTTGTAGTATTTAACGGCGCCCTGAGCTACAGCCGCCGCAGCTCTCTTGGTGGATTCTATTCAAAACCACATTCATGTTGACAGTCGGTTAGTGGAACAGGCTCTATGTTTCTTTTTCCAAAAGGATATGATAAAATCTTACCAATAGAATCAAGATCGGAACCATTAAGTGCAACGATAGCCCGTGGTCCAAAGCTGACAACTGTGGCCAGCACAGCCCACAGTTGTGACTTCATAGTGGAAGTCTTCCGATCCCTAATTCCTGACAAGAGTTGAACAACAACGAAACAAGGCCGCCCGATCAGGAGATGCAACAGATAATTTATAACAAGAGAAAGCACCCTATAATCAAAGAAGCTGGTGCCATCATGGGGAACGACTGAATATTTAAGAGGAGCGGCGTTCATGGAAAATATGAGTTACCGAAGATGCCTAGAGATACGGAGACATCTATCTCTGTTAGCAATTCTCCAGACCGTAGAACGCTAACAACTCCTCCGTGTCTCATCGGGCGGAATGTTTCATCACTCGTTGTTATCGGCTAATCTTCGTAGCCCCTAAATCTGAAGAATCACCTTCCGATGCTCCTACGGATGTCTCACAACCCCAGTTGCATCCGCGCTGGACTACTATGTGGAAATGGGATAAACCTCCTGATAGGGCTGTCTGTGTTTGGATAGTTGCCGGAGTATTCAACTAAACAGGATTATTGGCTGGCTTCGTTTTCTTCTGTTTCGTCACCTCTGTCCTCTGTCAAGAGGCTGAAGTCCAGCTATTCATGTGCCGGCCGTGAGGCTGTCGCCGACTCGGGAGGTAACTAATCTGTAAGTAAAGCTGTTAGTGTTGAAAATGGGTGCTTCAGTCAACTCGAAATCTCGCTTATATCAATTATATCAACCAACTGGTTAACTTGTTCGCTAGTGCTCGCAACATTGTTCCCATAGAGAACCGTGAAACAAGTGACTTTCCAATCTCTTGGTATATACGGTGTAGATAAATGTGAGACGATATCTATATTATTTGGACTGTTTCTACTATCGGATGGTAAGCTGGGCTGGGGGTGTTCCTCAGCAAACGATTCAGTCATTTTCTGTCCCCTGACATAAGTAATTTAATTAACCTTTTTGCCTTTCCTCTCTCTAGCCTTTTCGTCTTCTGACGTCAGGGACAGTGTCAGAATTCCTTGAAGTTTGATGACCCTGAACGTAGTATAACTAACTAACTAACTAGTTAGCTATACTACAGTTACATAATGATTTAATCCTGGAAGCCCATTCAATCCGTTATATAGAGGTTGAGCGTTCAAATTACGCCCGAATATCCTGCTGCTGCTGGTTTGCAAGCTTCCATGCTCCTAACCTCTCTCACAGTCAGTAAGCTGTTGAATTGGACTCTTTGTCTCCCTGATCCTGCTGCTCCTCATACAGGTGAAGCTGTCTAAACAAATCTAAAGCCTCCGAAGCCGTATTCCGTGGAAGGTTTTCTCTATTCATATCCTCATCCTCATCATTCCCGCCGTCAGAGTCTAATTGTGCAATAATATCCTGTTGGTAGCACTTCTGCTTTGAAGAACAGTGGACAGTCTGACCAAGATGATCATGACATGAAGAAAGAATCTGTCTCAAACCAATGTCTTGAGGCCTTGTTGCTGGATTCTGCAATTTATGAGCGCGTAGAGTTTATCTTTTCAAAAGATTGACCGAAATCACGGTTCCCCCGCGACATTTTGTCTCGGTATAAGGAAATTTTGTATGACGAATGAATTCAGGCAGGAATTTTTGCACTTTATATGAGGTTCGTTATATGCTCCGGTTTCACAGGTTTGCTGGAGTTATGTCAAATTCAACCTCGGTCCCTTTGCAGCGGGCCAATTATTTCTCCGGGAGGCGAAACAAGAAGATCATTGGAACCTGTTTGTGTATTACAGATACGCAGTACTGTCACAAGTGAATTCGACCTGCCAGTGGAGTGTTGCTTCTATTCAGTTGAAGCAGTTTTCACTTCCTTTCTCCATTTCGGAACAATAGACATATTCTTAACAATCACTTCACAGTCTCTTCGGATACTTGATATCTCTGAGGACAAATATCCGGCTCATTCTGCCATATGAATCCTGTCATTGACTGACATGGAGAACACTCCAATCCTTCACAAGGGAATATCGTGGTAACGGGTAGTATATAATACGACTCGGGAGTACCAATACACAATATTACGGCCACTGGCGACAACGGCTTTTTATTTACCGTCGCTCTCTTCACAAAACTCCCAAGGGTTTCTTTCGGTCCGAACCAAGCATCATCGCTTTTGGAGCTAACCCTCACTGACAAGTTCTGCTTGTTCCCGAGGATGGAAAAGGATGTTACAACAGCTGGCAGCTTGCGCTCGAGCTATCTAGTCCCAATCTATGTTTGCTCCTCACGCCCATTTCCATTCATCAACCCCACACCCGTCATCATCTCGGAAGTCCCTCCGAACCTCTGATAGTCCGCTTCCCCTACCACCCTCATCTCTTCCTTTACACTGATACACAGGGCTATTGAGCCGGAACCCGTTTCATCATGGCTGCTGTCGACGTCCCAGATCTCCAATTCACACCGGTAGAGGAGATCCCGGGAAAGGCTCAGAAAGTGCGCACCACTTTCTTCCAGCAAAAGACTCGGCCTATCGAGTTCCGGATTCAACAGCTCCGAAAACTATACTGGGCGTAAGTTTTACCGCAAATGGAGTAACTCCTTACTAGATTGCTGGACGTTCGCATATCTAGAATTGGGGAAGATGCCACTGTAATCAAATTTTTGCAGCATCCCGTTGCTAATCTTGTTAAAACTATGACTACAGGTTTAAAGATCGTGAGCACCTCGTCACAGAAGCTCTACATCGGGATTTGGGTAAACCGAAATATGAAGCATATCTTTCAGAAATTAGCCTATGCGAGAATGACATCATCTTCGTGCAAAAGAATCTTGCCAAATGGGCGAAGGATGAGAAGGCACAAGACATCGATTTGACCTTTTCGTTCATGAAACCTGTGATTAGAAAGGATCCCCTGGGTTGCGTATTAGTGATTGGGTGGGTTCCCTTTTTCCTTCATTCCGCCTATGTCACTCGTCGACAGAGATCTGATAATGAGCCTTCAATATGTAGAGCTTTCAATGTTCCTTTTAGTCTAACCCTTTGTCCCTTGGTTGGAGCTATCGCTGCAGGGAATACCGTGGTGGTCAAGCCCAGTGAAACGTCTCCAAATTGCGCTGCTGTTCTGCAGGAGATCATTGAAGCTGCCTTCGACCCCGATGTTGTAACTGTCGTTCAGGGAGGTGTTCCACAAGTTCAAGCTCTTCTAGCTGAGCGCTGGGACAAAATCTGTTTCACTGGCAGCTCAAATGTGGGTCGTATTGTTGCCAAAGCTGCTGCACCCAACCTCACTCCCGTTCTACTCGAGCTTGGTGGCCGCAACCCAGCATTTATTACCAAGAAAGCAGACCTGAGGTTGGCCGCTAGACGGCTCCTATGGGGTAAAACCTTCAACGCCGGCCAGATTTGCCTCTCCCAAAACTACATTCTCGTGGATAGAGAAGTGCTGTCGCAACTGGTGACCGAGTTTGAAAAGACATGGAAAGAATACTATCCTGATGGCGTCAAACCCTCCCCTGACTACTGTCGTATCGTCAATGACTCTGCTTTCCGCCGGATTAAGGGCCTGATCGATTCCAGCAAGGGCAAGATTCTCCTCGGGGGAACTATGGATGAAAAGGAACGCTTTATAGAACCCACCTTGATCCAGGTTGATTCCGTTGATGATCCACTCATCCAACAGGAGACTTTCGGTCCCGTCATTACAATTTTGCCTGTAGGCGATCTCGACGAAGCCATCAAAATCGCAAATAATGTCGACAGCACTCCGCTGGCCCTCTATCCATTTGGAACCAAACAAGAAGTCGAGAAAGGTGAGTAAAATTCCTTTCTTCATCCGGCCTCCTAGCTCCCTCCTACCAAATTCTCAATATAGCAAATACCAACTCTCAAATTCCGCAGTTCTCTCCTCCGTCCGCTCCGGAGGCGTTTCGATCAACGATTCATTCATGCACGCCAGCATTCCCAACTTGCCCTTCGGCGGCGTTGGTGAGAGTGGAACCGGCTGCTACCATGGGCGAAGTAGCTTCGATGCCTTTGTGCACCGACGTTCAATCGCCTCCACTCCTGGCTGGGTCGAGCGTGCTCTCTTCATTCGATACCCTCCCTATGCGGGCAAGTTGAAAAAGGCCCTCAAGACCAGCACTCTAGCGCCCAATTTCAATCGGAATGGACAGACGACTATCGGCCTTCTGGGTTGGATCGTGTGGTTCGCCACGTTTGGCGGAGGAGCTAATAAGTCGGGAGCAAGCCGTGCAGCCGTTGCAGCTATTGGTTAGTATATCAGTTCTCTTTATCTCATCATCTGGATATTCCATTTTGTTATCTACCACCCTCTCCATACAACACCTCACCAGATATCCCCCCAATCGTTACTATATGTATGCCGACCTGTTTGTGTTGTTCAAACGGACACCGAGCCGAATGCCGCATCCTAGACTTCCCCTTATTCTTAATTTATGGTCTCCCCTTTTACCTCGTCGTTCATGTTTTCCCGATTCCCCTTTTTCCATATTTCTCTTCTCTGTATCGATTTCCCCCCTTTATAAAATCCCCTGGACATGTAATTCCAGCCCTCCCCCCTTCCCCCTCCTATTGAATACTTATCCTTTGTTTGTCATTGACATATCAAAAATCCAATTCGATTCCTGTCTTGCTTTTCAATTTCAATGATACCCTCATGCGTACACGCCCTGCCAATGAGAATACATTTTCCCCCCTCAACGTTTAACAATCGCCTTTACTTACAAGTTTTTATAGCAGCCATTGCTCTGAATTACTTCGTCAAACGCAGCGCTAAGCTCTAAATAAATCCTCTGTTCAAAGAGAATATATGACCCCGCTTCTTCGTATCCTATATAAGAAGAAGGTACGGGAAACTAGTGAGAAGCAACAAGACTCAAACCATAACTTCAAGTTTCCAAATTAATGGGAAAATGTCACTCTGTCCATTTGTTTCCCATATTTTATTTTGTATTTATTTGCTTTTGCTGCGCACTGTATTTGTGCATTTTACATGTACTTATCCTTATTTGATGAAACCCTGTTAAACTGACAATAATTTGTGAACTTTCTCCCCTTATGACCCCTCCCTTTTTTTTGTTGCTGTCTCCACCCAGTTCTCCTTTAACTTGTTTTGGCTCTTCTTGTTGGGGTGCACTGTATATAGCAACTTAGTTGCAATAATGAATGTGTATTTAGATCTGGTAGGGTTTATATTTGTAAAGAAACAAAGAAAAGAAAATAAAATCAATAGGGGAACATCAGGAGAGAGGAGCAGGGGATAGGAGAATCGATAACCCTAATCAATCCGAGGTGGTCGACTATGAAGGCTTTTGGTAGTACCAGGACGGCGATGATTCCCGAAGAGATACACAATATATATGCACATATGAACATCCCATCGACAAGAACGTGCTATTGCATGTGTATACGTTACCAATGCAGGCAGGGGGAGCAAAAACAAATAGCACACGGTTCTCTCTCTCGGGGTTCATGAAGAGGGAAGAAAAGAAAAAAATATATATATCAAAGCTAATCAAATCCCAGCCTAGTCCCAATCCCATTCCATTCCATTTCACACCGCCAATCAGAAAAGCACAAGAGCAAACAGCAAAAAATAACCTGTTTTCAACCCCCCTAAGAATAACAAGAAATAGTGGTATTTTCAAGGGGGGAATGCCATACCCCACTTTCTTCAAATCTCAGCACCTCTTCTCCACCCCCCTCCGACTCACACATATATACTTAACCCCCTTGTACGGCTTAACCCCCTCACCCAACCCCCGGCTCCTCCGCGTATCAACCACCAGTCCCTCAACCCGTATCCCGCTAGGTAGCCATCCGCGCACTGTAAAGGATACAGAGACAGAAGAAGGCATCAGGGAGGCCATGTGAGACTTTCGTGCACGGTCGACAGGCGTCGTTGAGCCTTCCAGACTTGGTGGTTGGTGGCACGGTTTTGAGGGCGTGGACGTACAGTCTTGTATCTGATAGCTGCTTTCCTGTGTGTTCGCAAGGATGTCGTCATAATAGCCGATTAGCGGGTTTGTGCGATATGCCCTGTCTGAGGAGGCGGGAGTTGATTCGGGTTCAGAGTCGTTACCGACGCTGTTGATTTGTGCTGATGAGAGGGGTCCGACGATGGTACATCTTAGCGTCGCAGTGCCGGATATGCTTCCTGCATCTTTGCTGGTGTTGGGAACGCGCCATTCTAGTGTGTTGCTACCGGGGATAAAGTGTGCTTCGCCACGGCTGGGGCGGAGATCGGTAAGGTTCCGGACGGAGGGGGAGATGGGAACGATAACGGTTACTTCTTCTATGGTTGGGGAGATGGACGAGGAGTTATAGTTTACTCCAAGGAATGAAGGGGTTGACGTGCCTGAACCACGGCCTGGTAATCCACTTCGAGAGGGTACCCCGGGGAAATTGGTATTGAGGGTGAGTCGGACTTCGAAATCTGCACCGGTTGGGCCAAGGGACCTTTGCAGATCTACTGTGGCAGGTAAGAATAGCTTTTCCATGTGGTTTGGTGGTTTATCTTCGTCAGGCACGATTGGGAGTAGGTCGACTTCATATCCTGCAAGCACGAAACGACCATCGGGTGGGACGAAACTAAGGTCCCCCGGGTTTTCCCTCCATCGTGCAAGTCGAACACAGGGATGGAATACGGGAAGCTGCAACTTATGGCCTATATTTGCCTTGCCTCCAGGAGCGCCAAGGGAGAGTAGTAGATCGGGTACTCCTGAGATTTTCGCAGTGAAGACAATAGTCCCATACACAAGTGCTGAAATTGGTCTCCCAGAAGGAGCCATTGTAACAGATAACGACTCTACCATATCAACATACAGTTCATTAGATGTGTGCCGGACCCCTTGCCGCCGCCATGGGATAGCAACTGCAGACGCTCCATTTGCATTCGCTGAAGCGGCAAGAGATGATTTTAGCAAATTTGATGGACCAAGTGAGGGAGAAGCACTGTTTGTATGTTGACCACACATCTGTGATTAGCTTAGAAATCTTCGCAGATGTTAAAAGGGTGTTTATATATTATTCACCTTGGCAATCCAACCCCTCCAAGCAGCTTGTCCATCCATCCCGGGACCTCAACTGTCTCATGTAGCGCATTCGGTTCAGTATTGCAGACAATACCACCATCACACATTTCATTCAACAGTTGCGCGACAACGTCATAATTGCTCTGAATCTTCCCCGCTAGCAGCGGGGCGCCAACGAATTCTTCTAGCACATCGATAACGCGGTGAAGGAATTCGAGGACAAGAAGAGGTTGGCTCTCTGTGCTGGACGGGACAAGAAATAGCAGACTTGAATGAACCACTGAAAAGACGGACACTGGGGGTGAGGCGTCGGGGAGATAGAGTAGTGATGGGCGCGGGCTTGGATGGGCGAGGAATAAGGAGAGCAGAGATGTTGCGGCGAGAGGGCGACCGCGATAGATGTGCTCGAGGATAGGAGCGCTGCATTCGATTTTGCTAAGTTAACAAAAAGCTGCAGTTTATTGGTTTTACTTTAATTTCAATCACTCACTTCAGTTCATCATATACATAAAGCGCTTCTACGGCGCTGTTCATTGTTGCGAGTTGCTTGATCCAGCGGTTCAATAGTTATGCCGCAATTTTCCCCGATGCGGGATGCGGGACGTTCAAGGTATCGCTGATTATGTAACATCGTAGCTATTGGCGCTAAACCCTAATAGTCTGTTGCGTCGCATAAAAGTCAACGGGGAAAAAGTGAGGTGGATTTTTTGGGGCATATGGAGCCAGCTGCGAGTGAGGTCTCTTTGGTAAGTTTGATCTATAATCCATAACTTTGGTTACATTGTCCTGTTAATTTCTATATATACAATGGGCCTGCTAACTTGAGAACGAACCTAGAAGCAAAAGCCCGCAAGAAGTGCTGACATGACTGGAGACACTTCCCGATCCCTCCTCTGAGTTTTTAGTTTACTTGCTATCATGTCTAACGAGGACACTTCCTGGGATATAACTCCCAAGGATGTGAAGAGAGCCATTGCTAAGGAAAAATACGAGAATGACTGTCTTGCCTGCAAAATCACAGGTACGAAAATATCACCACCATCCATCCCCATGACCATAGCTACCCCCGACAACGTATAAGTAATTTCTCAAAATACCGTTAATCTAATGCGAGGCGCGCCTTACCTATATAGGAAGTTTGGCCTTCATTGGGCTTGGAGTGTATAGCTATGTGTCCGGCATGAACAATCTCAAGAAACAGGAAAAAGTTATCTTGAAAAGCAAATCACCATATAGGATGGGTTCCCGGCGCCTTGGTATAGCGACGATATCGGCGACGTTAGTGGGAATGGGAATCTGGAGGGCGCTCCACTAAATTATAAAAAAGGAAGAAAAGTGATACCCAGTTTTGCATTATTGGACTCTGTCAGGTAGTGGTACTTGATGACCGCAAGAATGATGACAAACATTATTCTCGAATATCACAAAATTTCTTGTCTCGCTGAAGTCTCAAAGGAACACACTTACGGCTCGGGGAGGAGGGGGAATACATTAATATATAAAAATCGTCAGAAAGGAAAACCATCCGATCATGGGTGTTTCGATCGGATTCTATCTATGTAAAGTATGAAAATGCTAGACTATTGACTCCGTAAATGCTTCTAATCGTCATCGTACCACCAATGACTGGCTGTTGCAATGAGAAGGGAAAAAACACAAGGAAAAGGATAACAAGCGACTCAAAAAAAAGGATAAGTTGTGGGGGAAGAAAAGAAAAGAAAAAGAAAATCACAAGAATTCACCTGTCATTATCATTCCATCCCATCCCCTCCAATAAATTAAGTCCCTTATATAAAACGACCTCGCTTCCCTCCTCCAAAAACGTCCCGTCCATTCCCAAGACTCGAGATGTCAAAAAAGTCTCCAAAATGGAATTTTCTCTTGGATCCAGTATTCGATGAGGGATCTCGCGCAGACGCTCGTGGATTGTGTCGATTGCCATTGCCGAGTCGGTGAGGTACTCTGGAGCCTCGAGGAACAACTTCAACCCTGACGGTCGGGGAGCTGCTCAGAGTCGAAGAGTGCGGCAGGTGGGAGTCGGTTTGTATGGAAGTCGTAGTTACGGGTACATGATCGGATGTTTGCATATCAATATCGGATTGCTGGGGCACCGGGTAGGAGGTTCCAGTAGTAAAGGTGAATGTGGTTGGTCTGTTTGAAGAGGGGAGGTCTATCGCTACCGAAGATTGATTGTGAAAATTGGCTTCATTGCGTGGAGGTGGGGTCGATCTGGATGCTTGACTTGTGTGATTAACCTCCAAGCTCTCCTTCCTCGCGGTAGTTGGCGATATACTCCGACTTCTTTTGATGTCCAGGTCGGCTCGTTCATCGTCACTATCCATTGAAGTGGCAGTGCTGCCATCTAGCTTCTCTGTCACCCAACATTTCACTTTCAACCCCTCTCCATCATTTAACCCAATTTTTTCCTTTTCAAGAAACGCTCGAAGGTCTTCCAAGGCTTCTTGGTATCCAATATGGCGAGCACTGGCTTGGTCGGAAACGGCGGTTTTGTAGAGGTTTGTCACGGATAGAGCCGCTGTCTTGAAGGCTTGCAGCAGCTGTTCGGGGGGCTGTGCATTGTTTGGACGAGGAGATGATGTAGGTAGAGAGGTATTAAGAGATCTCATAGAATCCATCGCTAAGTGCCTGTGGTTGGCGGTTTGTGGCAAAAGAGGTTGCCAGATTATATATATAAGAGTGGTTTGTTGCTCCAAAAATAACCCCTCGTTACAGGGGCGTTATTTTCAAGGAGACCACTAAGTGGCTGATAAATTAACTAGTAGTTTGGGTAATCAGCTCAAGCGGAGCGGGGGAGAATTAGACGCAGCAACAACAGGCATGCATACGTTCTCGGAGATGTGCAACAAGAGATGCGAGTCAGTGGTAGTCAGTGGTAGCAGTCGGCAAAGCCAGGAATAGTTTATATGTAACCGAGTGGGACTGGCTCCGTCGATGTTTCTCGATGTTTTTGCGCCCGCAAGGTTATTTGCCCTGATTATTGGTTACGGCTTTTGCTTGGTGGCCCGGCTTGGCATGGAGCATAATTGTTCCGTTCCTTGATAACGCCCAAACAATTCCCCGGTCCCGAGCACTGAGTCAGCAAGCCCCTGGCCAATCGGCGCGGGTGAATGGCGACTGGTTTTGAGCCTCTTTACGCGATTCCTTTCTGCAGCAGTACAAACTTCAACCATTTGCCATCTTCAATCGCGACGACACTCTCTGGCCCACGACATGAGACCTCTCAGCCACTGCCACTCTCACGCTTTGTTTCCATCTCTGTACATCGGCTTGTTTCCTTCTCTCGTCGCATGCTGCTTTGAGGTTTTCTTTTTAACGCGTCTAAGTCTTCGATATTGCCTGTTTCATTCTTGAGGCCGTGCTGACCGACCCCTACACATATATGGCTTCACTCTCCCATCTGTCTGGGTCAGAGTCCCCGTCCCAGGCAGATACCCCCATGGAAGATGCCAATGGCTATCCCTCCAAAACTAGCTTAGGAAATCAAAACGAAGATCACAGCATGATGGTAACTTTTACCACCTCCTTGGACCACTGTCTTTTATATTGATTTCGTTAAGCCATTTCAGATGGACAGAACGCTAACAACGTATCTACCAGGACTATCAGGACACACCAGATTACACGGTATGAAACCCGCGTGCAATTTATACGCCCCACGAAATACAAAACCCAACGAATTCTAATTACTTTTGCAGGATTCTGATACCAACCCAAACACAACTGCAAGTAGCATTGCCGGCGATTTAGCCCAACAAGACGGGCGCAAGCGGAGATCAGAGGCCTTCCAGCTCCGGAAAAGTGTGCTGGGCCGAAAGCACGGTCGTCTTGATGAATCAAAGGTTTGTCGCCAAGCAACATATCCTCATCCCACACCCCGTAAATCAATCTCCTTCACATTAGAAAATATATTAACTCCATATTTAGGAAGATGATTCGATTCGAAGATTTCGATATCTGCTCGGATTAACTGACCTCTTCCGCCACTTCATTGAAACCAACCCGAATCCCCGCATAAAAGAAATTATGGCGGAGATTGACCGCCAAAATGAAGCAGAGGCAAGTGCCAGAAAAGGTTCCACACGCAAGGGCGGTGCCAGTGGGGAACGACGCCGGCGAACGGAACAGGAAGAGGATGCAGAACTGTTGAAAGATGAGAAACGTGGTGGCAAGTCGGAGACGGTGTTTCGTGAATCACCCACATTTATCAAGGGAGGGGAGATGAGGGACTACCAGGTCGCTGGGCTAAACTGGCTTGTTTCTCTACACGAAAATGGTATTTCCGGTATCCTAGCCGACGAGATGGGTCTAGGGAAAACATTGCAAACAATTGCATTTTTGGGTTACCTAAGGCACATTTGCGGCATAACCGGTCCTCATCTTATTACTGTTCCGAAATCCACCCTCGATAACTGGAATAGAGAATTCGCAAAATGGACTCCGGATGTCAACGTTCTCGTGCTCCAGGGAGCGAAGGACGACCGCCACAAGCTTATCAATGAACGACTCGTTGACGAGAAGTTCGATGTTTGTATCACCAGCTACGAGATGGTTCTAAGGGAGAAATCGCATCTGAAAAAATTCGCCTGGGAATATATCATTATTGATGAGGCACATCGGATAAAAAATGAGGAATCCTCCTTGGCTCAAATCATTCGCGTTTTCCACTCGAGAAATCGACTCCTAATAACGGGAACACCGCTACAGAATAATCTCCTTGAACTTTGGGCTCTTCTAAATTTCCTTTTACCTGATGTGTTTGGCGATTCCGAAGCATTTAACCAGTGGTTCTCTAACCAGGAAGCAGATCAGGACACAGTGGTCCAGCAGCTTCACCGTGTTCTTCGGCCCTTTTTGCTTCGTCGAGTCAAGAGCGATGTCGAAAAGAGTTTGCTTCCAAAAAAGGAAATGAACTTGTATGTCGGTATGTCTGATATGCAGGTGAAATGGTACCAGAAAATCCTCGAAAAGGATATCGATGCTGTCAATGGGGCGCAAGGGAAACGCGAATCGAAGACTCGTCTTCTTAACATCGTGATGCAACTGAGAAAATGCTGTAACCACCCCTACCTTTTTGAAGGTGCTGAACCCGGGCCGCCTTATACCACCGATGAGCATCTGATCGATAATGCTGGTAAAATGGTGATTCTAGACAAAATCCTGAAGCGAATGAAGAACCAGGGAAGTCGGGTCTTGATTTTCTCCCAGATGAGCCGCGTTCTTGATATTTTGGAAGATTACTGCGTTTTCCGGGAACATCAATACTGTCGAATCGACGGTTCCACTGCTCACGAGGATCGTATTGCTGCAATTGACGAATACAATCGTCCCGGGTCTGAAAAGTTTATTTTTCTCCTTACTACGAGGGCTGGTGGTCTAGGAATCAATCTAACGAGCGCTGATATTGTCATCCTGTATGACAGCGACTGGAACCCCCAGGCAGATTTACAAGCCATGGACCGTGCCCATCGTATTGGACAAACCAAACAAGTTGTTGTTTTCCGATTTGTGACTGAAAATGCCATTGAAGAAAAGGTGCTTAAGCGTGCAGCGCAAAAATTGAGGCTTGACCAACTAGTTATTCAACAAGGTCGTGCTCAGCAGCAAGCAAAGAGCGCTGCATCCAAGGATGAGCTATTGAGTATGATCCAGCATGGCGCTGCCAGCGTGTTTAATACTAAGGGCGCAACTGGAGTTTTGGCGAAGGGCAATGACATTTCGGAAGATGATATCGACGAAATCTTGAAAAAGGGCGAAGAACGCACTGCCGAACTAAATAAAAAGTACGAGAAACTTGGAATCGATGATCTTCAGAAGTTCACATCAGATAATGCGTATGAGTGGAATGGAGAAGACTTCACAAATCGAAAGAAGGACATCGGTATTAATTGGATCAATCCCGCCAAACGTGAACGGAAAGAACAGTCCTACTCGATGGACCAGTACTATCGACAGGCACTGGCTACTGGAGGAAGGACGGCTGATCCTAAACCAAAAGTTCCCCGCGCCCCGAAACAAATCGCAATCCATGACTGGCAGTTTTTCCCGCCTAAGCTCCAGGAACTGCAGGAGAAGGAAACTGCCTATTTTCATAAAGAGATTGGGTATAAAGCTATTCTGCCGGACGGTCCTGAGGAAGAGCTTAGTGACAGGGAGGCTGAGCGAGAATTGGAACAACAGGAAATCGACAATGCTGTTCCGTTAACGGAAGAGGAACAGGATGAAAAGGCTGCGCTGTCCGAAGAAGGCTTTGGACATTGGAATCGAAGAGACTTTCAACAATTTATCAACGGATCTGCAAAATTTGGACGTACTAATTATACGGAGATCGCTACAGAAGTGGACAGCAAAGACCCTGACGAGATCAAGGAGTACGCAAAGGTTTTCTGGAAGCGCTATACGGAAATTCAAGATTACCCCAAACATATTCGTGTCATTGAGCAGGGTGAAGAAAAGATGCGCAAAATGAACCACCAGCGCAAGATGCTTCGCAAGAAAATGGAGATGTACCGCGTTCCCCTCCAACAGCTAAAAGTGAACTACACCGTCTCCACGACAAATAAGAAGGTATATACTGAAGAGGAAGATAGATTCTTGCTTGTGATGCTTGATAGACATGGCGTCGATGGCGAGGGTCTCTATGAGAAGATTCGAGAGGAAATCAGGGAAAGCCCCCTCTTCAGATTCGACTGGTTCTTCCTTAGCCGCACTCCCGTTGAGATCGGTCGCCGATGTACGACCCTGTTAAACACTGTCGCGAAGGAATTTGAAGTGGATGGCAAAGCTCCCAATGGCGATAGCGGTGGTAAAGGCCGTGTTCGTGATCGTGAGGACGACGTGGAGAATGAAGATATGGAAGCCCCTGCGAAGAAGAAAACTAAAAACGGTGTAGTAGTAAGTTCTTGAATGATCATAATATTTCACGCGTTTTACCACTATAAACATCTAACCAGTCGATAATTTTCATCTACAGAACAAACAGCTTAAGGCCGTCCAATCCGCTAGTGGGAGCAGAGCGACATCAACTGCCACGTCAAGAGCCGCCAGCGTCTCGTCAAGCACTCCCGCCACCAGCAAATCCAAGGGGAAAAAGAAATAAGAGGAAAAATCACATCACTCTATGGTTTCTTTTTATTTACGGGGATCACTCTATCGTGAGGTGGCTATTTATCGGGCGTTGTTTTATTTTCCTTTTAGAAGGCGTGTGCGTTGATTGGTTTACTCTGAAGCTTTTGAAGGTTGCCGGCGTCATTAAGAAATGGTCGTGGTCGGATGGACGGATGGATGGGTTTCTTACTGCTCTGAAAATATTGGCAACCATTGTCAATTCTCTTCTTTTGTTTATGGGGGAAGAAATGGTGAAATTTCTGTCATCTGTTTCTAGTGTTGGGGGCATCTAATAGTTTATCAATCGCTCTGGGCTTCTACTATTTTTCTCCCTGTTCCCCACTTTATTTATGCTCTATTGAGCAATATTTTATGTTTCTAATTGTGGAATACAAAAGGAGGCTGGCTATTCAGATAGGTTTTATGAAAATGAAAAATTGGATATATGTACCACTAGAATCTGGAACATCCCCTTGTCAATGCTCTGTTGAATTGTTGTACTTCCTTTTCGATTTCTTCTCCGCCGGGTGTTTGCCTTCTACAAATGTTCTCTGATTGGGACATCAGAAGCAAAATATCATCCCGTTCGCCAGAAATCCGAATCCTTCGGCCTTTAACCAACCAGTGATTCCAAAAATGGCTGTATTGAGGTACCGTGTTGGCCGTGGGAGCGCAACAAAACAGGATGGACATTGAATGAAAGGGTATCCCCATTAATTGGATTCTCAATGAGGACCAGAAAATTCCTGACACATACGAACATAGGGAGTGGGAAATAAGGCTCACCGTATGCTCAGCCGTACTCAAGCCACTCGCCGGCCTGTTGTAATTTTGTGGCCCCGCCTATCTATAGAGATCTACTGCCATGCTCAAGGGGTATGCAGGAGAAACTAATTGAGAAGAAGCCATTGTTGATCCCGCAGTAAGAGGGATCGTTGGGGTATTCTAGGAAATGATAGTTTTGCAAGTGAACCCAGACGGGGAAAAAGTTTAAGTAAACTCTGAAGTCATATTTTTATCGGTATCCATTTCCACGTGGAGTAGATTGAAGAAACGCAATAAAGCAACAAATTCACTTGGTAGAATTATACATGTACGTGTACATGCTGGTAGGATGCGCCAGTAGCGCTAGAAGAATGCATTGACAGGAACAAAACTCCGCTAGCGCAACCAAAGTCAGTGCGAGGGTGGAAGGAAAGGAGTGTTTAATTCTTAAATAATGCGATCCACAAGAATCCCACCAATTTGTCAAAACATCTTATTAGGATCATCCTTCGCCTCCTCGCGGATCACATCGACAGTTGATATCAAACCCTCCTCAGCTGGAGTGGAGTCCTGTGTATTGGAAGAAGGATCACCCAGGAATGCCTCGCACAGCAATGCCGAAGCAACACTGACATTTAAACTATCGACTCCCGCACGATCTTCAACGTTGCTGGCCGTGATAGCACCCGGTATAACTACAGCGCCATCAGCCTGTTGCCGTATACTTCTCGGCAAGCCTTGCTCTTCACTGCCAAGCATCAGGACGCAAGGTGCCTCGTTAAGCTTAGTACTCACTTCTCGCCGGCTGAGGACTTGCTCTGTGGGTGTCCCTAGAGTTTGTTGGGACGCATTGGCAGCGGCGGGGGCTTCAGCCGCAAAAAATTTCCAACCGTTTGTGTGGGAGCTTTTCACAAAGAGGGTCGGGTTGGTGGTTGTAAGAATTGGAATGTTTTCTGCAGCGCCTGCGGATGCCTTGATGGCAACAGCTGATATCGGGGCGCTGCTTCGCGTTGAGACGATGACAGCGTCCACGCCAAAGTAGTATGCGCTCCGGATAATAGCGCCAACATTTCCTGGATCACGGATTCCGTCTAAAAATAGAGCGAAAGGATAACGAGTAGGCATAATCAGATTCTCTGCCAGAGGAGAGTTTTCATCCCTATACGCTGCTCGGGGAATGCGTCCACTCGTACCATTGACTTCCGCCTCCTCTGATGATTGATGACAAACTGAGGCATTAAAGTGAGTCTCTGAGGGAGACAACACAGGGAGAAGACTATCAACTGGCAGCTTGGGGAGTTGTGACGCCTCCAAGATACAACCATTATGCGGCCTTCCACCACTCATTTTATCCAACAACTTAGGCCAATTCCCAGCCACTTGTTTGACACAGACACCGGCAGCTAATCCGAATTTAATTATTGTATCAAGCATAGGTTCTCGCGTCGGATTCCTTCCCAATCGGAGTGAGACATTATCGGGAGTCTCGTAGATGTAAAGCTTGTAGAGCTTGCGGCGGCCACATCGCAAAGCAGCTAATACGGCCGATGCGCCATATATAAATTCAGAAGCTGCTGTTGTGTAGGGAATTGATTTCGGGGCGGTGATGGAAATATGACCCTGTGCATGCGCAGGCCTTTCTAACTCAAATACAGATTGTACTCTTGGCTCTGCCAGTCTCTGGGCATAACGCTCACGGTGATTCCTTAGGTGTGAGAAGTTGGGTCCATCACCGGCAGGCAGGTCCTTATCTAGATTTCGGCTTCTACGTGGGGTATCGCGCCATTCCCACCGTGTCCTGTCGTTGGTTGGTGAAAAGCCGCGTGAGCTATTTCTTCCTTCCAGAGTTTCATGATTTGACCAGGAGGACCCAGATTCATGTGGTTGTCCCACAAACCGCATGCGACTCCTGGAGCTAGAAGAATTGGAGCCATCTCTGGGAGTCTGTTCATCGTGCCTTTTTCGAGATTTCCCTGGGCTACCGCGCTGTGTCCAGCTTGGCTTGTGGCGCCTCTCTCTGCTCTCCTTGTTCCCATAATAATTGCGCGAGGTGTATATTCCTTTTAGGATTGCTGAATTTATCGAGGCATATCTTATACCTTTAGCACAGTTCTGTTCAGAAAAGCCGAAAAAGCAGATCCGATGCAATTTCAGCAGTGCATTGCTCTGACGGTTGAGCATAACTCCACTATGTGCAGATGCAGAAGGGAGTTGCAGCTGTTAATGGACAGATTCTATAATCTAGAATTTAATATTCAAATTTGGATTATCTGTTCAAAGTATGCTCGCTAGATTCTAAGCAGATCAGAGCTGTTGTAGTCAATATAGACATAAATGAATCTGGGATTCATCGAAACATTCAGCTTTTCTCTGACGTCGGATTTTTCATTTTTCCGGAACCATAGTTACCCAAATCTGGTTTAGCGCCAATCTCATCTTATGATCTCTTCGACCTTCTGCCCTTTCGTTCTCAACCAGCTCGCAGAGACCGACTACAGAGGCGTTGTCCCTTTACCGTTTTGGCGCAGCTGCGTTGGGGTTTAGCAGAGATGCACGCATGCGAGAAAACGAGCTCATTTCTTTGTGCCCGGCAATTCCCCGCAATACCGAAGCTATGGACATCCACAGCGATGTCCAACATATCGAAAGCGTAGACGAAGAGGATCTGTCTCTGGCGGCGAATATTCACAGTCAATTCACTGCGGTCAACTTGAATCAAAAACCTGAGTCTCCCGATCCTGAAACTAGGCAACAGATATTCCATATCACAGTCCCAACGATCGATAACGATGATGAATATAAATTCTTACCAAGTCATTCAGAAGTCGAAGAAATCCTTGATACGGTCAACGGTTCATGTCCAGTGAGTTACTCTGCTAGGATGGCAAGCGGTGACATTTTAACTGTGAGAACTCTCTTGTTACCTATCTTTACTTTTTTGTTGGCTGCCCTGCTCATAACTTCGTTACTTAGTTACCTGATAGCTATGTTCGCAAACTTCAAAACGGACGCAGCGCACTCTTCTTGTTTAACCAACTAGGATCCCGCAGTTCTAGGGAACGCAGCGATTCCTTCAAAGATGAAGACATGGTCGCTCTCCGCCGGCACTCAGGGAGAACGCAGCCTCAAAGGGATAGCTTCTATGTTAACTCCACAACTCTCGAATTGTCTTCAGATGATGACCCATTGGCGAGACCGATGACAAGGCCGGTCAGAGCTTCTAAACGCCGTTTGATTCGAAGGGGCAACACTTCTGACACTGCTAACGACGCTGTTAACGACGCTGTTAACGACACATTCCCGACTAGACGCTCCAGTCGTCTAGTCCAGTCCTCCGCCCCTCTGAGCTCAGAGAGCAGTGACGATGAATCGATAGAGTCATTTATTGAAGATAAACCTAGAAAACGGGGACGACGACAACCTATAGGAACCGGACGACGTCCCAAGTCATACAAACTGGAAAGTTCTAAACCTGTTCAACTTGGGGTTCGGTCATCACAGAGAGTGAAATCATTGAAGAGCATGGCAGAGCGCTTAGAAGATGACATATCTGAAGCTGAGAATACGCCATCCGGTGTGAAATATTCGGCTACAAAGGAAATCTTTAAGAAGATCCCGAAGGAGGATCCCTTCCGGACACATCATCAACAGCTGTGTAACACCTGTCACGCCGTTGACTTCGAAAAGGGTTATCTTGTATTTTGCCAAGGGTGCACAGCAGCTTATCACCAGAAATGTCTTGGACCTCGCATTCAAAGAGAGCACTTAGTAACTAAGGTTGGGGAAGATGATTTTATTCTACAGTGCCGCCGCTGTTTAGGCTCCGCTCATACAAAAGATGCCCTTGCTCCTCACCAAGGGGTTTGCACTCAGTGCCACAAACTCAGTCTATTATCGAAACCGTTGAGATCACGAATGACAGCACGCGAGGAACAATTACTAAGGGAAGACAACAGTGGCTCTGATCCTATCGTTGATGTTGATATCCCCTTATATAGTGTAGATAATATAATGTTTCGATGTGCTTCATGTGAGCGTGCATGGCACATGAATCATCTTCCACCCAGAGGTCAAAATTTTACCCATGTCATGGGGGAGAGCGACAACGAAGGCGATGGCGAACAAAGATTCAAAGAATATTCTGGCCGATTTTTGTGTGAGGACTGCGTCAACATGCCAGGCCCAATAGAATCTATCGTCGCTTGGCGACCCGTTGACCTGGATAGTTTTGTTCCAGGCTATACGTCAGATATGCTTGAGGAGACCTCCAAAGAATACTTAATAAAATGGCAGAAAAAGTCGTACTTTCAAACCACGTGGATGCCCGGTGCCTGGGTTTGGGCCATCGCTGCTGCACCTAGCAGGAAAGCATTTAGCAAATCTTCGAAGTCCCTAAAACCTATAATGACAAAGGAGGATGCCATTCCAGAGGAGTTTCTACGTGTTGACATAATTTTCGACCTTGAATACTCAAATGTCGTCAGCAATTCGACTTACGAGATTGATCTGGCCCGATCTAATGAAGTATCCAGAATTTATGCCAAGTACAAGGGTCTGTCGTATGAGGAAGCTGTTTGGGAAACAATCCCATCTCCAGAAGAGACAGAACGCTGGCATGATTATCAATTGGCCTACAAAGATTGGGTTGCTGGGAAACATGTCCATGTGCCAAAAAGCCATATCTTAAAAAAGAATTTGGCTAACGCTCGATCCCGGGATTTTGCTACGCAGCTCGTAAAGCAGACCCAGCCAACATTGTTAACAGGTGGACAGATCATGGAATATCAAAAAGACGGCTTGAACTGGTTATACTACATGTGGTACAAAGAACAAAATGCCATACTAGCCGACGAGATGGGATTGGGAAAGACGATTCAAATAATTGCACTTTTTGCGACGCTTATCCATGACCATAGGTGCTGGCCCTTCCTTGTCGTTGTCCCAAATTCGACGTGTCCCAACTGGCGTCGGGAAATAAAGACTTGGGCACCCTCCCTGCGAGTCGTAACTTATTACGGCTCGTCTGCCGCAAGAAAAATAGCGCATGATTATGAGATGTTTCCCGATGCCACATCAGACCTTCGATGCCATATTGTGGTTACTTCATATGACGCAATGATTGATGATAAGGTGAAGCGGCTGTTTTCGAAGATTCCATGGGCTGGATTGGTTGTCGATGAAGGTCAGCGCTTGAAGAATGACAAAAATCAGCTATACGAGGCTTTGACACGTATCAACTTCCCTTTCAAGGTTCTTCTTACTGGAACGCCCCTTCAAAACAATATTCGCGAATTGTTCAATATCATCCAATTCTGCGATCCATCTAAGAATGCTGAAGCTCTCGAACAGCAATACGGAGGGGATTTTACGAAGGAAACGCTGGCTGAACTGCATGACATGCTCCGCCCCTATTTTCTCCGTCGAACAAAAGCTCACGTCCTGACATTTCTCCCACCCATGGCGCAGATCATTCTACCAGTTACAATGAGTGTCGTACAGAAAAAGTTGTACAAATCTATTTTGGCCAAAAACCCACAACTGATCAAAGCGATTTTCAAGAGAGATCCAGGAAGTACCTTAAAACAAACCGAACGGCACAATCTGAACAATATTTTAATGCAACTTAGAAAATGTTTATGTCATCCATTCGTTTACTCTAAAGCGATAGAAGAGAGAACTGTAAACGCAGCTCTGTCCCATAGAAATCTGGTGGAAGCATCATCAAAACTCCAGTTGTTGGAAATGCTCGTGCCGAAATTGCAAGAGAGGGGCCATCGCGTCTTAATCTTCAGCCAATTCCTGGATAACTTGGATGTAATTGAAGACTTTCTTGACGGCCTGGGCCTTCTACACCGCCGGCTTGATGGGTCAATGACTTCTCTTCAAAAGCAAAAGCAGATTGACGACTATAACGCCCCCGATTCGCCATACTTTGCATTCTTGTTATCAACCAGATCCGGTGGTGTTGGTATTAATCTAGCAACGGCTGACACAGTAATCATCATGGACCCCGACTTCAATCCGCATCAGGATATTCAAGCTTTATCCAGAGCGCATCGGATTGGTCAACAGAAGAAAGTGCTTGTTTTCCAGTTGGTGACGAAGGCATCAGCCGAAGAAAAAATTATGCAAATCGGAAAGAAGAAATTGGCTTTGGATCAAGTTTTGATTGAACATATGGATGCGGAGGATGACACAGAGGTTGATTTGGAGGCCATTCTTCGCCATGGAGCCGACGCCCTCTTCGAAGATAATGCCACTGATGATATTCAATACGATAACGAGTCAATTGAAAAACTCCTCGACCGAAGCCAAATAGAGAACACCAATGCTGGTGATGACGGATCTGCGGAGTCCCAGTTCAGCTTTGCTAGGGTGTGGGTTAATGGGACTCTATCGGACAAGTTGGGCACTTCAGAAACTGCAACTCCAACTGACACAGTGTGGAACAAGATTTTACAAGAACGCGAACGGATAGCAGCAGAAGAAGCAAAGACCAACTCTCAAACTTTAGGTCGAGGAAAACGAAAGCGTCAGACTGTTGACTATGCAGTTCAAGATCAGAACTTGAACTCGTCCCCTAAATGTGGAAGAAAGGATGATACTGATGCAGAATTTCAATCGTTCGGTCCAGAAACTGATACGGAGGATGCTGAAACTGATGGTGACTTTGCTGGTGAAGCTTCCAAAACGGATAATCAAAAGAATTCTGAGAATGGTGGCACTACGAAAGGTACTAGTTCTAACACCTTTATTTTTTCTCCCTTATGATCCTACAATGGAGGTATTGACTCGGTTTGTAGTACGACCTTTCAGACGTACCAACGTCCCTGATGTCGGCTTGGGATTGAACGGAACTATGACAGATGGAAGCGGCGGACCAAGTCCCACGGCACATCCGCCGCATCATTGTGTGGCCTGTGATCAAGTTCATCCAATTGGATACTGCCCATTAAAACTAGCCGGCGTGGAACACTGTGGCATTTGTGGAATTGCACATTATGGACGCGGAAGAACATGCCCACACCTCAATTCAGAGACTCAGGTCGCATTAATGCTTGGCTCCCTCAAAGAGAGTCCTGAGCAACGAACCTTAGTTGACGAGGCCACTAAGTATCTTCGAGGCATTCGGGGCGACCTTGTTAGGAGGAAGAGGGTCAAGGAAAACAAAAATGCTACAGGTTCTCTTCCCCATTCTCAGACTCCGCCAGTATCACTCCAAAACCAAAACGATGCTGTATACCCGCCTCATCCACCAACTTACCCACCACTTCCATCGCACACCGACCAAAATGTAACACCACATCCTTCTTGACCACCACCGTTGCAAGCGTATCACCCGCAAACTTGCTAACCGTATTACCCTTATCCCCCCCATCATGAGACTCTTCATATCAGTGCAGGTTAGGTAAACGGTTCTGTGCCTTTTTACCCCCGATATCCCACGTTTCCTTCTTTTTTTCATATTTGTTCTTGTATTTTAGATCACGGAGTGCTTTCTTCCACTCAACGAGGGTCTTCTGTGATTGCCATTTTTTAGGAGGCGCATCGGAAGAATTGAGGATCAGTAGAGTGTTCTGGCGTTTTTGACTTTAGACTGGAATTTTGAGCTTTATTTGGGGTAAGTGATGGATGAATTTAATATTCTTTAATCCTTTTAACAGTTGAACTTTTCATCACTTGAAAATCAAACTCTCGATAACTCGGGAAAACAAAAGCGTGCTCTGCGCGATTTCCTCAATATATCACGTGATTATTTGTTTATTGACTGGTGGCAACGACATCGTAAATGAAGCTCGTGTGACAAGAGAATAGCCGACGACACCTGACGGACAGAAGGGTTCTTGGATATGTTATATTTTGCCGATGCCTCCAATACGCGCTTCAGTTCCTGAATCTCCATGGCCATTCTGAGATGCGAAAGCTCGGCGGTTTACGACGATATTCTTATGTTCTTCGAGCGCAACGACCGACAAAAACTACCTTGAAAAAGCCAGAAACCACATGAAATAGTCGGGATTGTCGACTGCGAAAATCTAACACTGGATTTTAAATTTAGGTTGAAGTAACAAAATTTAGTGGGGTCATTCTGTTCTGCAATCGAAATCGTACTTTAGCAATCACTGATATTTTCCAGCGCCGATGCAGATGGATGGACGGATCTCAGCGCTTCTGTTTGTGACCGTCAGAAACACGATCTGGTCTGACTCACCCTCCTTTTACATATTTGTGAGTTATACCAACATCTTTGCCTCTGGCTAGGAAGACCCAAACGGGCTTTAATTCTACTCTTGGAATGGCCCAGGGTAGGTCTCGGGTGTTATGCATCTAGCATCTTAGATACGGTCTAGCTGGATATAATATTGCATCCTGCCGCTCCCGCCTGGTGCATGTACTGTACATACTATTGTACGTCACTGTAAGCGCGTGGTGGGTGAAAGAATTCAAGGAAACTCTGAGACAGGCTTGCCATACCTGGAAGAAATTATCTCTTGTCTTTCTATGTTATTTGGTATGTGAGTGTTCTATCAGGCCTTCTTCTTCTTCTTCACAAATTTCGCTTGACCATTGGTGTTTAGTTGCTTTTGTAAACTTTCTTCTTTGGATTTCAATAGAAATACCTGATCATCTATTCTAATCGACAGACCGATATCATGGAGAAGCTATGCTTCGTTGATTTAAAATGCTGTCGGTCATCGGGTTTCCCACCCACGCTGACCACGACAGGTGGCTGGATCCACCAGTTATGCTTAATTCAGGATAGCAATGCGCCTGTTTTTCCCTTATTACCTCTTTGATGCAAAGTTGGTGTTGAAGAGCCTAGGGCATGTCTTCAATCCAATCGTATGATCTTGCTTGATCTTTACACTCTCTTGGATGATCCGAATGACATGACGCCGTTTTCAAATCTTCAATGCCCTCTAATGTCGGTCAGGGAAATTGTTCGATCCCAATCAGGAACCTATCTATGCTACTTTTTCTATTTTCTCAATTTTGGTACGCTATCATGGTAGTGTATATTTGATTGTTCGCGAATATGCAGGATACCGAGAGCTAAAGGTTCAGTTGGTCGCACTGACAGATGTAAGTTGAATGTTGGGACAAACTACTCTTTGGAACAAAGATTTTTTGACAAACTCGCCTCTGTCTATCTGAACAAGGATTTCTCATGACAGGAGAAGCTGTGATGTAGTTTCCACCGTTTTCTCATTCTTTACACATAAAATCTTTGTACATGAAGCAGATATGAACCCTTTTGGTGTATTTGTTTCTTCTATTTTTATAAAATCAACTCTTCAAACTTCTAGGATTTTGAGTGAGAGCAAGAGAGCGTGGGCTGGTTATATTGCTTGCAGATTTGCATCATTCTTCCACCTATATTCTATTTAGGACTGTAGTTTACTCCCCTATCTTGACTTTATCTATCTTTCTGTGTTATTGTAATTTCTTCAATTCTTTTTTAACACTTTACTAGCGACAACACAGATCTCTTCTCTCTCAACTAGAACTTCAATCTCTTAGTCTCTTTTGTTTGGCAATATTGGAGATACTCAGTCTCACTCACTCCTTTCTTGTAGTGAAACTAGTTGGCTACTTTCTTCTCAAGAACTCAGTCCTCCTTTGCTTTTTCAATCTCTCACAGTACATACTCACATAAGTCTTCCCTCTCGCTTTACACCATTCTTCCTTCTCTGTATTGAATGTCACATATTCCGGTTGCTCTTTTGCGCTATTCTCTCTTTCTGCTATTGTTATTCTGTCTTTTCGGAGTAAAGAATCTCCTAGTATTCCACCTAATATATCAGATTTCCTGCAGGAGGGAAGCAAGCAGCAAGCAGCAAGCAGCCATGCCACCCCAGTTTTGCGTCACCCGTCCAAATGGGGATATCACTGCACTTATTGCCGTCGACGAATTGCCCCCTTTTGTTAGCATTCGTGGCGTTCCTCGCTCCTTGAGCCAAATCGATGACGTTCATCGAATGATCAATGTTGGAACCTTAGCTTCTCGCGGCCAATTCTATACTATTGACGTTGCTGCTGAAGCCTACTCGTACTCCACCTACTCCAGCCTGCCTAATGGAGCCCCAAACGGGGATATAGGTATAGCATCTGCTATTACAATAGGCGCGAGTGGGATTTCTCATCAACCAGGTGTTATAAATGCAGCCATTTGGAGTCCCGACTCCGCAGATCGCAATATTATAAACTGGAGAAGTGAGGTTAATAGCAACGCAGCCACCCCTATCGGCCAAGAGATTTTGAGGAATGTGAGTATTCTTCAAAAATCAGCTTCCTTTAAAGCCTTCAAAGCTAATCGGGGTGTTGAACTATAGGATGGCAGTCCCGCTGCGCTAAGACAATTCAGGTCTCAGAATGCAAATAACCCAAAAACTCCTTCCAAAAAGCAGTACTGTTCTTTTTGGATCCGCCGTGGGGAGTGCGACTATTCGCAGCAGGGTAAGCTGAGTTGAGTCCCTTTTGTTTGGTTTTTCAACCTAAGCCTAATGAATTGTAATAGGATGTCGATTCAAGCATGAGATGCCTGGAGATCTCGAAACCCTGGAACGGCTTGGGCTTCGTGATATTCCTCGCTGGTTCCGTGACAAGTATAAGGTCAAAAGTCTCCTGGGATCTGAAGGAATGGATACCCCCTCCAACGTTCCCCGTAGCTGGAAAACTATTGACCAGATGCCTGACGCATCATTCCCTGGTATAGGGTACATTTTACCACCTCCAATATTTAACGCAGGACTTCCTGGAAGAGAGGCAACAAGTGACAGACCACACTACTCTCCGATTGGGGTTCCAACTTTTGCTTCAAATGGAACCTACTTTTCTCCTACCGTAGTAGCAAACGGGATGCCGAACTCCATCTGCTCATCTTTGTCAGACGAAACCACCAAGGGAAACACCATGTTTGACAATATATCTGTTTCTGGTGATTTCAATGTCCTTACCCAAGTCAAAGACATACCATCAGATGATCCTAATCCAGTCCTGGCCCATAATCATTCCCTCCATGGATTCAGCCACTCCTTGGTTCAGGAGCTTGGAAGCTCTCATGCATTCAGTGCTGCGGCTCCCATTGGATTTCCCTCTACGGCTGTTAGCAATATCACAAGTGCTGAGATTCGTCCACATGTCATGAATACAAATTTTGTTATTCCTGCTCACACTCGGTCCATTGTCTCCGGAATCAACTCCCCTTGGGGTATGGCAAACCGCAATGATGGTGATATATCTGCCAGCCTTTTACCCCCGTTCCAGTCCATGGCAGTTACCGATTCACAGGAGCCAACCCACCCCGCAGAGCCAGCGCAGAAACTAAAGGCTCGTCACCCCATTCATCCCCAACCTGTCCATGCTACCTCCAACCGCTCAGTGGCAACTGGAAATTACTCGCTCCGTAACACCTTCGGCGTAAGCGTAGCAGCGACCCCGGTTACCCAAAGCCGTATCGAGCTTCTTTCTTCTCTCTCATCTCCGATTCCCTCTCCAACTCGTGATCCATCGTTCCGCTCTTCTCATTCTGCGCTGACAGTCGGGCCTGATCATGATGTTGCAACTGGGCCTGCTCACGAAAACCATGCGAGTAGCACTGAGTCTGGTAACAGCGAACGCTATTCTAACGCACACCAGACTCTCAATCCAATTGGATACAATCAGAATGGAGAAGATTTCCGCCAACGCCGCATGACGCAGAACGAAGAAACTGATCCCTTTGGTCTTGGATTCAATAACGATGCCCATCGTCCTGCCAGTGGGCACCGCTGAATGGTTTCTGTGAACAGCGAACATTTCACTTCCGATTTCAAAAGTCTAGTTAACATGAGTTTGGCTTGTTGGAACCAAGATACTGAGGTGAGATGACAGCTATGCCGAATGCCTTTTCTGCTGGCTTTGTGTGCTTCTCCTTGTTTTCTTTTTTTGTCCTTTATCCGCTGTTCCAATTTGGGTATACAGGCTTTTTTATATTGGCGTATTCCGGAGGCCAAATTCGTGAACTGAAAATTTATACGTTCATTCCATTACTTTGACTTGTGGTATACCCTTTGGCACACTTTTGGCTTTTTCTGTTATGATTGCTGCACAATTCCAAGTCCTGCCAGAATATGCCCCCATTTTCATTGAACATAAACAATTCATGAACCTCACGCTCCGCTCTTCTCCCCCAATCAGAGTTGGGGGGGGGGGGGGAATCGCCAATGAAGTTTATGATTTCCTCCTATGATTTTCACCCCTGTTTATGAAATTTTGCTACCAACATCCCCTTTCCTCAACATTGAAAATGGAATTCATCACAGATGAACTATACAGCCAATCCCAATTTGCAAACCCCTAGGATAGCTCCTGTGTTATCGAATCTATCAAAGGAAATATCATTGTGAGGCTCTTGAGAGCTGCGAAGGCATGGTCGAAAAGGTAAGTATAACAATGAACAGACAGACATACGACGCGTAACACCTTTCCCTTGGTGATATATAATAACAAGTAAAAATAGATACAGTATATCGTAAACTCAAAGCTGCAGTACATCAAATAATATACATATTGCAAACCATAGGTTTAATAAGAAAATCGTTTGAAAGAAGGAAATGTAACGTAAAAGAATACTTGAATCCACTTAACGTCGACCAGTAAAGGGTTTCCATGGAGCAGGAGCATTTCTAGCCCTTACATGGACAGGTTCCTTCACATCGTCTCCAGCACCAGCACCCAACTGACCAGCCGGCTTGGGTATGGGAATATTATTAATAGCTTTCTCTACCACCTTATTTCCATCAATAACAGTGAGATTTCCCTCTTCCTTCAGTCTCATCTCCTCTCGTCGCCTCTCACGTAATATTTGTTGTTTCTTTTCCGTCATCACCCAGGACTCCGGGAAGTGGAACCTCGGTTTCCGTTTGTGGTGACGCAGGTCTAGTGGGACATCTGCGAAGGAGTCACCCTCCTTTGCCTCTTTGATAAGAGTATCAACGAGATCTCCCAGGTATCGCTTATTCTGTGCACGTGTGGGATAATTTTCCGATGACATGCGAATGAGGTCTTTGTCTGGGTTATAACGGGGGCCAACCAATTTTAACAGTGTTATTCGTTGTTCTTCGGTGAGGTATTTAGGAACCAGGTCTTTTGAGCAGAATTCAACGACGACCTTGGTTTCTGCTGGGTGTGTCTCGCCCATGTAGGTAGTGTATCGGAATCGGAGGAGTTGTGTCTCATCTGGTAAGGTAAACGGTTTTACGAGGTCTGATACGAAGAACAAATTAGCAACAGTTTGCTATTAAATCATGAAAGGGAGACTGAGCAGACAACGCAATACCCAGGAGGAAAGAATTGAGAACATACTGCTGAGCAATGGCATTTCCCATGCAGAAATGCGGGCGTATTTCCTCAGTTCTCGATGTTGTTCCAGCTCGTCATAGGCCATAGAGGTAATTCCATCTTCCATATAAGGCTCAGATTGAAACCTGTGAACATCATCGTTAAAATAATCTTCAACATCCTCGTTCCCACCAGTCCAGCCCACGAACGGAGCTGCTTCTTTTTGGATTTCGTTCATGGTCTGGCCAAGCCCTTCGTCGCGAAGTGTCTGAGCGAGTGTCATGAACTCACGATCAAACGTCTCTCGTTGGTCCGGGGTCATCGCATCATATTGAGCGCGTTCCGAAGGATCGAAAAGGTCCGGTGAGTATTCTGGCACTTCGATGAAATCCTCTTGGGCCAACCTACTAGAGCGGCTGAAGGGCGCACATTGTCTCGTCGGTTTGAAAGCACTGGAGCATATCGAGCTCCGCTTTGGGGCTGTTTGTCTACAGAGGATCAAAGTGGCCCGGCCGATGGACGTCGTTACCGAAGCCATTGGGCCGAAATTGCACCATTTATATCAAGTTTCTGCTGCTCGAGACCCTCCCGTAGGACATTTCAGAAATTTCATGAACTGCAAGACTCTGGAACGACGGCGCATAAATATTTCTCCGGGCGCCAACTTAATCATGACGTAAGCTGCTCCCTTCCCATGTTGTCTTCGAACGTCAAGTCATAAAAGAGATAGATGATGTTGATACATCCCCATTTCCCTGCGGTTCATTAGCTACATCTCTAGAAAGATTAATTGTTTATTCTATATGCTCTGTATAACTTGTGCCCCATGTGCTCCTCAGTCCCACAATCTGTTCTTCCTTGAACCGAATATTGTTCTACTGGTTCTGCAAATATAATTACGCGCTGGGGTCGCATTAGGAAAAGCACTTCATACTTGATTGCTCTATGGACTCTTCAAAACCGGCAAAATTATGTTTTGTGACGGTTGGGGCTACGGCCCCATTCAATGCTCTTGTTTCAGAGGTTCTCGGAGAGCCCTTCCTAAAAGCCCTCAAGGAAAACGACTACACTGATCTTTTGATTCAGTATGGCCAACTTCGAGAAGCGGTCATACAGGAATTTAAACTTCAGAGCGAGGCTACGACTAAAGAAAAATATGGATTGAATGTCACTGGGTTTGACTTCAACTTAGCGGGTCTTAAGAATGAAATGCTAGCTGTTAAGGCAGATGCCAAAGCAAATAAAGTGGAAGGGCTAGTCATCAGCCATGCGGGTATGTTGACTCCCCTTTCGCAATTATACAAGTTAATGTCTGATATTGTGACCTGCTGATTCCGTACGGCCGAAGGCTCGGGCACAATTCTCGAAGTTCTTCGATTGGGTATACCCCTTATGGTTGTCCCGAATCCTCAACTACTTCATAATCACCAAGATGAACTAGCAAAACAGTTAGCGGCCAGTGGATACGTGATACACGGTAAACTTGGGTATGGGCAATGAATTGCGTCCCTCGCCACTGGTAAAACAGGCAATACCAGAAACATGTCTAATCTGCTTATAGAAACCTAGCACAGGTCTTAGGAGAAGCTGAAGGTTTCCGTTCCCGCATGCACGCATGGCCTCCAAGCGTCAATAAAGGGCATGCCGGCAAAGGCCTCACCGGGGTGATGGAAGACGAGCTAGGTTTTGTTGATTAATTTGCTTCTGGGGCTGATTTTCCTTTCATTGAAATTTGCTTTTGATGCTGCATCCTGCCTCAGGTCCTGGGCTGTCTTATCCTTTTGGTCTGAAAACTTGGTTCTCCTGGTTACCTTTACCATGTGAGGTATAATCACTTTACCATTGACTGAAGAGATAAACTGTGGAATGAATTGGAACAGTATCAGTGCCCACTGATGATACAAGAAGACTTTCCCATTCGGCATTGCATGGCGTTTGGAGCAATGGATTACAAACCCTATTATTATCGTTACCATTCCCATTTACTCTTCATGTCTTAATGTTGTTCATTTGATTTCTCCACCGGTTGGTTTCTGGTTTCCGTTGTTTCCTATTGCAAGCATGTAACCCTCTCTGAGTTCCTCGGAGGCACATGGAGATGGTCCGATGAGATCGAGGCTCCACCCCTCAGGTGCTTTTGAGCGCAAATGAAAAATCAAAACCCGGTCCGCAACAACTCATGCGATACATTTGTCTGCCATGGTTCATTCAACATTGACCAACGGCAATCGAACACGCCTATGAGGCACTAGAAACGCGTTGCATACCTAGTAAATAAACGTAGACGTTTTTGGTATTCCTCTCCCGTAAGGGATGGTGAAGGGACAAATGTAACTTCAAACTGGTAAACCATCAGATATGTAAAAAGATGCGATTTTGAAATTCATTTGGATAATTAATTATATTTTATTCAGGGATCTGCTGCGTTTATCGGGGCATTGTTGTTCTAAAAATCCCAAGGTTATTTAAATAACTTAAGCATGTTGCCCATAAAAATCCGAAGAGCCGTTGAACTTGGTCCAAGCTCCATTCTGTTTGTTTGACCGACTCCGCCAAAAATTAACGCCATGCATTGAGAGATTAGTTCTTTTTTCCGAACAAAACCAACTTCACTCCGCAGAAATCTTACCAAACCACGCACAGTTACCGCCATTTACAATCACTCTTACGATCTCACTGTTGTACTCAGACACCTCTCCGCGGCCACCTGCAGCCTCCCTCCGCGCCTCCTCAGCTCCCTCGTCGACCCCCCCTGAAACCTTCCCTGCTCCTCCACCCTAATCATTCCACATACATACAAATAATGGCAGAAACAGCACTACACAATGCCCCCATAGTGCTTGACAATGGCAGTGGGACCATTCGGGCTGGGTTCGCAGGCGAGGACCTACCAAAATGCTATTTCCCCTCATTTGTCGGTCGACCAAAACACCTTCGAGTCTTAGCCGGCGCGTTGGAGGGAGATGTCTTTATTGGGCAAAGAGCACAAGAGCTGCGGGGTCTTCTGAAAATCCGATATCCTCTGGAACATGGCATTGTAACGGATTGGGACGACATGGAGAAGATCTGGCAGTGGGTATACGAAGGCGAATTGAAGACGTTGAGCGAAGAGCATCCGGTGTTATTGACCGAACCTCCGCTAAATCCGCGGACCAACCGCGATACGGCCGCTCAGATATTGTTTGAACAGTTTAATATACCAGCGCTTTACACGTCGATTCAGGCCGTGTTGTCACTGTATGCTTCGGGTCGGACAACGGGCATTGTGCTAGATTCTGGAGATGGTGTTTCGCATGCGGTCCCCGTGTACGAAGGCTTCGCGATGCCAAGCAGTATACGAAGAATTGATGTAGCGGGCCGTGATGTTACAGAGTATTTGCAATTGCTCCTTCGGAAAAATGGCTACGTATTCCATACAAGCGCTGAGAAAGAGGTGGTCAGAATGATCAAAGAGAAGACTGGATATGTGGCATTGGATCCAAAGAAAGAAGAGAAAGATTGGTCGACAAATGTTACGAAGGTGGATACTAAGACGCAGGAATACATCCTGCCGGATGGACACAAACTTAAGGTATGCGTCTCAATGTATTGTGGGCACGCGCTTTTGAGACAGGTTTTTCTAACAGATTGGCTTTTGGAAGTATAGGTTGGAGCGGAACGATTTCGAGCTCCTGAGATTCTTTTTGATCCTGAAATTATTGGCCTTGAATATCCCGGAGTTCACCAAATCGTCGTAGATGCAATCAATCGCACCGACATGGATCTGCGCAAGGCGCTATTCGGCAATATTGTCCTTTCCGGCGGCTCAACCTTATGTCGAGGTTTCGGCGATAGATTGCTTCATGAGGTTCAACGATTGGCAGTCAAGGACATGCGAATCAAGATCTTCGCTCCCCCGGAACGAAAATACAGTACCTGGATTGGAGGCAGTATTCTTGCGGGTCTAAGCACTTTCAGAAAGGTAAGTCGCAGACCTCTCCCAAAGTATTACTAAAGATTCTTTTTTCTTTTTTTTTTATTTATTTAAATGGCGCTAATTATATACTTGATTGTTCTAGATGTGGGTCAGCATTGACGATTGGCATGAGAACCCCGATATAATTCACACCAAGTTCAATTAGAAAAGAACGTTTGAAATTCCACCGTATCATCCTCGACATTCGTTCCTCCCTGGGCGAGCTATATTTGAGGACACAACTGGGTGACATCATACAGGGACCCTAGAAACGGGAGAAGAGAGAGAACGCGAGATCAGGAATAATTGGATTAGCTGAATTGTTTTGATACCCCTCTCCCCCACCTGTGAGTTTACATCGCCTACACGATTTGATATTTGGACAAGTTTATGTGCACTAAAAAGTACATACTATCATCGTTCGTCGTCCATGCTTCCTTTCTTTCTAACCATGCAACATCATATTTCACTAAACCTGTTCTCCATCCACCCCCCCCCCAACTTCTGTCATTCTGATATGTGTTATTCTATGTCAACAGTTTATCATCAGTTCCAATTCCTCTTATTCCGTTCTCATATACTTGATTGGAATGTGTGAGAAGGAGAGTGCTTTGCTTTTCAACCAGAAACTGGCTTGAATGATCTTGTTGCCCTTTTTTCATTCAGCGAGCTGAATTGTTTCAATTATTCGGGACAAAAGTTCCTTCTATTCTCTCGATCTTGATTTGCATTTTCTTTTCCTTTGCTCTACTTTCCTCCTTCCTCCAGATTCCCACCTGTTTTCTCTGTACTGTATATAGATTATTAACGTGCTTCTTTGAGAGCGTACCTGTGTATTAACGATTTAGCGAAGAACTGGAATCTTTTTACCTAGGATGAAGGCTAGGCCCCTGTAATCAGATTTTAATTTCATTCAATTGCAACGCAGATATCCAACGACAACCCCCCCCCCCTCGCTTGTGGGTTGTTTGGGGGATTGGAAGAGATACCGAAACTCTCGTGGTACGTCTGGATAGGGGGGGCTTTTGTTGATAATGGGAAAGATGACTGGAGGTCACTCTTACTTTGTGGGGGGTGGAACGAAGCAGGTTAAGCTTGACATATTCCAACCTCTAGCGTTAGAATTGGCACAGCACAGAACTTAAAGATAAAGGGGATGAGATAGTACAAATTTATTTTAATACGTTTTTGTCAAGCGACGAGTACGGTCCACAGAAGGAAGA